AAATAAGAGTTATAATCCAAGATACAAAAAAAGATCCACACAAACAGATCCTTAAACTAGAAAAAACAAACAACAAAAACCTAATCTAAAATAGTATTGTAGACATCAAAATTTCGGTGAAATGAATGTTGACCAATAATTAAAATTTCAACGTTCACGTATCACATAAATTTTACATGTAGCGTGTGCCTCAACGAAAAATCAAAATAAATTGGAAAAGTCATCAAATATGACACGTGTCAATACCTGGCAGAAATGATTTATTTCATTTGATTATTTAAATCCAAAAATCAAGTTTTGGAATTCTATAAATAGGAGGCCAAAGGCATTCATTTTGAAAAGAAAAAGAAGAAAGGAAGGGAGAAGAAGGGAGAAGAAGGGAAAGGAAGGGGAAAGAAGAAAAGAAGGAAGGAAGAAAGAAAGAAGCCTTGAAACTCTAAAGCTCTCAAGCAAATCCCGAAGAATCAAGAAAGCACTTTTCGTTCATCGTTCATCATCCATCAACCTTCAAGATCAAGCCCCAACGCCCTTGAAGAACTTCCACCAACTCAAGATCAAGCCCCGACGGCCCCTTGAAGAAAGTGTTCATCGTTCATCATCCGTTCATCCTTCAAGATCAAGCCCCAACGCCCTTGAAGAACTTCCACCAACTCAAGATCAAGCCCCGACGGCCCCTTGAAGAAAGTGTTCATCGTTCATCATCCGTTCATCCTTCAAGATCAAGCCCCAACGCCCTTGAAGAACTTCCACCAACTCAAGATCAAGCCCCGACGGCCCTTGAAGAAAGTGTTCATCGCTCATCATCCGTTCATCCTAAGATCAAGCCCCAACGGCCCCTTTGGATCAACAACCTCAACAAATCCACACATTCGTTCATCCTTCAAGATTAAGCCCAGAAGCCCTTGAAGATCCGTTCATCCTAAGATCAAGCCACAACGGCCCCTTTGGATCAACAACCTCAACAAATCCACACATCCGTTCATCCTTCAAGATTAAGCCCAAAAGCCCTTGAAGATCCGTTCATCCATCAACCTTCAAGATCAAGCCCAACGCCCCTTGAAGATCCATTCATCAGCTGTGCATCCTTAGATCAAGCCCCGACGGCCCTTTGGATCAACAACTCATCCACAAACCCACACCCTACGAAGATAGAATCAGAGGACCAAATTACAAAGAGATTGTAACCCCAAAATCATTAATACAAAATATTATTTTGTACACGTATTCTTGTTGCTTGTTTCAGGAATTTCTCGTGTTTACAAGTATAAACCAAACTGACGTCACCACCACATCCTTAAAGAAAGGTAAAATATTTAATTGCATGTCCTAAATTTAGCTTTCAATTCAATACTTAATTTGATAGGAACATATCCAACATTAAATTGGATACTAAAATTTACATTGAAAAAATGGATATGATGAGTAAATTTCAGATGTAAATACCAAGACATGTGTGCAACGGATAAAATTTACGACAATAACGTCACTAAAGAAAACCAGGAAAACTGGCGTAACGCAGTAAAGTTCCTCGCTCTGCACGCACGCACGCAAACGCAAACCTTACCTGCTACAGCCGGTCAAGCGACGCGTCCAGTTTCATCTTTACCGCTACCGCCGGTTTCCTTCTTTATCTCCCTCTCTTTTATTCCTCCAGAAATCTCTGCCTATAAAAACCCCACCGCACTTCCCGAGACAGTTTTCAATCTCGAACCTTCGACCCCATCTTAACGTCGTCGTTTGGATCCCCCATCGGGAACCGCTTTACGCTTTTCTGTGAGTTCTTCGTATCGATATTAATTTGAATTTTTTTTTTTTTTGTTTCGGGGAATTATATCGTCCGATGATTGTTGTTTGTTTGCTCGTTTGTTGATCTGTACGCGTTTGATTAGGGTTGTGCTTGCTAGTTTTGATTGAACTGGCTCTTGTTTTGCTTTAATTTGACTTTTTGGATTATTTTTTTTTTTAATTTGTGTATTCAATAATTATCCACACGCAAATTGTTCTGTTTGCTTGTTTATGAATGAAGATTTTGATTAAGTTCTTGAGGACTTGTGATTAAGTATTCGATTATTAATCAATTTTCTGTTGGTGTTAATGTTTGTTAGGAATTTGAAAAAGAAATGTATTTCACTTTTGATATTGTTGTATTTGTCATTTGATATCCTCGATACGGGGTTTTGAATGCACATCGGAACTTTGTTTTGTGAATTACTATGTTCGTTTGAATTGTATCGGTAGGAATAAAAAAACATAATGTTTAGAGGCTGAAAGAGATTATGTATGAAGATTTTATTTTCATTCAATTCCCGTTGGTTCATTTTAGTTAATCATCGCATTCAAACGAAAGTTGCATTTTGTTGCATAAGTGTTTTGTGATCCGGAAGTTTTTGTGCTGTAACAAATCAGAATTGGATTAATTAGTATCTTGTTTTACTGAATTCTGATTGTTTTTTTTGGTTGGTTATTTTGTGTCTACTTGTGCCCTGTACATATGAAATAGGAAGCTTTAAGTCCTTTAAGATGGCAGATAATGAGGAGAGAGAGGAAAGCACTGTGCACGGTAAGCTGGCAGATAACGAGGAGGGGAGGAAAGTACTACTCGTGGGAATGGATGGGAAGTCGTACAACTTACAGCATCTACGTATGCTGCTGCTCCTGGTCCAGGAGGAATTGAGTTGAGCAATGAGGATCAGAGTGATACGTATGGTGAGCATGCTGAATCTTCTCGTGCTCTTTTCATGTCTGGTCACTTTGCTTTTCCACCCAGTCAGCATGAGAATTTGCCGTTGGAGTCTGATAGAAGCGAAATTCATAATGAACATTTGGACAGTGATGTCTTAGCTGAGATAGGTCGTGAAGAAGGAGGTAGGTCAAGTGGAAAGGAGGAAGAAACTTTGACTTTGGAAGGGTTGGATGTGCCAGATGAGTTTGCAGGAAAACAGTCTGTATATGATAAGGATAACATGCAATTGATTGGTGATACAGAGTTTGAAGAAGGTTTAATTTCGGCTCACAAGATCAGATTATAATTGATGCTGCTACATATCATTTTGACAGGTGAAACAGATCTTGGTGGCTTATCTCATTTTGGTGAGAGCCCCACTATTCCTGGACTCGAGGAACCATCAGAACAAGGTTTAGGTTTCTCTGAGGACATCAGTGCAATCCCCAAGGTCTGAGAAAGATGATAAACTTGATGTTTCTCGCCTGCCCTGTGGAGCTTGGTGGAAAAGAAGAGCTGCTTCCTTGTATTCTCATGCAAAAGAAGCAAATGCAGTTTGGTCTATTTTCGTAGCAGCAGCTGTGATGGGGCTTGTGTTACTTGGGCAGCGGTGGCAAAATGAAAGGTGGCTGGCTCTACAGCAAAAATGGCTATTGAGCGTCAACGATCAGGTCTGTTGATTTCCATTGTTTTCTCTTATGATTATGTTTCCATTTAACTATTTACTTTTTCTTTCCCTGGGCAAGGAATTGATAACCCATGTTTGTTGGTTTTTCTTTTTGGCCTGATCTTGCATTATGTCATAAATTTCATGGTGTAAGCATTTATGCAATTTAGAGATGTATGCTTTGAAAAGTGTTAAAAGTAGTTGATTCTGTTGATATTTTGCCTTCTCTCTTTTCTTTGTGCAAGATTCACCGTGATGTCTATACATTATTCAGTTAGTTCCTTATTCCTGATGTAATCTGCATGGTGTTACGATTTGTCTCCTAGTTGAGTAGAGAATCAGGTTATGGCTTTTAATTATATTTTAAAATTTGATACCAATTCTTTATCCAAAGATTAATTACATTGGAAACACCACTTTTCCCAATCTGATGACCTTACCATGAACTCACATCATGGTACGGATGATAAGTAGCTTGTTGTTAACCTATAATAGCGTGCACTGACATGCAAGGCAAATGTGCACTCTTAGAATCCTAAGATTTGAACATGTGATAAGTTGCTTATATGATTGAGTTTGCTTCTATCAAGACGAAAGTCTAGTTCGATGATACTGACGTTATGTTATCATATTGACAGAAAACAGGAAGGATGATTGGTCCCATATCCCGTCTTAAAGGCGTTATAGTGAGCAGCCACCGCCGAGGATCCTTTATCGGGAGCAGCTCCTCAAGCGAGGCTTAAGATGATGACGAAAAATACCACAGGAGGGGTGAAGAGAGAAGTGATGGAGTTGGAGATGCAGACGAGGGTTACATATTAGTTTGTTTTCGATGTGGTTGATGTATATTCCTTTTATGGATAGTGTTACTTGTCTACATGCTAAAAGTCTGATATCACCGTCGTATGATCGTTTTCGATCACCATGAAGTTGCCGCTGTACAGAGCTCTTACTTGTTACGATTTCTATGATTACGTTTTTTTGTGCTGTTGCTGGAGTTATGCTTGTGATTGTTGTGAAGATAGAAGTACATTTTGTTGAATTTCCAGAATTTGTGAACTGGAATACGGACTGAATTTTATCATGGTAAAGCTCAATTTGTACTCATTGCTATGCCTATTTCAAGATGCAATTCAATTAGTAAAAATAACCGATCCGGTCGGCACCTGTCTAGTTTTGATGATTTGACGGATTAGTTTGGATAAATTTTGTGTACGGTGTTTTAACATTGCAGTCGTTTATTCTTGTATCATTTAGTGTTATATGGTATTGATGAAATTTTTCATATGTAATTTTTGTTTAGGAAAAAAGTATTTGCACCATTTATTTCCTTTATGCATGCTCTTTTTATTTTTCTTTATTGATTATCATTTGATTGTTTCAATTTAAAACAAAAAATAAATAGTTGATTTCGTACGGAGGTTTGAAAAAAAAGATGGAAAAAAATCGAAGAACACCTCCAAACATTGTACTAGGCCTATCACAACTCAAAATACTCGATTGCATCGTTACGATGACGTTTTGTACTAATAAAACAAATAATTATTCTTTGTTTTATTCACATGTCTTTATTTATTTGATATGAAACGTCCCGCGACACTGTGTACCATGCCATAAAATTGCTCTCAATCACAATTTCTATGGTACTTTTATCTTACGGTGGACCTTCACACTCACACTCCAGTTAATTGGCGGGAAGATAGATTCCCGCGCTTTTATTCTCTCTTTTATCTCAACAACCTTGTTAGGGTTTCGATTCAAGTCAGATAACACTCTCGCGAAAACACAACCGCCACTCCTCCGCGTTTCTATCATCGTTCTGGCGGACTTGCCGGTGAGCTTTTCGATCAGGTAATCCTCAACCGCCGACTTACTCTTTAATTTCTAATTTGTATTGCCATACTTTTTCTCTTTCGTCCCCAAAAACTCAATTTCGTGAGGGTAATTTATTAATTTGGTAATTGTTTTTGGGGGGTTTGCTTCAAAATTTGACTAGGGAGTGTTTGGATAGTAAGTGATGATTTTATGATGTTGGGTATTGTAATACATTGATTTATTTTGCCCAAGTAATCGGCTTTTCTGGTTCTTTAACCGCTATACGATTGCAGATAAGTGGATTTAGGCTCCACTAAGTTTTTATAGGTGTATGCGAAAGTTTCGAGGAGATTGAGATAGACTGTTCATGGAGGGGGGCTATGTTGTTTTGAATTTTTATTTTTATGTTTTATGTTTATTTCCTTGATTTGTTTTGTTTGTTGTAAGTTTCTGTGTGCAACTTCCTTGCAAACTTGTGTTTGAAAGGCTGATTTCCTTTGAAGTTCGGCACTTCATTTTGCATCCACTATTTTCGTGTTGGTTTGCGGTGTGATTACTAAGCTATTTGTTGTCGACGTTGTCTACTAAAATTCTCTGTCTTTAATCTTGATGTTTATTTTGGCTAGAATTCAGACATGGGTAAAGAGGAAAGTCCGAAAACCACAAGGAGAACAACCAGATCCTCCGCTTTAGCTACCCCTTCAAAGAAGGTAGTTGAAGAAACTAAAGCAAGTAGTTCACACCCGCCAACTCTCAGTGACCTTGTGTTGGGTGAAGAAGGAGAATCCTTTAGTGCCGATGATCTTTTGTCTAGTTTTCCTGGGAGACGTAATCAAATATTGGAGCTTCTGCGCCTTCTGGGTCCACAGAACTCTCCCATGTTTCCTGTCTTTGTGTATGGAGGCACTTCTACCGGGAAAACCAGTATTGTTGTAGAGACATTTAGGCATCTTAAGCGCCCTTTAGTTTATTCAAGCTGCCTTACCTGTTATAATCCTCGAATCTTGTTCGAATCCGTTCTGAACCAACTATTTCTTCACCGAAAGAATGCAGCAAATGGTTATTCTAGTGCAAAGCGCTGTGAAAGCCCATCTGATTTTGTTAATTTTCTTCGCGATGCCTTGGTCAGCATTCTGGGTAATACTAAGGGAAACTCAGGGAAAGTAACCTCCAAAAGGTCAGGAAAGTCTAACGGAAATATGATCTACTTGGTCTTTGACAATTTGGAACGTCTTCGAGGATGGGATAAAGGTTCCACTATATTACCTTTACTATTTAATCTCTATGACATTTTGAAAATGCCTGAGGTCGGTCTTATCTTTATCAGCAGTGCCTCACCAGATACATATTACTCAAATATGGGCTATGTGGAACCTATCCCTCTATATCTTCCTGATTATACACAAGATGATCTGCAGAAAATCTTCATGAGAAACCAGGCGAACAAAAAGCTTTACTCCTCTTTTCTCAGGTACGAAATTAGTTGTTTTTCTTCTTTCTACTCGTCTTTTGCCTTTTGGTTTCTACTGATGGACGCTTTTTCTTCTTGGTTAGTGTTGTGCTAAGGCCCTTCTGTAGAATTACCAGACGGGTGGATGAGCTATCTTCTGTCTTTTCACCATTATTCACAAAATATTGTGAACCCATCACTGATCTGAATGTTGTTCCCAATAAAGAGACGAACCAAAGGCTGTACAATTTTTTTCGTCCCCATATTGCTCCTGCACTGAATGAGACATTTAAGGTTTCGTCGCAGCAATCCCCCGAAGTTGAAGTTAAGGAGAGAAAAGGGAAGGGGGGCACAAGGAAATCCAGAGATTTTGAAGTTGAAGAATTAGATTTCCATATGCCTACTTCCGCCAAATATCTTCTTATTGCAGCATTCCTTGCTTCAAGAAACCCAGCTACCCTTGATTCATCCCTGTTTGATTCTACAGGAGGTTCTAATAGTCGAAAACGAAAGAGGAAGTAAGTCTTTCAAGAATAATTCTTGCATTTACTGTAGTTTATACTCTATATAGGTTTAGTTGATTAACATCAGCGACACTGGTACAAATTTTAATTTTGTTTTTTATGCTATCATTAAAGTTAATACTGCTGTAATCTTTTCAATACAAGGTCTGACATTCCCAAATCCTGTAGAAAACTAAGCTAAAATATAAGTGTGTTCTTAAGCATGTAGCCACCTGCTTCCATTTTACCTTAGCCTAACCATAGTAACAAGGGATACTTTGAGTTTTTTTCGATATGTTGTGCAGAACAACATCTAGATAAAATTTCGGACATCTTTTTACTGCACTTATTCAGTGGAGGAAACCAAAATTTCTGCAACTTGCAGATCAACTATCTTTGCATCTATTGTTTTGGCATTTTGCAATGCAGCAGTTGTAAACACTGAATTCTTCTGAATAATGCTTCTTGATTGATGGTTAGGCTTTCGGACAAGTCAATGGAACAGAAGGAAACTGCAGAACAGGAATTGCTTTTGAATCCTGGATCATTCCCAATGGAAAGGTTATTAGCCATATTTCAGTGCATTACATCTGTAGGAGAAGGTCCTCTTGATGAGGAGGGACAAGAAGATGGTGGGTTAGGCATTCAAGATGGGAATGGCGGGCTCATGTCTGATGTTCTCTTACAACTGTCCAGTCTCTGCAGTGCTAATTTTATTGTCACTGGTGGAAGCTGCCCGCTGGAGGGCTCAACTCGATATCGATCGACAGTGAGTGAAGATATGGCTCTTAAGGTAACCTAACATTTCCCAAATTGAAATTATACCAAAATTTTATGTTGTAAGGTTAATAATTCTTTTGAAATTACATAACATCTTGTTTATATTTGGATTACAGGTAGCAAGGAGTATTAAGTTTCCTCTCTCAAAGTATATATACAGATGATCTGCTTTCAGGTGAGGTATCTGTGATACGGTTGCCAATTTATTCTCGAGGATGAAGCAACTTACCTGGTTTTCAACTATGTTACCCTCCTACTGTGTTGAATCATTGAACTCTCCAAATTCTTTAATCCTCATCTTTGTTGAGCAACGTGAAATGACTGGTATTGAGTGGATATACCGATTGTCGTGGTCTTTCTGACAGCTGGGATAGCACCATTGAACATAAGTTTCAGACAGTATCTTGGTGCCAAGTTTCTGCAGGATTGCCATCTAACAATTGTAGTAAACCACCTATCCGTGTTACATCCTAGTAAGTTGCAGGGCTTGGAAATATCGTTTCCTTATACAATGTCGATCGCAATTCTGGAATTGTTTTCCTATTTTTGTTTCCTTCTGCTAAATTTCAACGTAGTTGATTCTTCCATTAAGGTTTGGTCAGATGTAAGTGCTGTTTGAAGAGAAGGGCAGCAACATTCTCGGCCGGTGCTAAGCTTTAGCCTCACAATGTGATACATCATTCTAAACCTATTGCACGCTCCGAATCCAAATCAAAAGAGGAAGAAGAATAAGAGTTATGGCCCTGCAGAGGGAATTTTATATCACATTCACATAGGCTCTGCATTTCACAAAAAAAATGGTAAGAGAATTTCTCACAGCTGCAGAGGGAATTTGATATCACATTCATAGGACAGTGGATCAATAGGTCACAATTCCATCTTAAATGCAATTTTGAGCGGTGACGAGTTGATGATGCTATATATGTTGCTGTATAACCTTATCTGAGCCCATGAGTGATTGAAACGGTAGGAAGAAGGATAATGCTTGTGTCCTCTATGGGGACCAAGTCCCTCCACTTTTGTAACCTTATCGTCCGAACACCATGATCGGAACCATTCATTTTTTTTATCTTGATCTAATGATTATACATGCAAAAAAATATTCATTTTGGAGAGCCATTCATATGCATAAAAAACAGATGATTCAGAATAAGGATGATATTTGTGACTAAAATCGTTAATTGATTTAACTTGTATGAATGACTAAACTATCATGAAATTAAATGATTTTTTTTTACAAATATGATCATTAGATAATGAGAAAAACAATGAACCATTATGCTTATGATGTTCAAAGAATAAATATTCATTAATCGTAAGTGGCGGGCGAGTAAATCCTTTTAAAGGAAACACATGCATTATCCTAGAAGGAATTAGTATTCAGAACGTTGACTTGACTCTAGTATTTTGGGGTCCCCAAGGCCTTATTTCTCGTTTGGTCCAGCAGGGGAGGTGGATCAATGTATCATATTTGTTGGTCAACAATGCGTTGGATTGGTCCAGCATGGGAGGTGGATCAATGTATAATACTTGTTGGTCATCAATGCACAGTTGGATGTTTCAATGGCAGTGGAGATTTTAACTTGTGATATTTTTTAATATAAAAAAGAGAAGTATCATCAGAACGTTCAGAAAAAAATCTTGCTTCAAGTGGGTTTTGAATACTTGCTTAAGAACTACAAGAGTTGTGGCCAAAATTTTAACCACTAGCTAGAGTTTGGTATTATTTACACTCAAAATTAAAAGATCAACATAAAGCCGTATGGTCCACTTTTCGTCATCTCGTGATATAAAGCTAAATTATCTACAAAAGAATTTAAGTGGTTCATCTTAAAAATGGGCTACGCCCACTGCATTGATATGATATATATATATATATATATATATATATATATATATATATATATATATATATATAAGTGCTCTTCTACCAATTGGCTCGAGCGGTAGGAAAGTACTTTAGGTTTTGCGCTCGTCTTTTTTTGCTGGTAGACAATCCAGGACTATGAGTAGTCGATAATGGCGGTCGTCTTTTGTCATGGTGGGGTTTTGTCATCTAAATTCTCTGGGCTGGCTTGCAGGCCCATCTCGTTAAGCCCAACAACTATATAATATTTTAAAGGGTATAAAAGGATCATGTGTTAAGCTGACAACACTGGATCATTACCAATACACATTATCTTATTATTTAATTAGAGAATAACTTAAGTTCAAATTTCACGGACGATGTATCATTATCAACAAACGATCTTCGTTTTATTGGAGAAGACCTAAGTTCAAATTTTATGGACAATGATTAATAAAAAAAAAAACTCAACCAGAGATCATGCTTTGCAAGCCACCCGACCTACATGATGTTGTACCTAAATTTTCTTGTTTTGTTCAACTACTTAATTCTAGATCATTAGGAGCCAAAATCTGTATCTAAACAAATGGGGGAAGCATAGGCTTTTCTAGAGGAACGTCTCGATCAAAACCATTCACCCGAAAATTTCCTGTTATCGTGTAATTAAACCGTTTGGATTTCTATAACAAAATGGATGGTCATTAGTTCCACAAATTAAAGCTTTGTATTGATGTGGATGGATTTTGGACGAGGGAGATGATCAGTCTTTGAATAGTTTTATATTTTGATAAATACATTATGATTATTTTGATATTATTGCAACTCAAAACCTAGTTGCATGTAATGCTTTGCTCTTTTGAGGAAGTGCCTAAAAGAAGGCTGGTTTTCCCTTTTAAGTTTCATTGTTTCAATACCAAAGTTCTCTGTTTTCCTTTATTAGCATGATGAATGTGATAATATGATACCATCTCTTACCTATAGGGAGAAAAAACGAAAACAAAAATAGGTGAAATTAGTTTGATTTGGTTGGGTTTTTGCCCGTCTTTATTCCAAACTAATCCTAAGTTGTTCAGTGCGACATTAGGTTGACATGCTATAGGTTTTGACCTACTTACGTACAAATAGGTGAAATTGGTTTGGTTGGCTAGTTTGAGTAGAGTTTGACCGATTCTTTACCCATTCTTTCTCCAAACTAGTCTTAAGTTGTTCACTAGGAGTCATTATTTTACATAGAGAATTTAACATTCCTGCAAATTGATGAAATTGATTTGATTTGGCTAGTTTGAACAAATTAATTTACTTGGTTTTTACCCATCATTACTCCAAACTAGTCCTAATTAAGTTGTTCATTATGTACTTACCCAACCGACGATAATGTAAGCTCTTCACAACATAAGGGGTCAATGGGTTAATGCTATACATGTAAAGAATGTGAAGGGATGTGTTAATGTTGGTAGTGCATCTGTGCATGCATGCACCGTTTTGTGTAATTTGTGGATAAACTGTCGGTCAGAAAAAACATTATCCCCATGATTTTTCTCATGCAATGTGCACCATGAGGTGACCAGGAAAACCGCAGCATGTAATTTGAGCACAAACTGTCGGTGTCCATAAACTTTCGAATTACATGCAAATATATATTAAAAAATATCTAAAAAGTAAAAATAAATGTGTGAAGTGAGGCCATCCACTTTCATTTATTTTATACATTTGGGCGTTAATTATATAATCCATTAAAAATGAGTAATACTACACTTATTATCTTTTTGTACAATATCTCTAATAGAGATAAGGTCCGCCAACACATGTGAGTTTTATCTCTATTAGAGAGATGCTACAAATAATGATACAAATAAATGGTAAGAGTAACATTTTTTTTTTTAAATTTATCAAAAAAAGTCGTGTAAAGTAAGAAAGCAGAATATCTAACCAGTGCAATGTGATAAGTTTTACACGAAATGATTCGGCATGAATTTTAATTAGGTCTAATTGTCATTTACATGGAGCTTGAAAATCCCATGGCTTGCTAAAACGAATAATTAAAGAATTATGCAGTATCAAGTACAAATGATTTGATTTTAACATATTACAAAATTCTTTCTTTTCTTAAACAATTTTGTGTTTTATGCACTTTCTCCTAGAACAATTTTTGTTTAAATTCTTTTTTATTTTATTTTAATTGACTCACTGTGATATGACAATTAAAATACAAAAATTAACACTTATATCTCTTTCTCCTAATTCACTAAGTTCGGGGATCCAGGCCATTAAAATTTGATTAAACGGCTAAAGTTATTATAACTTTTAAAATGAACCCCTGATTTTAGCTATTGATTCAAATTTTAATGATTCGAATCTCCAGATTTTGTGGATTAGAAGAAAAAGATCTGAAAAGGATTCCTTTCCCTTGTATACGTAGTTTTGAGAGGATTGTTTTGTGCAAAACTATTCATTATATTAAAGGCATATTGAAAAAAGAAATGAATGACAACTTCCTTAACTATTTTTGAAAGAAGAAATGGATGACACGTATAGGCCTTGTTTGTTCAAGGTGATTGGATTTGGTAGAACTATTCACTCTATATATTGAAGACATTTTGAAGGAAAAAATGGATTATAGCTTCCTTAATTATTTTGTCCAAGTTAAAGGTTACCATGAAGAAATGGATGATAACTTCCTGAATTATTATTTTTCTTCATGAGTAACCTTCATCTTGAACAAAAAGAAATTGTCATTCATTTATTTCTTCAAAATACCTTTAATATAGTGAATAGTCATATCCAAATCATTCTAAAAAAAAACGAAGCCATATTCTTCAATATTTCAATTTATGGTTTACAAGTCAAACTAGTTGCTAGCTAGCTTTGCATGCGAATTGCGATTAATAATTCTCGGACGAGGAAAGCTAGCACAAATATGGCAGTTCTGGGAAATTGAGATGATCAATGGAGGTTATATATAATGCTTGTGTTCTCTTGATCATTGGAGAACCTATGATTATCGATTAACGAACATTCAAGGTATGAATGTAATAATAAGAACTGTTCATTCACTTTATTATCATTTAAATATATTATATCTGCAAAAATTCATTCTAGATATCATTTAGCCTTCCATATGTATCAAGCCAACCAACTTTTTATTTTTATTTTTTTATTGTTTTTATAACAAATAGCATCCTCATGATGAACTGTCTATAGATGAACGACTAAAATATCTCTAAATTAATTAATTATTATTATTATTTTTTTTTTTTTTTTTGCAGAAATCATCTTTAAGTGATGATGATAAAAAAAATAATTCTAATTATAAAATTTGTTCGTTACAAATTCATTATCCTATATATAATTCTAACCCATTTTAGTAGTGTATACTCAAAATACAATGTGCAACCTAGCTAATAAATAAGTGAAGCTTTATCAGAATTGCACATGATGAGATTAAATTTGATGACACTGTTCGACATGGTGCTTAGCCAAGCACACCTAAATGGTGGAATGGTTCCCAAAAAAAAAAAAAAAAAAATGGTTAGGCACACTCTCACAAGCCCATTTCATGATCACATGAATGGTGGTCTAACGTGAGGCTGGCTTAATCACACTCACATGTACAATCGGATAAGTCCGCAGAGTAATGTTTTCTTCACATTCACATATACAATCGGATAAGTTCGCAGAGTAATGTTTTTTTTGTCAGACTTCCGTTTTTAAAGTAGAAAGCCGCTTCTATATAAGTTCAATAAGTAATGTTTTCTTACTGGATTTGTGTTGCTTGACACGCGTGCGCGCATATATATATATATATATATGTATATGACAGATTCAAGTAAGAATCAACCTGATCAACTATCCATCTTATTCATAGTCGGATAACAGATGCATGATCTCATACATTCTCGGTCACAATACACATCTTATATATGTTTGATAAGAGAACGTTGTACCAAATTTGTAAACTTATTTCATTGCAATTTATGATAGGAATGTCAACCCTTATTGCTGCACAAGAGCACAACACAAAGCTTGCCAGGTTTCATATGCATCCTGATATATGATGAACTGCCAGAGTCTGCCCAAATGTGCAAAAATTGAGGTCTGCATTCAGGTGACCTAAATATATTGTATAAGGGTTTTGACTTTCTTCCTTCATGTTATAGATACAGAGAGAGGCACAGTTTTTTTATCGTTCATTGATTATACAGCATTGAAAGTGAGAGGGTCAAACCTGTGAGTGAAGAATCCCACAATATTGTTTTTACTACCATCCCTACTCTCTACTGCTCTAGGAGGGGGCTCTGCAGAATCTGAGAGGATAAAGATAAAGCTAGATAAGCAAAAAAGAGTCTCACAAGCAAAAACCAAGCAAAAAACAAAGAGAAGTTGGGGGATTACCCAACCCTAACCAAAAAGACCCACATGAAGAACCCTATTTTCCTCATTTAAGTTCAAGACTTGTAATATAATTAACTTTATTATAAGACTGGAAAGCCTAAATTAGGAGAAATTCTGTTGTAACCGGGTGATTAATATATGTCATGTGAGGATAGAGATACTTATGTAAAGATATGTTCCTAGTTATAGTGTACGCAAGAATCCGCTGAGTTAGGGTGACTCATTTTCAACCCACTATTGACCCATTTAAAACACCATTGGTGACTTAGTATAATCGACAGACACGATCAGTGTGCTTCTTTGTATTTGGTTCAAATTTTGTTTCTTTTTCTTTTGACAATTTTTATGCAATGAAAATGTAATAGTGAGTGGTATGAAAGATGAACGATTGTCTTTGGGTGACGGTGACTTTTTTTTCTTTGCAATATAATTACCATTGTTTGTTTTTGTTCTTGGTCTCTCCCCTCTTATGTTATATAGTTCCTCAACTAATCCCATTAAATTTTCCTCTTCATTCAATGCTCTTGAATTAAATCTCATCTTCCATTTCCAGTAAAATTAGGTGTGGAAGTGTGTGTGCTTCCTTGTGTGTGCATGAGGGAGAGAGAGAGAGAGAGAGAGAGAGAGAGAATTGCATCTTAATTTGCTAGAGCCACTGGTTTTCTAGAGAGGGAAAGAGAGGTTTTGAGCTAGCTAGCTCTAAAAAAGTTCAACGACCTCTGAAAACATTTATGGCGCTTTTGCTGTGCTGTGTAGCTTAATTTTTAGTGAGATAAAATACAGTGAGCAATGTCAAGGACCAGTCTGTCCTCAATAAATTGCTTACCTATAAATCTCTCTCTATAACTCTCAATTTTGTACAACACACCTCCACCTCCACCTCCATATCTTCTGCTTCCTCTCTCTCTCTACTTCTTCTCTACTTCCTCACCAAATCACCACCTTATTATAATCTTCATCAATCAATGTTATTATTCCTCTCTACCCATTTTTTAATTAGATCCATCAAACCTCGAAGTCCCCTCCTTTTCTCAATCAAATCCCTCAAACATTTCATATCCATCAAAATCCCTACCTGGGTTTTGCTCTAAGGTACGTTTTACAGTAGCTTCTTCCACTTCTTCACAATAATTCATACCAAGAAAGCAACTTTCCCGGAAAAGAAACATTCTCTCGGGAATATATTTTGGAGGAAAACAGGTTTTTGATCGTTCAGTGATTGAGTGCGGTTTTTGCATTGCTGTTTTTTTGGGTTTGGTTTACGTGGCAAACAAGTAAAATATGGAGATTGCGACGGCGTTGCTGGTTTTGACAGCGATCACGGCTTACCTCATTTGGTTAACCTTCATCTCACGGTCGCTGAAGGGTCCACGTGTCTGGGCGTTACTGGGTAGTCTCCCGGGGCTCATCGAAAACTCGGACCGGTTGCACGACTGGATCTACGACAACCTTCGCGCCTGCGGCGGCACGTACCAAACCTGCATCTGCGCCATCCCCTTCCTCGCCAAAAAGCAAGGCCTCGTGACCGTCACGTGCGACCCGAAGAATCTGGAGCACATACTCAAGACCCGGTTCGACAACTACCCCAAGGGCCCCACCTGGCAATCAGTGTTTCACGAGCTGTTGGGTGAGGGCATCTTCAACTCGGATGGCGACACGTGGCTGTTTCAGAGGAAGACGGCCGCACTTGAATTCACCACCAGGACGCTGCGCCAAGCCATGGCTCGGTGGGTCAGCCGAGCCATCAAGCTCAGGTTCTGCCCGATTCTCAAGTCGGCTGAGCTTCGAGCTGAGCCGGTTGATCTCCAAGACCTGTTACTTCGGCTCACTTTCGATAACATATGCGGTTTGGCTTTTGGGAAGGACCCGGAGACTTGCGCCCCGGGTTTTCCTGACAATGGCTTTGCCACAGGCCTTCGACCGAGCCACCGAAGCCTCACTGCAGAGGTTTATCCTGCCAGAGGTGTTGTGGAAGGTGAAAAAATGGCTTGGGCTTGGAATGGAAGTCACATTGAGCCGAAGCCTTGTGCATATTGAGGAGTATTTATCCGATGTGATTGCATCCCGTAAGCTCGAGTTGCTGAGTCAGCAAAAAGATGGGAACCCACACGATGATATGTTGTCAAGGTTCATGAAGAAAAAAGAGAACTACTCGGACACTTTTCTCCAACACGTGGCGCTCAATTTCATCCTAGCTGGACGCGACACGTCATCCGCCGCGCTGAGCTGGTTTTTTTGGTTGATCACTCTTAACCCAATAATTGAAGAGAAAATCCTGCACGAAATTTGCACTGTTCTGATCGAGACACGTGGCGATGATGTGGCAAGTTGGTTGGAGGAGCCATTGGAATTTGAGGAAATTGACCGATTGATATACCTCAAGGCAGCATTGTCCGAGAGCCTTAGGTTGTACCCTTCCGTACCCGAGGACTCGAAGCATGTGGTGTGCGACGACGTTTTGCCGGATGGCACATTTGTCCCCGCCGGATCATCGGTGACATACTCCATATACGCAACAGGGCGGATGAAATCGACGTGGGGAGACGATTGTCTAGAGTTTCGCCCGGAGAGGTGGCTATCTCCCGATGGTAAGAAGTTCATAATGCATGACTCAAATAAATTTGTGGCAGTTCAACGCCGGTCCAAGAATATGTCTAGGGAAGGACTTGGCTTACTTGCAAATGAAGTCAGTAACCGCGTCGGTTTTGCTCCGTCACCGTCTCACAGTGGTGCCGGGCCACAAGGTGGAGCAAAAGATGTCGTTAACGTTGTTCATGAAGTATGGACTCATGGTGAATGTGCACAAAAGGGAGCTGGGGGCAATTTTATCAAGCATTAAAAAGGAGATGACGACGGAGGGACAATTGCAAGGGGAAGAGCAAGAGTGTGTGGCCGTTGAATGTAACGGCGACGGTGGTGGAGCGGTGGTTGGGGTGGCTTAAGAAGTTTAATTTTTTGGGTGGTGCATTTTTGGAGTGGTGGAACCTATGAGAAATGAACGGGAGCATCTAGCTTTCCCTTGTAAGCAAAAAGCTTTGCAAATTTTTATTTCCATTCAATATTCTTTATGTCGATCTTGTTTGTTCAGATTTTATAAATTGCTTTTATCAAATTATTATCTTTTACTCAATTTGATTTTCTGCTTCTTGAATTATATATGATCTATGAAGATGTGAGTAAGACTAATTAGTCAGGATAATCTACTCGCTTTAAATCCAGTAAGTTAGAGTAGCTCAGAGTCACTTAGTTAAGAAAAAATTTATTTGATTAACCATTTGATCTTATGGCAAATTTTTGATACATGCATTATTATGTATAATCAACCGTTTAGGTAAATGTTATTTATTCTAACCGCTTGAGTTACAAGCACTAAGCCTTGAGCTTATGGTAATTATGGCAATTAAAAAGAGGGATAAGGTGAATAAAAACTGAACAATGCTTGGCTACTTAAGGATGAGTAAGAACTCATACTCAAAACTCTTTATGTTCGAATTACAGAGGTTTATACTTATGATCAGAACCTTTTATATTATAAATCACTCCATAAAGATAATTTCTACAAACAATAAATTAAAACTAAAGTTGTTTAGTCCATCTATTGTTGCAAATACATAGACGATTTGTAATACTTTTACCAATTCCGTTTATCTGTCTTTATATAGTTTAATGACTAAATGACCTTAATTTAATTGAGTTTTTTGCAAAGACGATATAAAATGATTTATAATATAAACAAATATGATATAAGCATAAAGTTCTCTAGATCAGCAACGGATAATTTTGTGTAAGAATTCCTAATCATTCTTTTGAGCAGCCAAGCATTATTCATAAAAAATTCTATGCAAGTTATAAGGGTGGGGTCTATTCTTATCTATAATCCAATGTAACTGGTTCTTATATTCCATCAACTTGAATGTAGCTGACGGATGGAAATGCCTGGCCCTCCTTACATTGCATAACAGAATGTCTACCAGCTCCATAAAAAAAGGCCTACATATGTTTCTTGTTCTTTCTTCTTCCGATTAATCTGTGAACTATAATTAGAAAAGAAATTAACGGCTAAACAAAATTCCGATCAGCGATTTATTCGGTGATGTGAGCAGCATTGCTGTTGCCTGTGAATCGAACTGCGGAGAAGTTCAGTAAGAAAGAACTCAGGTGGATGACATACTATTACCATTGTATGGGCAAAAGAATAAGGTTCACGGGGGTCTCAAGCCCACCCAGAAGGTGCCTCAGAGGTTGTTACAAAAACAACGATGGCGGTATTTAAAAACCTAGTTCGCTTAGCCGGATTTTCCCTTGTGACGCGTTTCTTCCATCTTGTCATAGTTCCGTTCCTCCTGTTCTTGCATTTCTCTAGTCGAGGATTTTCTCTCCAGTTGAAAACAAGTTCCAGATTAATGTGCCAATGATGTACAATACAACAGAGACCTTGAATACATCATCCCAAGAACCTGCAGAATAGAAGTTCAAGTGCTCAATACAAAACTGGAAACTGGAACTTGAGCGGAAAAAGCGTATTCAGAAAAGAGGTTGAGGGAAGCATTTGATTGTACCTCGTTGGAGTATGTACCCTGTTGCAGCTGTACCGAAAACACCAGCAAGAACTCCTGCTGTGTTTGAGAGTCCCAGCAATACTCCCTGTAATTGTATTTATAAGTTTGATTGTACAGGATTCAGACAATTTGATTACTTGTTTAAATCTTTGGTATGGGATTGAAAGCACAAAGAACATTGTTAATTTAATAGATCAAAAATTGATCACAAAAAGTTGTTCACACAAAATTCCAAGGTAGAGAAAATGCGTCAAGTAGCCATAGATTTTATAACTTTATAAGATAGCAACTCACAGCATAGCGAGGTCCAATGTCTTGGTGGTTGGAGTAGAGACCGGATTGTGAGAATGCATCAGATCCCTGTCAATAAGAAAGAACGCGTGAACAGATAATCCTAGGAGTAATACTTACCAACTAGTTTTTACCTGACTGCATGCCATGCATAGTACTGCCATTGCGGGTGTCTTGACACGGCTCAGCAGTGTAAGGGAAAAGGCTGGTCCCAGAAACCCAATTGATTGCATGATCTGCAATGAAGAACGGATTTGTGGATATCTTAAGAAACGCAAAACAGGGGAGCCGGCACCTGAACCACTTTTAATACTTCAAGAAGTTTAGTCCTTACCTTGCGAACTGTCGTTACAGAAAAACCTTTGGTGACAAGTGTATCTGCAATCCAGCCTCCTATATTTGCAAAAACAGCCATCGTCAACCATGGCAAGACACAGAGGAGCCCGGATTCAGTGAGGTTGAATTTCAGAACCTGTAGTATGTAAAAGGAATTTAGTGACTCAACAATTTATTGATAGGATTGAAATTTAATCTGCTTCTGGGTCAAAATTGTTGATTTGCATGCGGTTAGGTTTTGTGTGAGACATTACTTTATTTTCTGCATTGAAAGATTGCATGGATCTATTATCTTTTCCTATACATGTGAGTGCCCGTATGCTCAATTTTGGAGGAATCAATTCCGTACCTGATTGTAGTATGTAGGCATCCATGTCAATAGAATAAAGGTTCCCCAATTGTGGCAAAAGTGGCAGACTATAAGAGCCCAAACAGGTGTTTTTGATAATATTAGCTTCCAAGGAATGACCTTAACAGGCTCCTTAGATGTGTTTCCAGTTCCACCCATGATAAGTTCTTTTTCCTCTGCGCTAAGCTCTGGATCTTCTTTTGGTGTGCTATATGCCTAACGATACAACAATAAAGATGGTCTGGAGTTAACTTTAATGGATCAACATCAAAATGCAGCTCAAATCAGTTCATTCGTATATTTCATACATGTCATGTCTAATTCCGAGTATATTTTCATGGTATAAGGAGAAGATCACCAGTTAAGTACGACGAATGGGCATGAGAAACAGTTAGTGTAAATCATTTCATATTTCAAAAGACAAGTGACCTTAATAACAATAATTCTGTACACTTACACTTTTAAAAATGAAGATTCAGTACGACAGTTCATTCACACAATCCCGAAAATGAAAGGAAAAAAGTTGTCGCCCCAAGAAATCAAAGCAAGTCTATCCAACAAATTTTCGTCAAATACCATTGTGAGTCAAAGAATACATTAAACACTACAATTGCATATCACATCAAACTTTCCTTTCTAAATGAAAGCATTACTGGATATTGCACAGCTCAAACAAGAACATATTAACGGTCCGGAGATAGGATAATATTTATTTTTCTTTTGAAATAGTCTATCTTAAATCAAGAGTAGACAAGGTAATTCAAGTATTTCAAATGTTGAAGGAAGCAAGAACATACTTTATTCAGCCATAATGCCAACCAGATACTACCAAGAGAGCCAAATGAGTAAAACACAGACGGCCATTTGAACTTCTGGATTAGAATCGGAGAAACGGCCAACCCAGTGACAGAACCAAGGTACATGCCAGTATATACTAGTGAAAGTGCTCTGCTTCTCTCAGACACTGGAATCCACTTAGAGAGTATATTATTCATAGCAGGCATAGCGACACCCTGTGAAACGAACAAGGAATATCTGTTCAGCAATGATAACCCTTACTTGAATTACCAAGAGAAAAATCCTATTTCAGAAAGGAAGCTGAGATACAATTAAATATCAAATGAGAAAAAATTTAAATAATTATACATAAAACCTGAAAGAAAACTTCTGCGTGCTAAACTACAAAAGTGAAATGGGACAATTGGTGTCCAAATTAACTTGTCATACAAATAAAAGTCCCTCATTCTTTTACAAGTTTTAAGGGGTAATCATTTTAGGTTATTTATTTTACTCCTGTTTTGTTTCTTAAGCTGAATGATTTGTTCAAAGCCAATTTCTAAAGGAAAAGTAAGTGTCAAGCGCCAACTAATACAATGCAGAATCGGGGTAAAATAGGATTAGAGATCCAAAGCAAAGCACTAGAAAGACGAACCTCACCAATCCCCATGAAAGCACGCATGATAAGCAAAAAAGGGAGGCTGATTTTTGCTGCAATAGGTGTCAAAATTGTCGCTACTGACCACCAGATCACTCCAAAACCCAATACACGCTTTCCACCAATTTTATCTGCCAAAATGCCTCCAAGAATCTATATACAAGAGCAATCATAAAATTAATACGATCTTACAGGAGAACTGAGAGTAGAAATCGTAGCTTCTAAGCGCATCTGTATGGGAAAAAGAGATAGCATATATCATATATGTATCTTGAACAACAAATATATGCTGTTCTTAATAAAACAGTATCCTCTAGACCATAAAAGGACACAACCATGATTAGATGCCCACTAATGTGCTTAGGAGATTAAGAATGAAGGTGTGCTTAGGAGATTAAAGTTAGTTTATTTTTGAGTAATGCACATACATTAGTATACTTAGTCAAACCTGAGTAAGCAGGTAACCCCAGAAAAAGGAGGACTGAATCAAGCCAACTGTTGCACTATTCCAGTTGAATTCCTGTGACATGGGAAGTATTGCAATGCTCATGTTGACCTACAATATAAAAATTTTACACTGTTAGCTGATTGAGAAGTATCACATTAAAAACCCAATACATTAAAAACATATTTTCGAGTTGTGCAATGCTTATGTTTAACGATGATGTAACATCAAGGTTACTATGATATAGGAAATACTTTTATCTTGAAGAGAATTGCCTTGGTAGCTTGAGACATCTTGTAACTAATTATACAAGAGTATCTGTTGTCAGGAAAGAGGCTATATATGTATGTATATATAAGTGTGTCTATATATCTTGAACCTTACAAACAACATATATGCACAATGATGCAAAACAGAAAAATACTCACACGATCCATGTTGCACAATAGGAATGCTGTAAAACAAAGGAGTACAATCACCCAGCGCTTGGGAATCTCCCACCAAGAAGGTACTTTACGAACATTTCTGGCTGCCAAAACAGCTTCACCTGACCCCTCTATTGATGTGAGTGAGTCCACCTCTGATTCTGTAATGTCATTCTCCTCCGACTTGTAATAAGCACAGGTCCTGTTAACCTTAGCATGTTCATACTTATGATATTTCCCGTAATCAAGCTTATCCAGCTTTCTTGATTGGATACAACTTCTAAAAGAGTGATTCGAAGAAAGATAGCTTTTACATCTTCCTCTAAGTATTTGTTTAGTAATGGTGCTCTGAGACCTTATACCAGATTGCAAAGACATTAGATAAGGGTTATTGCCTTCATCACGCACCCTACCTGTTGCCTTCAGAACGTTTGTATCTGAAGAATCAATTGCACGCTGATAAGGGCTGTACGAATATCCAGATATAGAACCACTAGCCCTGGGAGTACATAAAGTTGGGTAAACTGTTTTCCCCTGATAATACAGACGCTCTCCCTTCTGATGCACAATGGCGTGGTTTGTTTGACGTACCTTTCCTGCCAATATCAAAGAGTCATAAAGTAACAATGTAACCGCCTCTGAAACATCAAAATTTCAACAGTATCAGCAATCCTAAATTGTCTCATTATCTATTTGTAGTCTCCTGGTATATAATTTGTCCAAATTTTGTTGAGCCAAATTAAGCAAGTCCTTAATGAACTTAGCAAGACAAAATTATTCCCAAATTTGCTCAGTGGTTGAGTGAAAAAGGTAGTTCTTGCTTAGTGCTTACGTGCACATATTCATACATACATGCACACATAAATGTACATATCCATGTCTGTGTGAAAACAAGAAACCCATCTAAATTTATTGGCGGAAAAATTTACATGCACCGAAAACCGCAAATTGTATTGAATTGTTGAATTCAATAGTAGAATTCAATTAAAGAATAATACTTGCGTTCCCTCATGGGGAATGCATTTCCCACCTTTTGCATATAATTATCATAATCATAACCATTCAAATTCTTTATCTTCATTTGAAGATCATCCCTATAAAAAATTTATTCAAATCGGAGATTGTTTAGTTATCAATATATTTGGATGACTAGATGTTCTTCGATTCGAATGATTGTCTATAGGGATGATCTTCAAATAAAGCTTAAGAAGTTAAACGGTTCTGATTATAAAATTCATATGGTGAATATAGGTTATTCGAAAGAAGTGGGTTATGTGCATTCCCCCATTGGGGGAACACAAGTATTATCCTCAATTAAATTACTACATTCCCATCAAAATTCATCACAAAAATCAATAATTTGCTACTGAAAATCTATCAACATATCCAAATTATCCACATAGAATGTAAGGCGGAAGAAGCAACATGCAACTAGATTAAGTAGTTCACCTCACAAAATTGGAAAATTCAAAAAATAAAACAATCAAATTCAACCGCATGCATGCAATAATTCCACTGCAAACAAGCAAGAATTCACAAAATGCAACCAAAAATAAAAATACTGAAAAAAATATATATATATAGAACAAGTTAGAAAAGCCAAGCTACTATACCTGAACCGATAAAAGAACCGAAATTCCGGTTCGATATCAAACCTCCGATCGCCATTGAATTTATCTCCAACAAAAAAGAAGCTATAATCTCAGTGGATCGAACAAAATTCTTACTCCATTTCAGAACCCAGAGAGTCGAACAACCAGAAAGCTTAGAGGCAGTGACTGTGCGGGACGAATCGATGCGACGCCGTTTTGGAGCTCTCTCTGTGTGCCTCGTTGCTTCTCCGTCGTTTTCACTCTCTCCCAACGCTCGAGAGGATAACCAGAGGCTTTTTTCTCATACAAACATTTTATGCAAGATTTTTTCTGATTTTTATTTTTATTTTTTATTATTTAAACAAGCGGGAAAATTGGGTGGGCGTTGTACTCGAAGGAAGATCGGTCGACAGGCTGACACGTGTCGCATCATTCTCGTGAAGGGAAGAGGACAAAGTTATCCAAATACCCCTCCATGCAAGTTGGATATCCAGTGGATTTAGATGGGTGAAAGGATAATTAGAGGGAACGAGTATGGGTATTTTTGAGAATGGGGTTAAAAAATCTGGGTCCTCAAGAACAACGGAGCAATGGCCACTCACGATTATGCATAATTTATACTTTCGTTATTTATTTGTTGTGTTTATTTTTGTTTAAATTTTCTGGCCTAGTAATTTAGCCGACGTGGAATATTCGTATACGTACCCTAAGGAATACGTTGAAAGAGGGGATGGTAAACGTCAGTTTTATTAGGCCTAATGTCAAATAGATCAAATTTTGTATATCAAATGCGTGGACGCTAATGATTTGATTACTATTTTAGTGTTAATTTTCTTTTGGTCCAACAATAGTTTTGTTAAATTAGCTACCAAAAGAGTTTGAATCAACATCATTATGTAAGGACTCAACACATTTCCACCACTGTGGTAAATAGCCTCTTGCTGCTTAAGTGTTAATTAACGTGTTTATTTTTTATTGGTAACAGATCGTTTGGTTTACGAACTTAATTTAAAAATTGGGTAAAGTACAAAAAACTACCTCAACTATTGATGTCACGACATTTTCATACCTCATCTTTTAAAATTGACAATGTCATACTTCATTTTTAGAATTTGGTCCAATGTTATACCTTCCGTTACTTGGCCGTTTACTTTTCAGTTAAATGCTGATGTGGCCGTTTACGTTTCAGTTAAATGCTGACGTGACTTGATTCGGAGTCCACTTTCTATTAAAAATCATTAAAATATTATTAAAAACTAAAAAAAATTATTTAATATTATTTAAATATTAAAATAATAATAAAAAGTAAAATAATTATAAAAAAAAAAACCATCAGTTCGTCCCTCCCTCCCCCTCCTCCCTCTCTTCTCCCCATCTTCATTTTCTTCCCCCCACCTACAAACCCAAAAAAAAAAAAAAAAAAATTTTGAAAACCCAACAACCCCCCCTGCGGAAGAACAAGAAGGAGAAGGAGGAGGAGGAGGAAGAAGAAGAAGAAGAGGGAAAAAAAAAAATCCCCCCCCCCCCCCCGGGCGGTCAGCGCGGAAGAAGAAGAAGGGAGAAGGAGAAGGAGGAAGAAGAAGAAGAGGAAGAAAAAAAAAAATTTGAAAACCCATCAACACCCCCCTGCGGAAGAAGAAGGAGAAGAAGGAAGAAGAAGAAGAAGAGGAAAAAAAGGAGGAAGAAAAAAAAAAATTTGAAAACCAATAACTCCTCTGCGGAGGAGGAAGAAGAAGAAGGAAGGAAAAAAAAAAATTTTGAAAACCCATCAAACCCCAAATCTAACACTCTCATCCATTCTCCACATCCTCTTCTGCACCCATCCTCCACCTTCTCTGCGCACCTATCTTCCCGCCGACAGGGTCTGGGGTTTTTTTTTTGGGTTGCAGGAGGGAGAAGAGTGTGGGTGTGGGTGTGGGGGAAACTGAGTGTCGGTGTGGGAGAAGACAAATTGGATTTTTTTTTTTTTGTTGGGATTTGCAGGTGGGGGAAGAAGATGAAGATGGGGAGAGGAGGGAGGAGGGAGGAGGGAGGAGGGAGGAGGGAGGAGGGAGGAGGGGGGAGGGGAGGGACGAAATGAAGGTTTTTTTTTTTTTTACTCTACTTTTTATTATTATTTTAATATTTAAAAATATTAAATAATTGTTTTTAGTTTTTAATAATTTTTTAATAGACAGTAGGTTTCGAATCAAGCCACGTCAGCACTTAACAGAAAAATTGACGGAAGTATGACATTGTCACAAATTGTAAGATACGGTATGATATTGTCAATTTTAAAAATGAGGTATGAAACTGTCGTGATCATAATAGTTGAGATAGTTTTTTGTACTTTACCCTTAAAAATTTGGTTAGCTTTACCTGTCTTATTAATGCAATACCCCCGAATAAAAGATCTAGTTAGTTGAAAAGAGATGAGTCTTTCATGCTCTTGAAAAACCAAGGAGAAAAGAAGAGATTTATGCAACTTTGAATAATTTGATTATGTACACGAAAATAGAGTTTACAAGTAGTTTAAAATTACAGGATATAAATATTTTTTTTTCTCAAAAGCGAGTCAGAGTAGTCACGTAACTCAATGTAACAGTAAAATGGATAAAAATTAATTGCAGCTAGTGCATTTTTATTACAATCGATCCTACAATAAAATGTGCGTTGGCCACTATTGAAATGTACAAGTTCTTAAATTTTCATGTAAAAAAAGTCATGGGTTCAGTTTCGAAATAAGTTAAAATACAATTAAGTACGAATCGAACTTCAGTAATAGGTTAAAAAATATGTTTAATTTTCATGTATTGAAATAAGTTTGTTATATGTTCAGTTAATTTTTGAAACAGATAATTAAAAAATTTAACAGTGTTAAGTCTTAGTTAAGTTGGAGGACACGTGTTGAAAAAGTATCAAGAAAACACATGAAGGAGACACATAGTTGGGGATAGCAGATTTGATTTGTCGACTTAGATTTAGTACGTTAATTTGATTTGATTCGTTGACTCTAATTTAGTTACCAACTAGTAAATTTTACCCGCACGTTGTTGCGGGAACGAAAACATAACTATAGATTATACTTTTAACATATAAATAACCAAAGACTAAGATAAACATTAAGAAGAAAATGGAGCAAAATTTTTACAGAGCTGTAACTCACAGAAAAAACATTGTCAAATGCCTTGTCATATGCAATAAAACAAATAACTCATCCTTAACACAGAAGATCAAATGTTTGTAAACTAATTTTACTAAAAAATAATCAATTACCTTTTCACCAACCAATGTACAATGTAAGCTTGTATGTTTATCGTCCATGCCTGGATACTTTGGTTTCCATATTCTACCCAAATGCACTTTAATTTTGACAACCTTTTTATATGCCACCAATTGGTCAAGTGGAGTTGGACCTTCGTCTTCTATTTAATCTATACAAACGAAATACAAATTTTGTAACCACACCATAATATCCATTTTTATCTATACTATAAATAGATAGAGAAACAATACAATAATGCTTTAACCAATTAGTGGCCAAGTGGCCATCTACTTTCGTCCAAATAGAAAAAGGCGACAAAAAAAAAAAAACAAATAGAAAGGCTAGAGCCTTTCGGTGCATATAATGATGCCTCTACCTTATTTTGGGGAAAGTAAAGGCTACTTTATTTTTTTAATTGTTTTGCAATTTGAAGTATGTTAATTAGCTGTAACACTTTATAATTAAAAATTGAAAATTGATGACTCATAAGCTAAACTAATTCATGACTGCATCCGAGGAAACAATGATAATAAGCTATCGCTAGTTTTATCTCAAACACTACACTAAATTTAAGCGCCATAATAATATAGTTAGCACCACAATAATATACCCAGAAAACAAAAATCACAAAAAAGGATCAATTGGGAGCTCAATTAACAGAAAATGAAAAAAAGGAAGAGTATTAGAGATAAGGAAGAGTGTTAGAGATTCACGATTCAGAATTTTGGAAGAGTGTAGACAAAGCATTTAAAATTTATTGAAATACAATGTGAATTTGGTGTACTTATAAAGAATGTAATGACTGACAGAACTATAAACATAATCAGAATTTTGGAAAGGAAATTATCAAATAGCCAAAATTAAGTCTGCAAATGGTGTACTACGCAAAAGATGAAAGCTTTACCAAATACCCAAAAGTTAAAAAACAAACACACAGGGAAAAAAAAAGAAGAAGAAGGTGAAAATACCTTTTATAAGATCTTGAGCTCCTCACACGCGTTCCACTTCATCTTCTTGATGGCATAGAAATCTCCATTAATGAAACCTTTATACACAGACCCTTTAATCAAGCTACTCTCTCTGAAACCATCTGTGGCCTCTCCCAACTTTTCAATCCCAAACACCCTGTACTTGTCCAAGCAATCCATTATAAATTGTCATAACAAAACATCGATTCCACGAAAAATTAAAAAATTCCTACTTTTAAACAGAACAATCCTCACCCACAGCTTCAAAGGTGTTTTGTAAACCTCTCAGCACATCTTTCCAAATTGGATTCCTCACCTCCATCCTCTGCTACCTAACCTGAGCAATCCATGTTATATATATATAAATAAGGAATTTTAAAATATTATAGCAGAAAATCAATTACATACAACTTTTCTTTAAACACTCTTTAAATGAAGAAAAGAAAACTAACCTCTTGTAGAAGTGATGAGAAGGAATGAAAAACCAAAACACCACCTGTTCAAAAATACAAAAATGAAAAATCAAAATGAAGAACAAAAAAGACAGCAATCTTCACAACTATGTGCAAAATAGCGAATTTGTGTTATCATCATACTATCCTCACCATTATCAGTATCACTACCACCTGCAATTCCTTGCTCGCCGATTTCAAATCACTCTAATTCTCATCCCATTTAACGGGTTTTGAATTGTTACTAACTTCTACAATTCTCAAATCACAAAATTCCAATAAGGGCATATGCCGAAACACCAAAAAAATCCATACAGAGATCATTTAAGGATTGACATACAAAAAAAATCCATAATTCAAACTTTAAAATGCAGAACAGACAAAGAAAACCCAAAGTTAATCATGGCCATTTTTCTTCTTTTAAATTCCGGACAAAAATCAAACCACAGATAATCAGAACAACCAAACCCAAAAATTTGCCAAAAAAAAAACCTGAACAACAATAAAATTAATTAGTCTAAACCTTAAACAGCAGCCATATCCCTTCCTCAACAATTTTTAAATTTTAATTAAAACACAAAAAATATTATAAAAAGGTTAAAGATAAATAATATAACCGTAGCCATATCCATTCCTCGACAATCTTTCAATTTTAGTTAAAACGCAAAAATTATTAAAAACAAACGCTTAAAGATAAGTTATATTCCTGATCCAGAAAGCGTTTGCAAACTCCCACAACAAACCCCTAAAATTGGAAGATATAGGTTTGCGGCAGCCAAAAACGAAATCAGACAAAAGATCCACATGCAAATCAGCAAAAAAAATAAAGAGAACACTTAGCAAGAATCGAATTTTACAACAACCAATTGAAAATTTTTCTTACCTACCAAAGCAGCCAAACCGTTGCGATTCCTCCGCGGAAAACAGCGGAAAAAAAACAGTCCAACCACCCTTCTAAACGATCGGATCGCGATGAAAACAGCGAGACACACAGAAACACAGACAAACACAAAGAGGGACGGAAAAGCAGAGAGAAGAAAAGAAGAGGAAAGAGAGAAATGAAAAGAGAGACGGAAAAGCAGACAGAAGAAAAGCAGAGAGAAGAAAAGAAGAGGAAAGAGAGAAATGAAAAGAGAGACGGAAAAGCAGAGAGAAGAAAAGAAGAGGAAAGAGAGAAATGAAAGATGCTTCAGCATCTTTCCTAGATAAGCTGATATCCACGCACGCGCAGCACGTATCATGAAGGGCAAAATGGATAATTTACTGCACAATCCCACCAAAACCGAAGAACCATGAAGAAAATGAGGGACGAAACCGGTAGGGAACTGTTAATGAACAGTTCTTTTTCACCGGCTTTTAGTATATATAGAATGTTAGTTATTTAGTTAAGTGGGTAAACACATGTCAGGTAGTTAGAGAAGATGTACATAAAGGAGACACTAAAACGGTTAATGTTAGTTATTTAGTTAAGTGAGTGAACATATGATGAGTAATTAAAGAAGACATAAAGGAGGCACTAAAAAGGCGGCTAGTACAAATCAAACTTCAATAATCTTTCCTTTTTTTCTTAGTACAATAGTCTCTCTCATTTTTTTTTAATACAAACAATACAATACAACACAATACAAATACAAATACAAATACAAATACAAATACAAATACAATACAAACAATAATAAAGGCCTAGCTCCATACTCCAAAAGGCACCCCTACAGAATATTAGCGCACAAATGATGCATGCATGGCAACTTTGACTGATGACGGGAAGCAGTTGGTAATTTCCTCGATCAGAAGATATCAGGAGCTACCTAAGAGATAAAAGTAAACAAGCGGCGGTAATTAAGTTTGATAACAAAATTACTACTCATATATGTGCGTGTGTACGTGTATCTGTGAGATGAAGATCGGTACGTACCTCGTAGTAAAATTACCGCGCGCTTGTCGTTTGAGATGGTTTGAGCATCCACCGTTGCCTGATCAAGGCAATCCTCACATAAAACCAGTCATCTAAAACATTTAAGAAGTTGATGTACGCGTATCTCCATGACCTGATGAATATCAAACTGCCACAAACTCCCCAAAATCCAGCAAAAAATCCAAGCCCCGCACATATGTAAAATCCCTTGCTTATAAGCTCATCCTTCTCTTCTTCTTTTCTCATCCCAATGTTCTGATCTGGATGATCTGTTTTTTCTGGAATACACGGCTTTTGAAGTGGAGGTCCACACAACTGAGGGTTTCCAGCATAAGTAGAGGGATCAAAGCTTTGGAGCTGAGTTCCAATGGGAATTTCGCCAAACAAGTTGTTGTATGACAAGTCCAAGACACCAAGGCGATCTATTCGAGAAAGGCTTGTCGGAATTCTTCCATCTAACTGGTTTCTTGACAAATCAAGGGCATCCAATGACTGCAACTTTCCAATGTCTGGAGTTATGTGACCTGTTAATCGTTTTCTCGATAGGTTTAAAGAAACCAATCCAACTAAATGACTGATTTCTTTTGGTATCTCCCCGATTAATCTGTTGCTTGAGAAATCAATTCTCTTCATAAGCCCCAAAGTGTTTCTGTATACTTGCATGCTTCCCTTCCATATGAAGGCCGCATCATCCTCATACTCATCTGAAATCTCGGGCGCCTCGTAATAATGTGTGATCTTCATATTTGGATTTCCTTTCTGAGCTAGAGTAGTCAAATTATTGAGGCACTTGGGTATACCTCCCGAGATGTTGTTCATAGAGAAATCCAAAATCTGAATGCGTGATAGACGACATAACTGTGATGGCATGCTTCCATTGAAATGATTAGATGAAAGCATTAGGATAATCAAATCCTGAAAACTAACTCCTAACCATTTTGGTATAGGTCCTGATAATGTATTATTTCCAAGATCAATAACTCTTAAACCTGTGCAGTTCTTCAAGGATGAAGGCAATTCTCCCAAAAACCTGTTGCTTCTTAACTTCAGCGTTTCCATCCGAAATAAGGAGCCTATTGTGGCAGGAATTTTCCCAGAAAGCGCATTGTAACTCAAATCGAGCATGACCAGATTGTCCAAATATGTCAAGAAATCTGGAAGTTGTCCATAGAGATTGTTACTTGAGAGATTAAGAAAGGTTAAACTTGTTGCGGTCGGTGCACGCAACCAAGTAATCGGCCCGGAAAAATTATTATTTGAGAGATCGAGGAATGACGCTTGTGATAGAAATGAGGGGATTGGACCTTCCAATTTGTTGGAACTCAAATGTAATTGAGGGGAATATGCAAACTCCAATGTCAAATTTGCAAGTATTGTTCCTCCAATTTGATTGTGTGAGAGATTCATGAAGGCCAAATTAGGAGACATTCCTCGCCAAAACCAACTTGGAAGGATATCGAAAATTCCAGCATTTGAAATATCAAGTCTAGAATAAAAGTTCTGAGTTTGAAGCCATTGTGGAAAATTTGGACCTACCTTGCAAGAACCTAGTATTATATAATCCAATTGGAAAGGAGGAATCCAATCCGAATGGAAGTTTAAAACTAGAGAGTTAAAGGACAAATCCAAATATTTCAATCTGGCAAGTCGTGAGAAATGGCTTTCGGAAATCACCCCTTCCAAATGATTCATACTAAGGTCGATACTCTCGAGCTTAGACATTTTCCCAATAGTTTCAGGAATTATTCCACTTATTTGATTGCCAGAGAGATCTAAATCTTTCAACGACAAAAACTTTATAAGATTACGAAATGGCCCGACAAGGTGATTGTAAGAGAGGTCCAGAAACTTTAATGAGTTTTGAGCGCATGCAGACATTAATATTTGAACCAACTGGGAAAATTGTCCACTCAGTCTGTTGTTCCTGAGGATCAACGATTGCAAACTGCATAACCTAGCAAAAGAATGCTGATTCCATCCTTCAATTTGGTTAAAAGAGAGATCAAGATAGGAAAGCGAGGTCATGTTTCCAACAACACCAGGAATTGGACCAGTTAAATTGTTGCCAATGAGGTCAAGATAAACAAGGCTTGTACTATAGGTTGACAACCATACGAATATCGAAGAAGATGTGAGACGGTTCAAACTGAAATCAGCATGAGCAAGATATTTAGAAGAATTTATGGTAAAGAGAGTGGAAGGCATTGGAGGAGAATGAAGAGAACAATCCCTTAATGAAAAGTCCCTTAGCTTAGGGAGCTTATTAATTGCTTCGAGCCAGTCATAAGTGTTATTGAGATTGTTGTAACTCAAATCCAAATGGGTTAATGAAGAAAGACGAGGGAGCCAAGAATTGAGATTTTGCACAACATTAGTAGCAAAGTGGTTGTAGGCAAGATTGAGTTGTAGCAAGTGTGAAAGGTTTCCAAGCTGACTTGGAATTCGACCACCAAAAGAAGCGTCAGAGAGATCGAGGTATCTTAAATTGGATAGGGAACCAATGAAATCTGGAATTTGGCTCCCATTGAAGTCAATTCCATAGAGGCTCAAATATTTCAAATGCTGCAACTCAATCAGTTTAGGGCTTATCGTCTTACCTTGCAAATCATATAGTAGAAGATCAAGTTTGATAACATGATCACCTTTGGTTTGGTTGCTGCAGAAAACTCCTTCCCATGTGCAACAATCAGGAGATCCCCAAGAAGTGAGTTGGTTGTATTGATCCACGAGGCCTTGTTTGAAAGCAAGGAGTGCTTCCCTTTCCCTCTCTATGCACCTCACCGCCACACCAGAAGCATCACCGTGGCCAAGTGCTACTCCTGAAGAAACTTTATTATCGAATCCAAGGGATAGAGAAGGGGTGAAATGTTGTAACGAAATTAGCACCGCAATCAAAGCATAAAAGTGCATCTTAATATTCAAATCAACGTAAAGGCGATTGAATAATCGAGAAGCAGCACAACTATTTGGGGTTTGTTAATGGAATGTAATATCGAAAAAGATGGGAGCACAATGAAGGTGCAAGTGTATATGGATGTCTGAGTACTTCACAAACAAGCTTGCATCGAATATATATATATACACAATTAGTTGAAGCAAATTATATTTACTAAAACCCAGTTGGTTTCTGGCACTGTTCAGCAATAGTGTTCGGACGGATCTGCCCCTGGCTTCTTTGCTTTCTTCCGTTTCTCTCCCTTGCTTCGTGGGTTGGAGAGACCCCTATTGTTATCCTTCTTTTCTTCGGGATTCTTTCACTCTTTGGCCACGTGTTGATCATCCTGAGTATCTTTTTTTTCCATTCTGACTCCCTCTTCTATTTTACTTTTTGTGTAACCATCCGGCTCTCTCTTCGATTCCAGCATTTTATTCTTACCTAATCCACACTGACAGCAATGGTACATGCCTTTCCATCAAAAAAAAATTAAAAAACCTTACCCCATCACATCTTGCAGCAATGATGCATGGTTTGCCACCAAAAAATAATTAAAAAACCTTACCCCATCACATCTCGCAGCAATGATGCATGGCTTGCCACCAAAAAATAATTAAAAAACCTTACCCCATCACATCTCGCAGCAATGATGCATGACTTGCCACCAAAATATAATTAAAAAAAACAAAAAACTGGAACATGTTTGCCTCTCTTCAATTGCATCTCTCCAAATCTCCTTCAGTTTCCAGTTGCTTTCCTTTTCTCAACCTTTGGTTTCCGATCTTCTCATCTTTCTCATTTTTCTCTGCCAAATCATCTGTGCAAATTTCTTGCGTTTAAAACCCTTGGGAAAAATAAATAGTTGTTGCATCCTCCGTTTAAAATCCCTGGGTTAGTACTGATTTTGTTGGTTTTTGGATTTTATCAGGGTGGATTTGTTACCTCCAAGGTCCACCTCTGGTTGCTGGTGAGTTTTTTTAACCTTTAAAGTATTGCTGTTTTAATTTTTATTTTTGTAGTTTTCCATGTTCAAGTGGGATTTTTGTATGAATTTTTTTTTCCTTCTAATTCTGGGTGTTTTCTTTATATCGTTAGATCTGATGTCTGGGTGTATGATTTGTTTGTGTTTTTCGTTTCAGAACACGATGCTCTATGTTTTTTGGAATTTAGTTTTTGTAGTTTTTGGTGTTTTGTTTATATCCTTGGAACTGTCGTTTGGTTGTATGATTTGCATCTCTTTTTTTGTTTCATGACAATTTGCTCTTTGTTTTTTGGGGCTTCTATGTGCAACTTCGAAGCCGTTTATGCTCAAGGTAAATAATTTCAGTTTTTTCCTTTTATAGCATTTTCTGCAACAAATTTTTTATTTTTTTTTAAATATTGTGAAGTTGTGTTTTCTATAGTGTGAAAGTCGAATATGTGAGAATTATAGATATATAGATATATATATATATATATATATATATATTAGATTTTGTTGTCTTTTGGGGTTGTATTCTGGAGCTTGCAAGCCATTTTTGGGTCAGGTATATAATTTATCTCTTTGATGTTAAATTTATTTTTTATTTGGGTTTTTTGATTGTTTGTGGTTCAATTTTTCCCTGAAAATTTAAAAAGAGAGGAATGGTCATGATTAATTTTTCTGTCTTGAATGTCAAATTATCAGTGTATAGATGCAAAAAATGATTTCAGTGTGTGTAGGCAAGATAAAATTTCTATGTCAAATGGTGAAGTATCACGACTTGGTTTCCAGTTTTAATGTTCTTTTTGTTGTTTTTAGGTCTTTTTGCTTTCCTATTTTTGAGTGAGTTATTTGTGATCATTTTGCATTTATCAAAATTAAATTAGGGGAAATTGGTCTCTGTGTTGTGCCAGATCTTTACAGATTACATTTGGCTTAGTTTTGTGGATTTCATTTGGTTTGTGTAGCTATTTTTTGCCTGATTTTTTCTTAATCTTATATGGTTGGGTTGTAAATTGTGGCTTTCCAGTATTTTTATTTTGTGGTCTTTAACTAATAGACAATTTGCTCTGAGGTAAAAGGAAAAGAAAGTCAAGTATACGAATGAGTCAGAAAGTAAGGTGTGACTATTTTGAAGTACCTGTGACACTACTGTTATATTTTGGGTACGTTTTCTATCCTTCTATTTTTTTCCAGTTTGGGGATGCACTGATAATTGTTGGATTAAAAATAGATTTCTGTTTTTTAGGAAGAAGTAAAATTTTCTAGGAAAGTTAAGACTTTTTGTTTGATTTTCTTCTGCAGCCATAAAATCTGTAACTAATTTCCAAGTATACAAGAAGGTTGCTGGGTTGAGTTCGGTTACACAAATAACACCGCAGTATACCATACAAAGGTTTTTTTCTTTCCTTTTGCCTCTTTTTTGGGATATTGGTTACAAAATCTGTTTTGAGTATAGGTGTGAAATTTACACTAGGGGTTAGTAAGTTAATTAGTTAATTTCATTCTCAATGTGCACAAATGTTGTTCCTGCATTAATTAATTCTCTTTGTATCGAAATTGAATAAATCTAATCCTCCTTCATAACCACTCATTCTACTAAGATATGCAATGCAAATATTTGCTATCTCCTGCCTGTATTTGATTTTAATTGTTAAAGTCAGTAATCAATTCTATTTGGATTTTTTGGTAGCGTAAGTACATCCGCGCTCATCTCTAATCTTGCAAACACAGTGCATCTGTCACATTGGTAAACTATGATATTCTTTGTTTTAATAATTAACTCAACTTTTGTTTTCCTAGAAACTACTACCGTTCACTTGGAGATATTAAATAAACACCAAAAAAAAAAAAAAAACAAACGAAAGGAAAACATGTACCCAGCCACCCCCAACTTTCAGTTATTTAATAATCTTAAACAGTCAACTGTGCACTATCATCATATATTACAATAGATAGTTCATGTGAACAAATAAGTGTTTATTTGTTTTGATGAGTTTTCTGATGATGTGTTTTTTTTTTTTTAACAGGATTTGAAAAATCTAGAGTATTTTGGATTTAAAGCTATTTGTTCTCACCTTCCAAGGCGCTTTGTCCTCAAGGTAACTTATTTAAAGTTCTGAAATTATTTATTAAAACTTTAACAATGCAGTTTTCTTTTGCATTTTGTTAAATTGAAATGAAACTCTTCTGACATGTCATTAATTTGTGTGATCTTTATTGTTTTTATATATATATCTTATATTTTTATTGATTTTTTTCATTCTTTTTTTAATCTGTTGTGCAGTTGTTTGTTTGTTTCCATCATGTCTGAAAAATGTACAAATGATGCTATAAAACGAAACAAAAGCGTTGGTGACAGTGAATCTAATACATTGGTTGACGATGGTCATCAGCGAAAAAGAATGTGTAGAGCGAGTTATATGCATAATTCTGAAGATGTTATTATGTCTGCAACTGACACATTTATTTGCAAATATTCATCAGTTGAATATCAATGTTCCTCCAGTACATCTTCTACTAACCACTGTGTGATTGAGCCTGTTAACGATGATGAAATGTTGGATATCATCCCGCTTGAAAAAGCCATGTACACCTCTGATAAAAAAGGGAAAAACGTTGTGAGTTTGTTCAACAATGTTGAAAACAGAATTCAAAAAATCGTAGATGCTGATAATTGTTGTCCAATGAAGAAGGGTCAGGCATTTTTCCAAAAAAATGAAATGGTATGTTTTGAATTTTTTGCAATAATTGTTTTCTTTAGGCTTGGTTTTAGGATTAAGTTACTTCCATATAGTGATTATATTTTTTTATATATGTTTTTTTTGTAGGGGTTGTGAAAGATTATATGGATTTGGGTGATAAAAGTTATAAATGCGTGTATTGCGGTGCATATTTTTGGTTAAAAGAGTCTCTTAAACAAAGCTGGACAAAAAATCAACCAATTTTCACTCTCTGTTGTCAACAAGGAAAAATTAAATTTTCAAGTCCAAAGCCAACACCATCTTTTTTAGATTCATTGCTTGATCCAAATGGAAGTCAAAAAAAGTTTATCATTTCGAGAAAATATTAGAGCTTACAACTCTATGTTTTCATTTACTTTAATGGGAGCAAAAGTTGATCACTCAATTAATGATGGATCAAGTCCTTACATTTTTAAAATTAGTGGTCAAGTTTGTCATTTGATGGGTTCTCTTTTACCTGTTGATAATGAGTCTCCAAAATTTGCTCAGTTATATGTTTATGATACATATAATGAAATACAGAATCGTCTTAGAGCTTTTGATTGTGATGGAACAAATAAAAAACTTGATTCAAAAATTGTGGAAAACTTGATTAAAATGTTTGATGAATCAAATGAGTTGGTCAAACTTTTTCGAACAGCAAGAGACAAATATGAAACTGATAGTCTGACCAATTTAAAACTTACGTTGCTAGGGAGACAACCAAATGATAGCAAGCAATATGATCAACCAACAAGTGATGACATAGGTGGTTTAATAGTTGGTGATATAGGTTTATCTAATTCTAATAGAGATATTATTGTAGATTGTAAAAGTGAAGGATTAAAGCGTGTTACAAAATTGAATCCAAAATTTATGGCTCTTCAGTATCCTATTCTTTTTCCATATGGTGAAGATGGGTATAGACCAGATTTAAAATGGAATGAAAATTATAACGGTCCAAAAACAAAGAGACAAAGAATACCTATGAGAGCTTATATAGCTTACCAGATTCAAGAAAGAGATCCATACTTAACTACACTGTTAAAAGGTGGTAGACTTTTTCAACAATATTTGGTAGATTCCTTTGCAACACTTGAAGAAGATAGGCTGGATTATATTAGACAAAATCAGAAAAATTTAAGAAGTGAAATTTACAAAGGAATTTATGATGCAATGTCAAGAGGTGACAATGATGCAAACAATTTAGGCAAAAAAATTGTGTTACCTGCTTCGTACACAGGAAGTCCTAGATATATGATTAATAATTATCAAGATGCTGTGGCTATTTGTAGAGAATATGGTCATCCTGATTTGTTCATAACGTTTACATGCAATGTAAAGTGGCCAGAAATCATAAGAGAATTTGAAAAAAAAACCAGGATACAAGCCTGAGGATAGGCCTGATATAATTTCTAGAATATTTAAAATGAAACTTGATGATATGCTCGATTTCATTAAATCTGGAAAGCCCTTTGGACAGGTTGAGGCAAGTAAGTTTCTTAAAACTTATTTTTTCCCTTATCTGAATTTTTTTTCCTTTTTTTTGCTTCATCAGGCTAACCCTTTTTTTTTTTTTTTTTTTGTTTCAATTATTTTTGGAAACAGATGTTTGTACAATTGAATTTCCCTTTTTTTTGCTTCATCAGGCTAACCCTTTTTTTTTTTTTTTTTGTTTCAATTATTTTTGGAAACAGATGTTTGTACAATTGAATTTCAAAAAAGAGGTTTGCCTCATTCTCATATGTTAATCTGGTTGAAATCGGATTTTAAATGTTATATGGCATCAGATATAGATTCAATTATTTATGCTGAATTACCAGACAAATTTGTCAATCCTCAGCTTTATGAAATTGTTAACCAATTTATGATTCATGGGCCATGTGGACATATTAATCAAAATTCTCCTTGCATGCGAGAAAATAAGTGTTCCAAAAACTTTCCTAAGCCATATAAAAATAACACAATTTTTGAAGACAATGGTTTTCCTGTTTATAGGCGTCGTGATGATGATACAAAATATGTGATAAAAAATGGAATCAAAATTGATAACGGTTTTGTGGTTCCTTATAACGGTGAATTACTTTTAAGATATAATGCACACATAAACGTTGAATCCTGCTGTCAATCAATGCTTATAAAATATTTGTTCAAATATGTAAATAAAGGTTCAGATAGAGCACGGTTAGTCATTCAACAAGATCCAAATGATGAAATATTAACGTATCTAAACTGTCGATACATATCACTTTATGAAGCTGTTTGGAGATTGTTCCAATATTCTATACATCATATGGAACCTTCTGTGGAACGATTACCGGTGCATTTACCATTAGAACAAAATATTGCTTTCAGTGGGGATCAATCAATCCGTTCAATTCTTAAACAAAATGCTTCTGACCATACAATGTTAACAAGTTGGTTTGAAATTAACAAAATTTATAACGAAGCACGCGCACTTACTTATGCACAAATTCCTTCAAAATTTTTATATGATACGAGGAAAAAAATTTGGAAACCAAGAAAACAAAAAGGTTCAATAGGTAGAATAGCATATGTGCATCCTGCATCTGGTGAATTATATTACTTGCGAATGCTTTTGAATTTGAAAAAAGGTGCATTAAGCTTTGATGATATAAGAACTGTTAATGGTATTATACATCCTTCATATCATGCTGCCTGTCAATCATTGGAATTATTAGGAGATGATAAAGAATGGATTGAGGCTTTATCAAGTGCTGTAAATGTTGCTTCTTCTCCTCAATTGAGACAATTATTTGTTACAATACTTTTGTTCTGCGATGTGGGAAATCCTCAAATTCTTTTTGATACTCATTGGCAAAACATGTATGATGACATTTTGTACAATTTGCGAAAAACTTTTGCAATTCCTGATATGATCATACCACAGGATGAATTAAAAAATTCTGTATTGTTTGAGTTAGAATTACTTTTTAATAATGCATCAAGTTCTTTGGCCAAATATCATTTACCAATGCCTGATGCAAAAAAAATGTTAGAAATTAAAAATAAACTTTTAAGAGAAGAATTAAATTATGATTGTGAAGAATTGTCAAAAAAACACACACTTTTAAAATCGCAACTTAATCAAGGTCAAAAACTTATTTATAATTCTGTTATAGATGCTGTAGACAAGAAAAAAGGTGGACTATTTTTTGTTTATGGTCATGGAGGCACTGGAAAAACTTTCTTATGGGATGCTATTATAAGTAAGTTTAGATCTGAGAGAAAAATTGTTTTAGCTATGGCATCATCAGGAATAGCTTCGTTGTTATTACCAGCTGGTAGAACAACACATTCCAGATTTAAAATACCCCTGGTCCTTACTGATTCTTCAATTTGTGCAATAAAAAAGAAAACTCACCTTGCTACATTAATCGAAAAAACGGATCTAATTATATGGGATGAAGCACCTATGAATCACAAACATTGTTTTGAAGCATTAGATAAATCTCTTTCTGACATTATGTCCCACTTAAATGGATTACAAAATAATATTCCTTTTGGTGGTAAAACTCTTTTATTAGGGGGTGACTTTCGCCAAATATTACCTGTTATACCTGGAGGAAGCAAAGAAGATATAATAAATGCTTCTTTGAATAGTTCTTATTTGTGGTTACATTTTAAAATTTTTTATTTAACAGAAAACATGAGATTATCAAAAAATGGATTAAGCATTGATGAAAAGAAAAAAATCAGTGATTTCGCAAATTGGATTTTACAAATAGGTGATGGAAAAATTGGTGAAAATAGTTCAGATGATAAAGACACATTTTTGATTCAAATACCTAAAGATTTGATAGTTCATTCTTTTGGAAATCCAATTTTATCAATTTTTTTAGCAACTTATCCCAATTTTGAAAATTCTTTTGAAAATTTTGCCTATTTGAGAGAACGTGCTATTATAACACCTCGAAACACAACTGTTACAGATATAAATAATTATATAATAGATTTGTTACCTGGAGAACAACATGTGTTTCTAAGCTATGATTCTTTGTGTTCTTCAAATGGAAATATTGAAAATTTGGAAACATTATATCCTGTTGAATTTTTGAATAAATTAGATTTCAATGGTTTACCTATACATAACCTAATTTTGAAGATAGGAATGCCAATTATGCTATTACGTAATTTAAATCAGTCTTTAGGTTTGTGTAATGGAACCAGATTAATTGTGACTCAATTATTTAGCAGAATTGTAGAGGCTAAAATACTTACTGGAAACAATATTGGTCACAAAGTATTCATTCCGAGAATCACTCTTACAGCAACAGAGAATAAGTGGCCTTTTATTTTTAAAAGACGTCAATTCCCAATTAGACCGTGTTTTGCAATGACTATTAATAAGAGCCAAGGGCAATCTTTGAAACAAGTTGATTTATATCTTCCAGAACCTGTTTTCACCCATGGACAATTATATGTAGCATTATCTAGAGTTACATCAAAAGAAGGTCTCAAAATTTTGATTCCAGATGGAGAAAATATTGCAAACAACTATACTGCAAACATAGTTTTTAAAGATGTCTTGCAAAATTTGTGATCAAATTATTTATTTAAGTGAGATGTATATAAATGCTTATATTTTTTATGCAACATGATTAAAGTAGCTGTATATTAACATTGGTGAACAAAAACAAAAATAAAAAAAAATATGAGAAACCAAGCCATTGTTCCAGTTTAAACTTTTCATCAGTATAAAATACCTTAGTAACGGAGACTAGATATTGCTCAATGCATTCTATCTTAATTTAGCATTTTTCTCCATTCGGAATTCAAACTTTTATCATCTATAATTTCTTTTGTTTCATTGTATCCTTTCTTTTGCATTTTTCACCTTTGAAGTAAAATGTCAAATCTTTGTTTCTATTTTTTTGCAAATCTGCAGGTTGCGACAAGTTTTTTTGTTAAATTTGGAGCCTGCTCATATGCTACCTCTTCAGATTATTGATAAAACAGTCACATTGAGCTTAGGTATGTTTACAACAACTATGTGTAATTTTCGATTCTTACTTTGTGTTTATTTGAAATAAGCCTTGCCAAGTTGGTTTTATCTGTTGTGTTTATGATGGTTCAAATAAATTGGTTTTCCATGTGAGTAATTTTTTTTTTCCTCAATTGTACATGTTTGAAACATAATCTGATACAGGTTGAGTTGTTGTTGTTGTTTCGCGTTTCGAATTCGTATTTGTGGTTGCTTTACATCTTAATCGTTGTTTAACAAAGGAAACTTCAGTTGTTGTGATTGGTGTATATAATTGTTTCAGATTTTAATCGTTTTTTAAAAAGACAAACTCAGTCTGCTTTCCACTTATTTTTTTTCCAGTTGTCTTCATTATTGGTTTCAATCAATGATGCGCAACAAAATAACTTTGGATTTTATTTGCGCCCTCCCTCCATCTTCGGAGGAGGGGCAAATTTCTTCAAGCCTTGATTTCATAGCGTTTTGTCTAAACATATAAATTCCGTTTTAAGTGTTTTATCCTAATGTATTTTACGATCCTTACTGCAAAACCTTGATAATCAGACTCTACTTTAATCTCCAATGTCAAAATTCGGATCAGTCTTGAAGAGCTTTGTGCATATACCCCTTTCAAGGTACAATGTTTACCGATTTCAAGTTTTTGATTTTCCTGTGAATTTAAATGGGTTTACAATTTTATTATTAATTTACTGAGGTTGGGCGATCATTTTGGCTTCTAGATTAGTTTAAACATTTTTTTTGTCTTTGTTTTTTGCTTTGTGTACTTATAGTTAGATTGAAGTGTTCTTTTCAATTTAAGATTTAATTGAAATGATCTAAAATGCTTTTACCCAATTATTTTGGGATTTCATTTAACAGTATTATACCTTTTTAGTTTTCATTTATACAAATAACGAACAAATGGTAACGATTGGAAGGCAGATGAGTGCACAACTGAGAGCAAGATTGAAAAAGAAGAAGTAAAATTCAGTTGAATCCTTAATGCACTCCTAAAGAACACATTGAGAAGTTTAAAGTATATGTTTTCTACCCAACTATAACAAAAAAATTGCATCTTTTTAATACTTATCGACTCTTGAAGCAGCACAATTTTCTCTATACAACTACTACAACAACCATTAACTATGCTACGTTACATTTCCCAATGTTCGCAACTAAATTAGATTACACAACCTTGGTGCAGGTATACCACAGACTCCATCAGTCTCCACAAAGGTTATGTTTCTTTTTCTTATTATACTCTCTAACCCACTAATATTATGATACAGTACCTTTTCTTGCTCATGCATAAAAAATAAAAATATAAACAAAAAAACCAGCTCAAAAAACTAATTTCTATTCATCTTCTTCGTTGTATGGTTAAGCTTACAGAAAACCTCTTATAGGTATCGTCTAAATCCTCAATCACAATACAACGATTTAATGGTATGCTTTCCTAATATTCTTTCTTGCTGAGTTTTCATTTAAATTCAATATTTACTAACCTTTCTCTTTAGGGGAATTGGCTACTACCAATGTATATACCGACTGTCTTCTTTTTACCTAATCTGAATACAAGCCTTATTCCTTGCTTGACCATTGATAACTTGAGTTGTACATATGTATAAAGTATATCTTCAATCAGAGTACCTGCATTTATACTTATATATGTCCAGCTTAAACCTTTCATTGGACAAACAACCGGTTAACCATGTGTTCACAATAGGTCAAAAGAAGAAAGTGATTGTGTATAAATAGGTAGCACCAATTCCTCTGAAGAGAAAAGATGGAAGTGATGATTGAACTAAAATACATCAACAAACTGTCTCTGTATTGCAAAGAGATACCAAATTAGATATATCTGATCCATCTTTTTACACATCATTTCACTTTTCAACATGTTTGATTTAATTCTGCCATTTGCACCAAAATACCTAAACAATGAGACCAAATTTTCAAGTCAAAAAAATTGTATGTGTCATATTTTTCCTTTTCTATTCCTTCACTTTTATACAGACTTTCATTTGAATACCATCATTTTCACAAGCCCTTATACACATTTGATTCAAACTTCATCATTCTTTACATATTTGTCTATATTATACTCACATTTTTGTAATCCCGCAGCAACGCGCGGGCCCTACTTCTAGTTATATATACTAAAACTCAGTTGAAGATAACTGTTCATCAATACTGATTTGACCGAAATGCCCCTCTTTTGATCACCATAGCCCGTTGTTTTTTGTATTAAAACAGTGAAATTACGTGTTTACCCCCGTTGTCCACCTGTCGATCATCGTGAAGGTTAGCTGAATTGGGTCTGCTTCGAAACAAACTCCACTTTTGCTTCCATTTCGTCTTCTCTCTCAGAAACATTACCCTCTCTCTCTCTCTCTCTCTCCCCCCTTCCCTCTCTTGCTGCGTTGCGATCCTCACACCACAATCTCATCCTTACAGATTCGTCCTCTTCGTCTCGATCCCGAACTGTAAGTCTCCTCTCTCTGCTCGCTCTTTCGCTCTCTTCTCTAACCCTAATTTCCTCCCTCCGATCATCATTCCGTTCAATTTCCCAGATCCCTAATTGTTTTTATCATTTATATAAAAATGGATTAAATTTTCGATTTTTCTTTTCAAATTAGTTTGTTTGGTTGATTCGTCCGTGGCTATAGCTGTCTGATTGATGTCCATTTGCATCGTTCCTTCTGTTGCATGTCAACGATTCCGATTAGGTGTTTAATTGTGTATTTTTCTGTAATTTGATGATTATTGTGTGTGTGTTTGTATTAATGTTTTTCAAATTTTGTGTTTTATTTTTTTTTTGTTGTAATTGGTACTGGATTTTGATCTGCTTTGCTTTGGATTCCGATCTGATTTGAGTTTTGGGGACTGATTTGAATTTTGAGTTTGTTAATGTAAAAATGGCGCCTCAAAGATTATTTTGGTCTTTCGTGCATACTGATTTTTTATTTCTATTAATTTTGGTTGTGTGATTAGTGATTTTTGTTCTTAATTTTACTAAAAATTTTGAGTTTTTCTTTTTGTTGTTTCTATGGTTTTTTGTTCTGCATATTTCAATTACTCTCTCTCTTGCAGCGGAACCACCGCGACCACTAGGGGCCACTGCCGCGTGAAATTATGGGCTTCAATCGTTTTCTAAAACCTTTTGTACTCATGGTAAGTTATTCTAGGTTTTATTCTATATTCAGATCATCCCCAATTTCGAAAGTTTAGGATATTGGTTTGTTTCCGTGTTGCATGTTTAACATTCTTCTGTGTGATGCTGAGTTGAGGCTTTACGAACTGGAATCGTTGAGGGTAGGCTTGAATTTGGCCAAATTTTGGTAAGAACCGTTAAAATCTAATCCTAATTTTCTATAAAATTCCCTGTATATTTATTATTTGTTTCCAACAGTAGGTAATCAGGAGTTTTATTTGGCCAAATTCAGAGCCGAAGAGTTTTTCAACATTAAGATTTAGATACCCGAGGTTGGTTGAAGGATTTTGCCTCTGAACTCAATTCAGGTACACAAATCTGAAAGCTTATTGAGAATTGTTGTAATTTGCTTTTCGTTGTAGCGTTACTTTCTTAAACTGATTAGAGCTAAAGATTGCTAATTCCATAGCATTCAGTGCATATGCTTATTAATGTCTGTTTGTTATATTAGAGGCATATGGTGATTTAGTTGCACCCTGCACATGTGCAGCTGAAGGCTGACCCCAAATTGTTCCCCCTGAAATGATGTTGTGCTTATTTGTAAATTTTGTTGCTCATCTGCAATTCACCTTTTGTCTCTTGATATCTTTTACAGGTGCAAAACACCATAGAGTATTTAAACATCATCGGGGCCTTGGATGAGAATGAGAATCTGACTGTTTTCGGTGGGGAGAGATTTATTATTCTTTTAATATTTCAATTATGCATTGGGATGCTTGCAACTCTTTGTAATGGTTGAGTGTTTAAATTTGAAAATCATTAGCCTAATGCAGTTTTAATCACTTGACAGTTTAAATGCAGGTTGTTATATAGAGTTTAGGATTTAGGTTTTCCAGTTCAATCAAAGCTAATTGGACAGAATCATGAATTAATTAAATGTGGTGTCTTCCTTTTTCCCTCTGTTTCTTTTGTTGTTGGGTGAAAGTGAGCATGGGTTTATGATAACCTATTTAAAAGGAAAGCTGGAGAGAGAGAGAGGGTACTAAAGTAGGTGCATATAGGGAGTCAAGGCATACTGATAGAGAAAAATGCACAGATTGGAATGGTAAAAATGAAAAAAAATGAAAAGAAAGTGAACCCAATAGAATATAGAAAATGAAGTGTTCATCCAGTGGAATAACCCATATGTGGTGTTATTTTTTATCGTTCATTTGTGTTCTATTGGGATTGTATTTTGCTAGAATTTCATAGAATTTGATTTGGCTGCGTAACTGACTGGCTTAAAATTTTGTGAGATTAAATATTTCTTGAATTTGATCATTAGATTTCCCTTTCTTTTTTTTTTCTTTTTTTCTTTTTTTTTTTGGAAGTTGACGTGCTTTCCCACTCATCGCCAAAACAAACCCGTGCTTCCTCCCTCTTCGTCTTCTCCTCCAGCAATTTGCGCCCTTAGTTCTCAATATGATTCACAGTAAAAACCCAGAAACTTAGAGGTACGAAAATTTCAATTTTTTTTTTGTGTTTTTGATTTATTTTCAATGTTAATTTCTGATTAAATTATTATTTGTCATAAACCCACTTAGAATCTGATATGGGTTTTTCTTGGATTCCAGAGTAAAAACGTTGAAACTTAAAGGTATGAAATTTTTTATAATTTTCTGGTGCACCTGTGATTAAATAGAACCTAATTTGATTTTACCCTCAAGTGCAGATCTTACCCCGCAGTGCTCAATCTAGAGAATTGGTACTCATAATCAATAAGATTCATACGGCTTATTGGTATCAATTTTGGTTGCAGCAATGCTATTCTTGCTGAAGACCTGCCATGTAAGTGATTTAGTTTTTGCTTTTCGAATTTCTACTTTTCATGCATAATTATGAATATGTGATTTAGTTTTTCACAACATAATGTTACACTAGCGGCTGCTGTAGAAGAGTTAATTTCTGGTACACAGATGATTATAGTGTTGTTCCTATTATGCATAAGGTCGTGGTTATAATATTGTGAGATTTTGGGTCTGCATAAATCCAGTAGTGGTTTTGATAATCAAAAAGTAATCTCTCAACTTATCGCTTAAAGATTTGAATCTGTAAAGTGGTTCCACAAAACCTGTAAAGTGGTTCCACAAAACCTGTAAAGTGGTTCCACAAAACCTGCACAGTGGTTCCACAAAACCTGCATGTTATTTACTACATTATCCGCCTTATTTTCATTTTAAAAAAGAATATTTTTTTTATATATGAATTAATAATAAATAAAGAACTGAGAATAGAAATTTAGGAAAGAACAACGAGTGTAAATCTACAATCTATATTATTAATTGTATGCAAAAATTGATTAAAAATACCAAATCAATAACTCACAACTAAGAATGTGAGTAAATCTTGGTATAAGTGTTATACAAATGTTGTTTTATAACAACTGTATGTAAGTTTATTCTACTTGAGATTATAACATGAAAAACTCCACAGAATAAGACTGCAGCACCTGCAGCTCCACCATCATTTCTGAAAAATTAGGTAAAAAATCTCCTCTGCAATTTTTTTTTTATTTTTTTTTTATTTAACAATGAACCAATGCACACAAAAAAGTTTAGCATGCTCTGATTTTTGTCTCTTGATAGCACAGATTTACTAAGTCAATTACCTGCTTTGCAACAGCTTCTTTCTTGCCTTCTTGATTGCCAGGTACGGATGCACGCATTATAATTATGTTTTTGTAGTTTAATTATCCTATTTGAAATTTCTATCAAAACATTCATTTTTCCTGCGTTTTCAAGTTGAATAGTTTAGTTTTTGGAGTGAACATAATTTCATGTACAAGTCACTTGCTTTTCATTTTTCAGTTTCTGTTCTGTTAATGTCAGATGCTTCAAGAAGCACTTCTATGTATTTTTAAGGGAGCATTTGGACCTTGATAGAAACTTCAAACATGTTTTAAGTAAAAACGTTTCTAGCAAAAGCGCATGAAAGTATAAGTGCTTCTTATAGAACAGCTTTCAAATGACTAATAAGCCCTTTGTTTCATTGCAATTGAAGATTTGGTTTTGGATTTCAGGTCAAGCTCTCTGAGTACATTGGGAATAAGTGTGTGATTCTCTTTTTTTACGCATTTGACGTCACATTTGTTTGTCCTATAGGTAAGTATGTTTTCGTAATCAGCATTTCTGCGTTGTACATGTTTTGTGTAAATGGGTTTTACATACATAGGCACAAAGCTTATAACACATTTAGTCCATTATTCTAACAGTTATATACAATACTGATAATCTATTTCACATTCCCACGGCAACGTGCAAGTTATCTATGTATACGAATTCGATAAGCAATGTCCATTATCTAAAATTTGGGACTGATCATAAAAAAGGGTTGTTACTTTTTATAATAGGAACATAGAGGAACAAAAACCAACTTTCATTTTCCAGCGACTGACTCCAACTTTGTTGTTTTGTTCTCAATTTTAATCTTCTATCTACTTGAATCTATTTTTTAAGCCTAATTACTTCATGCACTTATCATGTTTAAGTATGCTAAATCCTTTATATTTAACATTTTGTGTCTTGAATATCAAGATAGAGAGACTTTTCTCTGAAAACACCGTATGTCCATTAACCACACATATGTTCAGTTATCTCATTGTTATCATCCATAGTTCAAACCACACATAATATAAAATTTGACAAACTTTACATGTTTGGTTAATAATGCCTAATGTTTTCGCCAATGCAGGACCTGGTAAGCCAACAGTTTTCAACTGTGTAAGTCATTTTTCTGACTTTCCGTTGGTCCTTTTATTGTTCAGATCTTTAGCAAGAGGATCATGTTAGTCCTTTTATTGTTCTGATCTTTAGCAAGAGGATCCTTTTAATAAATCCAACCGGCATTTGTTCACATTAACTTCTATTTTTCCAATTTCTAACAGATAAATGAAAACAGCTCCATATGAGAAGAAAGGAGGAACAAACTGAAGAAACAAACTCATTTGATTAAGGAAGTTCAACTCTACTCATTGTTTCTTATTTTAGATAGGGTTGTGATTGGATTTCCACACATATACAAGTAGTACGGCTTATCATGTATATTTAAAACTTGCGACATATTTTATACAGTTTTAAAACCCGCAGCATCGCGCGGGCACTCATGCTAGTTGTAACTAAAACAGTGACATAGAAAAAGCAAGTTAAGATGGCCAACCAACCCACAATATGTGCTTGACTTGGCTCAATGGAAGTGGCCAGGCCATTGACTAGACTTTACTAGTTGAATTGTTGACGCAAAATTAAATGATTTTTTGCCTTGATTTGGTTGAGTTTTGATTTTAATTGTATTTAATCTTGCAAATGCTGCAATCCACAAGGAGGCATATGCCCAATTGCCCATCCAACAAGACTATGCATACTGGTTTTATGTAAGTAGGAAAAAGGAAAAGAAAGTTCATGGTTTTTAGTTTTTTGTTCTTTTGATATATGTTCGGAATTTGAATCAGAATGAACTAACATTATCATAGACTAAAGAAAAGATAGATAGTGAATGGTGTTAGGCATTATTGCATGTATTTCAAACTATAGAGTGTCTGATACTTTATATTGCTTGGAAAAACTAGAGTAATAACTTTACAAAGACCAAAGATCAACACGCTACAAAGACTATATATATCTAGCAATCATGACTTTGTATGGGGCATAGAAAATGAACAATTTATTGGGGGAGTCAACCAGTGAGTTCTCTATCATGACTTCATATGAGGGGCGTAGAAAATTAACAATTTATTCGGGGAGTAAACCACTGAGTTCTCTTAGTCTACCACCCGAGCTCAATCCAAAGATTACGATCCAAATTATGAGTTTGAAGCTATGGGAATTGCTTGCAAGACTCGCTAGGCATTTGGTATTTTTATCCCATCATCAATGATTTTTCCCTCCATTATCTCATCGGACATTTCTTTCCTATTTTACCCCTTTAACTTCAATGCCCATCAGTCATGTTCTTATCGTCGATCACTTAACCAAAATTACAACTCTTTCTGGGACTGAAAAGGGAAAATTGCAGTGAAGCAGAAGCTTGGTCAATCTCATCTGGGAACTATTGTGGGACAAATTTCATTATTTGTTTTAAGTCAAGTACAGTTCTAGTGAAACTATACTTGATGTTGTGATCATAATGCTTTACTTTGAGATAAATGTATGATGATAGTCCATTGTGAGATTTGATAAGCCTTAGCGATCTACAGCCTCACTTGTAATTATATATATTTTATTTAGACTCAATGAATGAGGAAATAACTTCTTCAACAAATACAATTTTCACATTATATCATGATGCTTGTTTGTTGTACAGATTTCTAGAGTGCTAATATCTAACTTAATTGATTTACAATTCTAATTCTTTTTTTTTCTTTTTTTCATTTAATAAAGGTATAAGTATAAGTATGGGATTCAGTATTGATTTAAAATCAAATGTTGAAGATTGTGACGAGGAAGTTGATGTATGTGTCGATGAAGATCTAATGCTCTAATACATAGAATGGATTCATTGCCACCATGACGTCTCGTTTCAGCAAAAGAATGATAAGTAATTTTTTTTCAACACATGTCATTCGTTTATGGATCAAGACATTGCGTGACATTTAACCCATTTCATATAAGTTGCGACTTTGTAAGTGATGTTTTACCTCAATGCTTAGACTTTGGTATCAACATCCACTATAGCTAGTTTCAAGATTCTGCCACCCTATTCTGTCATTCTGATATAGTTAAAAAAAATAAAAACACTATTTGAAAGGAACTAGTCAAATACTAAATACATTATACATCAACTACAAGAAGTAGATGAGGAGCTCAATTGGAAAATAAAAGTGAAACTTGACATGAGGGGTAAAATGGGAAAGAAAAGTCTAATGAGATAATGGAGGGAAGAGTCATTTGTGGTTTGAGCTCTCCATGTTGGTTTAATCAACAATTTCAAATTTTTCTTAAAGAGCGAGAACGTCAGGTACCTTGCGAGTCTTGCTAGGACCTCAATCGTACGTATTTCAATTGAAAAGGAGAATTCTAGTTGGAAGTAAAAAAACTATTCAGTTAAAAAGATATTTGGTTATACTTTCGACTTGCGAATGACGAGTTTAATTTTAATTTTTTTATAACAGAATTTGTAATAAATTGGGTGTCATTTTCTCTACTTCTTTTGCTGTTTTTTTTATAAAAACTTTCTTCATTCAGAATTAAGTAATTTAAACTCGGTTCATTTCCTTTCATTCAAGTGGCTGATGTAATATTTGTCACAGGATGAGCTCCCACTTGAATACATTTGATCCTCTTGGATATATAGATTTTGTCGTTGAAAAGCACTTTTCCTATAAAAAAAAAAAAACTCGACTGAGTAATCCTTTTTGAGTAATGCTATTTATACCATATTTTTACACCACCTTAGTTGGTATATGATGTGGACAGCCACATCATTCAAAAAAATTACAAAATCCAAGGAAATGAATGAGAAAGATTCCTCGTATACCACAATCATTATTTAATTAACTTATTTTTCTTAGTTATTAGTTTATTAAATAATAAACTAAATTTTAAAATATGATTAATTCAAATAATGTGGCTGTCCATATCAAATACCACGTAAAATGGTATGAAAATGTGGTACAAAAATATAATATGAATATCATTACTCATCCTTTTTAGTCTTGCTGCCCTTTTATGCCGCGTCAGAAGTGTTTATAAATCTTTGGGCAGTTTCCTGTTTATTTCTGTTAAAATAAATACCCAACAACAAAATCATGAGTTAAGTGAGACGTTGGGCTTGAACAGGTCCAACTGTTTAATTTGGATCAAAACAGTGATTATTGAAAGTCCATAAGTTTTTAAGGAAAATTCATGGATCAATCATCAATGCTCTTGAGTACTTCTCCTTTTAATTTTTTTATTTTTTTTTTATTTTTTTTTTACCAATTATGATGAAGAGTTAATGATTTTAGTTTGCGAATGGCTATCTTTTGATGCTTGTAAATTCTAATGGATCCCTGCTTGTTGGTGGAATACTGGAAGTATTACTTTGGAGGCAGCTCTGTTGAAGAATGGGGAGGAATGTGAATATTGTTTACAGTTTGCAGGTTGGTGAATTGTTTCTCTTTTGTTATTTTTTTATTATTATTTTTTATTTTTTATTTTTATTTTTGGAAAGCAAGTTTTTTTATTAAACACCGAAAAGCAACACAAACAAAGAAAACCCACAGGCCCAAAACTAACTTATAAACAAGCAAAAGGGGCCAAACACAAACAGAAAAACAAAAGGGCCAAACAAACAGAGTCGGCCCAAAAGGCAAAACACAACAGATAGCAACTAGAAAGTTCCACTGATTCCGCCACCACAGAGAATTCCGATCTACTCCAATCCTCACCCACAACCAAGCAACACCTCATCAAATGCACTAGCGAATTTCGATCTGCTCCGCGAGCACAGCCATAGAGTAAGGATAGCAACAACAAAGACAAAGAAGCCAACTATTAAGATGAAGTCCGTGAAGTCACTGCCAAAAAAGGCAAATAGAAACAAGAAAGTGGTGGTGTTGGAAACACACGAGTCATTAGAGCTCTACACACAATCTCAATAGGAAACATGGCTGAAAATCGAACCAAGGATGAACAAGAACAAGGCATACCAACGGGGTAAGAGACAGAAAACAAATTGAGAAACAAAACAGGAGGAGGAAGTCATAGAAGAAAAAAAAAAGAGAAGAGAAGAACACAGCAGAGAAGTGGAGAAGAGAAGAAAATAGAAGAAGAAAAGGAAAAGTGGCAACCGACTCTAGCCAAAGCTGGAGTTGGCCCTAGAGAAGGTGGGCAAGATGAAGACCCTCACCAAAGGGGGAAAGAAAACTCTCATAGAGGAGAGAAGGTCTCTCACAGAAGGATAGAAAAATGCCCTTTTTCTTCAAGGTTAAATATTTTTTGAACTTTTGTGAAGAAGAAAATGTGGCATTTTCTTTCTCTTTTGGTGTTTTTTACTTAGGTCCACTTATGAAACCTCCATTGATGTAATAATTTACAATTTTCAGCATGATCTAAACTTACTCTTTTACTCAACAACTGTGAAAGAACAAATTGAAGTGGTTCATATAAGTATATTTCTTTAAATTTCCAAGCTTTTATGTTATTGTCATTATGATTTCTCTCCTTCTCTCTCTCTCTAAATTGTTAATATATATGTGGAATATACAATTTACTTCTCTTTTTTGGTTGGCTTTGGAAGGTTAACTGGTTTTGCAATCATGTCTTTACATGTTGAGATGGATGCCCTGCATTATATTTTTAATTTTATTTTGGTTTTGGGTTTATTTTCTTCCTATTTTGCCTAAAAATATTTTGGATTGATCAGTGGTAAGAAAGCAAATTCTGTTAGATGCCATCTGCACAAACCTTTTATTAATTACAATTGCTTCCAAGTTTTTCTATTTCCAATCTTGCCAATCAGACAAACATATTTGAATATTTGGTTAAATTGTTACATATTAATAGCTATTAACACTTAATAATATAGTCTAGCGGTATTCCTCTTCACTTGTAAGTAAGAGGTTTTAGATACGAGATTTGCTAAAGGCGAATTTGAACAATATTATTGCTTTCCCTTGTAAAGCTAAGTCCACCCTTTCTTCCTTAGTGTAGAAAATATCGTTTGTTTTTTGAAGGAAAAAAAAAGGGAAGTGTTATTGACACTTCAAAAATCTCATTTTACACTCCTCACTAGTGTATTTTTCTTTTCAAATATAGAAAGTTTAGAGTTTAGAATAAGATTTTTGAAGTGCGAATAACAATTCCCAAAAAAAAAAAAAAATAGCTATTAATGCACTGGTGATTGTGAAGTGAACTTGAGTTATAGTAACGGCACTTAGGATATAGGGGCACTTAGTGTCTATGATAATAAAAATGTCCCTTGTATGCGCATCAATACATTTTAAAAAATGTGATTGAAAAAAAGTCTCACGTGCTTTCAGAGAGGCTAGTTGATTTATAAACTATATAATCAAAACTGATTTAGGAGCAAAAGGAAAGCTACCAATGGACCATCTACTTTTCTGTAGGTAGGTGTAGTAATGAAAGGATGACTCGTCACTCCAAAATAATGATAAAGCCTGCAACAATCAACACAATTCCGCGTTGATTGTTTCGTTTTGTTTACGTTTTATAAGTTTTTTTTTGTTTTTTTGTTTTTTTTTTTTTTTTTTTTTTGTTTTTGGTGGAATTAGCAAACAACATATATGCACATAATTCATGTTCTTTTGACCAAGCTAAAAAACGCAGAAAACAACATATATTTTCAACAAATTTACATTTATTTTTCAGAATGATTGTATCGGTACATAAATGTAATTTACATCTTGAGAGATCAAATTTACATTTATTTTTCAACAAGTTGCAAACTGTCAGAATGCTTAATTCACGTTATTTAGACCAGGCTAAAATACATGGAAAACACCTCAATTCTTGAGAGACAAATTCACATTTATTTTCTAAACAAGTTGCAAACAGTCAAAAGCCATTTTGGAGAATAAGAGGAAAGATGAATGACTCCCACAACATAGATGATTCTTCTCCACTTTCGTTTGTCATTTGTCTTAATCAAGTTTCAAAGTAAATTACAAGTTGAGAACAATAGAGATCTACAAACCAAAATTTACACGATGTAAGTGGAAATGTATTGTCTTGACTTAGACCCCATGCGATACTTCAAGCAAGCTCTCAAGAGTTTTAGCTATTTCGAATAATTCCACTACGACTGGGGTCTTTACAAATTTAGTCTTAAGAGTTACTAGATTAGAAGACACAATAATTGACCGACTTATATGTATTTGCACATATATTATGGTAAATTGTTGTTAGTGAAGAATCATCACTGTCATTTGACCAAGACACTACTTTTCGTCTTTTAGCAACAGTTCCTTGCATTGTATTCACTTGAGACTGTTCGTTTATTGTGTGATTATTGTTAATGCGAGGGCTTCCGGACTCGCATGAGGAAATTTAGCTAACTTGGTTTTAGCATACAACCATATTACCGTGACGATAGTTATTTTGAAATTTACTGCACGAAATGTCAAGGCAAACATTTCATTGAAGACGACCATTTTCTTACAAATTACTGATAGTGTATTTCATTGAAATACAAAGAAAAACAACACAAAATGCCTAGGGTGCTTTCTATGTTCAGGTTCAGTACAGATCTAAGGACTCTATCACGAGGAGAGCTTGGATGTGAAGTGCAGTTAGTCTTTGCTCCGGATCAAGAGTCGAACCAAACTGACTGGCTGCCCATAACAAGGAAGCAGATTTCTCACCCAAAAGACGTCTTATGTCCTCATGTACAGTTGCCAATGGGGGTGTATCCCTCCCATTTACATGACCAATGAGCAGCAGCAAGAACTCTCCACATTTCAGCAAAAGCAACATTTTTAAGTTTATTAGCAAAGAAAGGATCCAACCTAGGCAAACCAGGAAATTTGAAAAAATAACCAAAATTTGATACCAGATAGAATTATGGCCACATTTTTAAGTTTATGATAATTATTAACCAAAAATTAATATAAAAGTACTAATATACTCTTAAAAAGCCTAAGCGCATGCGAGACCCTGGAATCGGTTGGCGGGCTCCTGATCTTCAGAGGCTCCACGCCGAATATGTGATCCAAATTACACACGATCTCATCGTCCGAATCTTTTAGCGAGTGCCGAAACAGAATGGGCACCGCTATAAAACAATAATTAAATCAATTTCAACAATTAGAAAATTAAGCAAAAAATTAAGCAGAAACTAGGAATTTTGTAATTTTCTGGTTACCTTGAAGCTCGAGGAGCGATTGCGTCTGAGAGAAGAGGTTGATGGTGGAATCGGACTCGGCGGCCGATCTGAGGAAGTTGAGAAGGCCGCGGATGCTGAGGAACGAGAACTCGGAGGAACGTCGCGGAGGCCGCTCCGGAGCGCGAGCGTGACCTCGCTATAGACTCTTTGCTAGTCAACAAGTTGGCCGGATCGCCTACGGCGGTGGACGGTGGTTTGGTTCAGATTCCGACGAGGCCTTCGGTGTTATTACCTCGCCCCATAGCGGCTTCTCCTTGTACATCGGCCCAGTCTTTTACTCTCACTCTTTAGAATTTCAATCGTTGTCCTCTGCTTTTTGCCCCGGAAATGTTCTGATCAAAACGACCACGCTTTTGGTCCTAACACAGCTAACAGACGACGACGACGTTTCGGTTGAGTTTTGTAAGTAAGTTTAGCCATTGCATGCATATAGGATGTCTCACATCCTTGTTGCCTGCTGGTTACATGAGTACTATTTTTACTTAATTACTCACTTGGAACGAAACAAGTTTATATCTTGTTAGATGAGTAAAAGTCATCAATTTAAAACATTCACACTTGTGTGTCAGAATATTTGAAATGTGCAATCCAAATACATCGTAATTAAATTGCACATTTCAAATTATGTGATACAAAATCGTATTTGGGGTCTTGAGTAAAATTAAAAATCGTTGTGGATTAATGCATGTTGTTTCTAAGGGTGCTTAAGTTTGTAAGCATGGTTGCTTATGACGTATATCGTAAGCAGTTTAAGATATTACCAAAAGGAAGATCTCATATTCAATTTTGTATTACTAATCAAAAGGTATTAAAAACAATAGTACACACAACCTTAAATTTTAGCGAATTCATAGAATAACAATCACATTTGGGAGTGAGTAATCATATTAAATCGTAAACTTTTAATATGTTTATCACGTCATGAGCATACAACAGATTGAAAGAAAGAAATTTGCACACTATCTGTAAAAAAATATTTACAGATTAGTGTGTTACTCGACATATAAATAGATTTCCACATGAACTTAAAGTTTGGTGTCGGTATAAAGAATACGGTCACTGTAAATAACCTCAAAAACATGTTTTCTAAAGCCTTTTTAGAGCTCATGCTTGTGTTTTTTGGTCAATTTTTGGTGTTTTGTTAATTACGTTGAAATTTCATTGCTTTTCTTTTCATGTTTATACAACAAATTTTGTATTGAAATTAGTAACTTATATGTTCGCAAGGTCACTAGTTGCTGTATTCAGAGGCTTCGCAACTGCACTTGAAGTTATACAAGCATGGACATTAATAAATGATTTTTTACTAAACCCTTTTGTTCAATTTGAATATTTGCATGCTTGAACCGTAAAGAATTAACATTGATGATTTGAGATACAGTGATTGAATTATCTGTCTGCTTGTTCTCTCTGTAACTTGATTAATAAGTTCTTACAAGTTTCTCAAGGAAATTTATTGAAAATGATCAACTGGTACACTTAGTAAAAGAGGATGAAAAGAACCTAATTAACCCCTCAAAGATAATCTAAGTAACGTCATTGCAAAAACAAAAAGGCCACTAAATTAAACACAACACTTTCACTAAATTATAACTTCAAATTGCACTCCTCAATCTCCTTCTTCTCCAGTTTAAGGGGAGCATTGCTTACCAACGGTAGATGCACGAGCTAAAAAGATTAAAAAAACCACAACATATATTAGTCATAATTTAAAGACAATTGTAGAGACCAAAATGATATTAACCATGATGGCAATGATGCCATATCGTTATAGTCAGTTTTCTATGTAAAAGTGCACTTAGCCAATAGTATTAATAGACTCAAAACTGCAAAAATATTATTCATTATGTGGAAGAGTACTTACAGTTTGCCCATCAATCTTCGTCGCTTGATCAACGCCACCCTCACATAAAGCCAATCGTACACACAATTCAAGAACCTGTAGTATGTGTATCGCCATGACTTGATGAATATCAAACTCCCACAAACTCCCCAAAATCCAACAACAAAACCAAGCGCCAAACTCAAGTAAAATCCAGTTGTTATAAGCCCATCATTCTCTTTAACTTGATCCCCAAACATTGGTTGCTCCTCTGGACTTGTTTCCTCAGGAGAGCACAACTGTTGAAGTGGAATTCCACAAAGCAGAGGATTTCCAGCAAAATCAGATGAATCATAGGTTTGGAGCTGAGTCCCCATTGGAATTTTTCCAGACAGGTTGTTGTTTGACAAGTCCAAATCACCAAGACCATATATTTGAAAAAGACTTGTTGGTATTCTGCCATATATGTGGTTTCTTGACAGATCAAGGGACTGTAAGGACTCCAACTTCCCGATCATTGGAGTTATTGGACCTGTTAAATTGTTTCTTGACAGGTTTAAGGAAACCAACCCCACAAGATCAGTGATTTCCGTAGGAATCTCCCCCATTAATTGGTTACTCGACAGATGAATACTCTTTACAAGCCCCAAAGTACTTTTGTATTTGGACATTTTGCCTTTCCATATCAAGGATGCTTCCTCCAAATAACCGTATCCGGCAACGAAGAACTCAAAGAAATGAATGATAGTTATACTTGAACTTCCTTTTTGAGCCAAATTTGTCAAATTGTTGATGCATTTGGGTATATTTCCAGAGATGTTATTCATTGAAAAATCTAGAATTTGAATGTCTCTCATATTACACAATTGTAGTGGAATGCTTCCATAGAAATGATTAGAACGGAGGATAAGGATAGCCAAATTTGGAAGTCCAACCCCTAACCATTCAGGTATCAAACCTGATAAGTTATTTTCTCCAACATCAAAAACACTGAGTGTGGCAAAGTTCTTCAGAGATGAAGGCAATTCCCCCACAAACCCATTCTTGTCTAACTTCAGCGTTTGAATAGAAGGTAAAGAACCCATTGTGGTAGGAATTTTCCCAAAAAGAGCATTATCACTCAAATCAAGAAAGACAAGATTTTCAAAACGTGTCCAACAATTAGGAAGTTGTTCCTGCAAATTGTTGCTTGAGAGATCAAGAAAGGCTAAACCACTAACCTTGTTCGGAGTCTTTGGACACATGAAAGAAATTAACCCTGAAAGCTTATTGTTGGAGAGATCTAGAGATACAGCTGTGGAAAGGAATGAAGGGACTGGACCTTCCAATCGATTCCAACTCAAATTCACTTGACTAAAGGAAGATGAGGGAAACTCAAATCTTGAATTTGGAATTGTTCCTCTAATTCGGTTGTTGGAAAGATCTATAGAAATATATCCAGAATCCGGATGAGACAGAGGGCTCCAAAACCAACTTGGAAGCATATCAGAAATTCTTGCATTAGAAATATCAAGTCCCGCATAACTTTTCTGAGTTTGAAGCCATTTTGGAAAGTGCGGACCCACCATGCAAGAGCTCAAATATATAGAATACAATTGGAAAGGAGGAGTCCAATTAGAACTGAAGCTTAAAGATAGTGAGGTAGAGGATAGATCCAAATGCCTTAGTTTTGAGAGATTGGAGAAGTGGCTTTCCGAAACCACACCTTCCAAAGCATTCATACCAAGGTAGATACTCTCGAGTCTAGACATATGCCCAATGCTTTCAGGTACTGTTCCACTCAATTGATTGTCATGGAGAAATAATTCTTGCAATGATGAAAAGTTTGTGAGATTAGGAATTGATCCAGAAAGATGATTGGATGAGAGGCCCAGAGTCTTTAATGAGTTCTGATCAGGGCATGCAGACATTAATATTTGAACCAACCAGGAAAGTTGTCCACTCAGAGTGCTGTTGTAAAGGTAGAATTCTTGCAGATTACATAACCCGGAAAAAGATTGCGGAATCCCTCCTTTAATTTGGTTGTAAGAGAGGTCAAGAGAAACAAGGCTGGCATTGTATTTGGATAACCACACAAATATGGAAGAAGATGAAGAAAATGGGAGTTGGTTGTCCTTAAGATCAACATGAGCAAGAGATTTAGAAGAATTTATGTTAAAAAGAGTACTGGAATGAATTAGAGGAGATGGAAGACTACAATAAGACAGAGACAAGTCTGTAAGTTTAGGGAGCTTATTAACTGCTTCCATCCAGTCTGGAACATTACTGAGATTGGTGTCAGTCAGGTGCAAATATGTTAAAGCAGAAAGATGAGGCAGCCATGAATTCATATTTTCTACATTAGCAAAGTTATTGGATATGAGATCAAGATAACCAAGGCTAGCATTGTATTTGGACAACCAAAGAAGTATGGAAGAAGTGAGTTGGTTGTAATTGAGGTCAACATGAGCAAGAGATCTAGAAGAATTTTTGTTAAAAAGAGTACTGGAATGAATTAGAGGAGAAGGAAGACTGCAATCAGACAAAGACAAGTTTGTAAGTTTGGGGAGCTTATTAACTGCTTCCATCCAGTCAGGAACATTACTGAGATTGTTTCCACTCAGGTCCAAATATGTTAAAGCAGAAAGATGAGGCATCCATGAATTCAGATCTTCTACATTAGCAAAGTTATTGTATCTGAGATCAAGATATTGCAAGTGGGTAAGGTTTCCGATCTGAGTTGGAATTCGACCACCAAAAGAAGCATAAGTGAGATCGAGGTGCCTTAAGTTGGAAAGAGACCCAATGAAATCTGGAACTTGGCTTCCATTGAAGTTAATCCGTGAAAGGTCCAAATATTTCAAATGCTTCAACTTAGTCAGTTTAGGACTCATCATCTTACCTTGCAAATAATAATAGATAAACTGTGGGCGTCCTTTCTGTTGAAGTGCGTGAGCTTGATCCAAATAAGACCTTCCAAGATGAAGTTGAGTAACATGGTTGGTTCGATTGCTGCAGTGGACGCCAAGCCATTTGCAACAATCTTGCTTGTGTTCTTCTCTTCCCCACGAGGAGAGGAGATCGTAGTCATCCACCAGGCCTTGTTTGAAAGCAAGGAGTGCTTCCCTTTCACTCTCTATGCACCTCGTCACCACCCGATGGCTAATTGCTCTGAAATCGGCAGAAACATTATAGAATCCAGAGGATAGGGAAGGGTTGAAACATTGTAGAAAAAGTAGCACCACAATGGAATTATGAAAGAGTTTCTTCAAGCACATGATTCCGTCATTCTCCATCTTAATTTAACAAAATCAAGGCAAAGACGATTGAAGAATGAAGAAGAAGTGTACAATCAGAATTGATTTAGGAGCACAAGGAAAGCTACGAGTGTTTTATAAGGCTGGGTGAGTACGTAATAGTTCACAATACAATCCACACACTGAGTTGTCTTGACTCAAATGGTAAAGTATGGAACACGTGTGAGTGGACCAGCTACTTTTCTGTAGGTAGGTGTAGTAATTAGAGGATGACTCGTCTCTCCAAAATAATGACAAAGCCTGCAACAATCAACACAATTACGCGTTGATTGTTTCGTTCTGTTTACGTTTTAGAAGTCTTTTGGTTTTTTGTGGAATTAGAAAACAACATATATGCGCGTAATTTAAATTATTTGGACCAAGCTAAAAAATGCAGAAACCGTCTCAACTCTTGAGAGAACAAATTTACATTTATTTTCCAAACAAGTTGCAAACCATCAGAATGCGTAATTCACATTATTTGGACCAGGCTAAAATACAGGGAAAACGCCTCAACTCTTGAGAGACAAATTCACATTTATTTTCCAAACAAGTTGCAAACTGTCTAAAGTCGTTTTGGAGGATAAAAGGAAGGATGAATGACTCCCACAAAATAGATGATTCTTCTCCACTTTTGTTTGTCATTTATCTTAATCACGCTTCAAAGTAAATTACAAGTTGAGAACAACAAGACCAACAAACTGAGATTTTCACGATGCAAGTGGAAATCCATGCGATAGTTCAAGGTTATTGACTTAAATGGTCAAGTATGGAACATGTGTGAGTGGACCAACTACTTTTTTGTAGGTAGGTGTAGTAATTAGAGGATGACTCGTCACTCCAAAACAATGACAAAGCCTGCAACAATCAACACAATTCTGCGTTGGTTGTTTCGTTCTGTTTACGTTTTAGAAGTCTTTTTGTTTTTGTGGAATTAGAAAACAACATATATGCGCGTAATTCACGTTATTTGGACCAAGCTAAAAATACGGAAACCGTCTTAACTCTTGATAGAACAAAATTACATTTATTTTCCAAACAAGTTGCAAACAGTTAGAATGTGTAATTCACATTATTTGGACCAGGCTAAAATACACAGAAAACGCCTCAACTCTTGAGAGACAAATTCACATTTATTTTCCAAACAAGTTGCAAACCGTCAAAAGTCATTTTGGAGGATATGAGGAAGGATGAATGACTCCCACAAAATAGATGATTATTCTCCACTTTCGTTTGTCATTTGTCTTAATCACGTTTCAAAGTAAATTACAAGTTGAGAGCAACAGGAACCAACAAACCAAAATTTCCACGATACAAGTGGAAATCCATGCGATGGTTCAAGGATATTGACTTAAATGGTCAAGTATGGAACATGTGTGAGTGGACCAGCTACTTTTCTATAGGTAGGTGTAGTAATTAGAGGATGACTTGTCTCTCCAAAATAATGACAAAGCCTGCAACAATCAACACAAAAATCGTTTTGAAGGATAAGAGGAAGGATGAATGACTTCCACAAAATAGATGATTCTTCTCTACTTTCGTTTGTTATTTGTCTTAATCACATTTCAAAGTAAATTACAAGTTGAGAACAACAGGACCAACAAATCAAAATTTCTACAATGCAAGTGGAAATGCATGCTCCATGCGATACTTCAAGGTTATTGACAGCAAGTTCTCAAGAGTTTTCCTATTTCGAATAATTCCACCGCCACTGGGGTCTTTATAAATTTAGTCTTGGAGTTATTAGATTTGAAGACACACAATAATTGACCAACTTAAATGCATATGCACATATATTACGCCAAATTGTTGTTAGTGAAGAATCATCACTGTCATTTGATCGAGACAATACTTTTGGAATATTATTAAGAAAAACGGTTTCAAAATTTTGAATTTTAATAATAAAAAAAAACACATCTTATAACTTTATTAACAAAAAAAAAAAAAAAAAAAAAAAACTTAACTACGCGCGTGCAATTGCACAGCGTTTTTTCCCAGATTTTGTTTGGTTTGGTGTGCTGGTGTTTTTTCCCAGCTTATGTATTTGCTTCAATGGAGTCTTTTATCCATTTAAAATGTATGCCGCAGCTTTAAAAAATAATAATAATAATATTTATGTGGAGTGATTGATGGCTGGAGAAAGGGGATTCATATTAATAAAAAAAAATAAAAATAAAAAAAAATAAAAAATAAAAAAAAATTGCAGGAGAAGGGTTTTTTTTTTTTTTTGGAAGAAAATAAAAGCATTCTTACTTTCTTAGAGAGAACTTGTGGAGTTCATTAACATAACATAAGGAACTCCAAAAAAAAACTTTGAGTTGTGAACCATATGAATTTTCAATTACCTCTAGTTCTAATTGGTTCTTTGTTTGATTAGAAAATATAAATAATTGAAAGAGTTCAATATAAAACACTGAACCAAAAAAGAGACACTATTTATGAAATTAGACTAAGAAAGAGACACTATTTATGAAACTGTATCAATTACTATACACTATTTATGAAATTGGACAAAAAACTAGACATTATTTATAAAACATGACCAAGAACTAGGCATTATATATGAAAGTGAACCAAGAACTAGACACTATTTATAAAACTGGATAAAAAATGAGAAACTATTTATAAAATTGAATCAAGAATGAGACATTATTTATGAAAATGTACCAATTACTATACACTATTTATGAAACAGGACCCAATAACTAAACACTATTTACAAAAGTGAACCAAGAACTAGGCACTGTTTATAAATCTTGACAATAAATAGTGTAGTACCGTTTAGTTTTATAAATAGTATAGTACTGCAGTTTTATAAATAGTGTTCAGTTTCATAAATAGTATAGTACTGTTAAGTTTCATAAACAGTATAGTATTGTTTCATAAATACTGTATTATAAGGCTGCGAGTGTATTATAAGGTTGGGTGAGTACGTAATAGTTCACAATCAGAACTGATTTAGGAGCAAAAGGAAAGCTGCGAGTGTATTATAAGGCTGGGTGAGTACGTAATAGTTCACAATACAATCCACACACTGAGTTGTCTTGACTCAAATGATCAAGTACGTAACATGTGTGAGTAGACCAGCTACTTTTCTGTAGATAGGTGTAGTAATTAGAGGATGACTTGTCTCTCCAAAATAATGACAAAGCCTGCAACAATCAACACAAGTCCGCGTTGATTGTTTCGTTATGTTTACGTTTTAGAAGTTTTTTTGGTTTTTTGCGGACCTAGAAAACAACATATATCCGCATAATTCACGTTCTTTGGACCAAGCTAAAAAGCACGAAAACCGTCTCAACTCTTGAGAGAACAAATTTACGTTTATTTTCCAAACAAGTTGCAAATAGTCAAAATGCGTAATTCATGTTATTTGGAGCAGACTAAAATACATAGAAAAAGCATCATCTTTTGAGAGACAAATTCACATTTTTTTTTCCAAACAAGTTGCAAAAAGTCAAAAGTCGTTTTGGAGGATAAGAGGAAGGATGAATGACTCCCACAAAATAGATGATTCTTCTTCACTTTCGTTTGTCATTTGTCTTAATCACGCTTCAAAGTAAATTACAAGTTGAGAACAGGGACCAACAAACCAAAATTTCCATGATGCAAGTGGAAATCCATGAGATAGTTCAAGGTTATTGACTCAAATGGTCAAGTATGGAACATGTGTAAGTGGACCAGCTACTTTTCTGTAGGTAGGTGTGGTAATTAGAGGATGACTCGTCTCTCCAAAATAATGACAAAGCCTGCAACAATCAACACAATTACGCGTTGATTGTTTCGTTCTGTTTACGTTTTAGAAGTCTTTTGGTTTTTTGTGGAATTAGAAAACAACGTATATGCGCGTAATTTAAGTTATTTGGACCAAGCTAAAAAATGCAGAAACTGTCTCAACTCTTGAGAGAACAAATTTACATTTATTTTCCAAACAAGTTGCAAACCATTAGAATGCGTAATTCACATTATTTGGACTAAGCTAAAATACAGGGAAAACGCCTCAACTCTTGAAAGACAAATTCACATTTATTTTCCAAACAAGTTGCAAACTGTCAAAAGTTGTTTTGGAGGTTAAAAGGAAGGATGAATGACTCCCACAAAATAGATGATTCTTCTCCATTTTTGTTTGTCATTTATCTTAATCACGCTTCAAAGTAAATTACAAGTTGAGAACAACAGAGACCAACAAACCAAAATTTCCACGATGCAAGTGGAAATCCATGCGATAGTTCAAGGTTATTGACTTAAATGGTCAAGTATGGAACATGTGTGAGTGGACCAACTACTTTTTTGTAGGTAGGTGTAGTAATTAGAGGATGACTCGTCACTCCAAAACAATGACAAAGCCTGCAACAATCAACACAATTCTGCGTTGGTTGTTTCGTTCTGTTTACGTTTTAGAAGTCTTTTTGTTTTTGTGGAATTAGAAAACAACATATATATGCGCGTAATTCACGTTATTTGGACCAAGCTAAAAATACGGAAACCGTCTTAACTCTTGAGAGAACAAATTTACATTATTTTCCAAACAAGTTGTAAACAGTTATAATGCGTAATTCACATTATTTGGACCAGGCTAAAATACACGGAAAACACCTCAAGTCTTGAGAGATAAATTCACATTTATTTTCCAAACAAGTTGCAAACCGTCAAAAGTCATTTTGGAGGATATGAGGAAGGATGAATGACTCCCACAAAATAGATGATTATTCTCCACTTTCGTTTGTCATTTGTCTTAATCACGTTTCAAAGTAAATTACAAGTTGAGAGCAACAGGAACCAACAAACCAAAATTTCCACGATACAAGTGGAAATCCATGCGATAGTTCAAGGATATTGACTTAAATGGTCAAGTATGGAACATGTGTGAGTGGACCAGCTACTTTTCTATAGGTAGGTGTAGTAATTAGAGGATGACTTGTCTCTCCTAAATAATGACAGCCTGCAACAATCAACACAAAAATCGTTTTGAAGGATAAGAGGAAGGATGAATGACTCCCACAAAATAGATGATTCTTTTCCACTTTCGTTTATTATTTGTCTTTATCATATTTCAAAGTAAATTACAAGTTGAGAACAACAGGAATCAACAAATCAAAATTTCTACAATGCAAGTGGAAATGCACGCTCCATGCGATACTTCAAGGTTATTGATAGCAAGTTCTCAAGAGTTTTCGTATTTCGAATAATTCCACCGCCACTGGGGTCTTTACAAATTTAGTCTTGGAGTTATTAGATTTGAAGACACACAATAATTGACCAACTTAAATGCATATGCACATATATTTTGCCAAATTGTTGTTAGTGAAGAATCATCACTGTCATTTGCTCGAGACAATACTTTTGGAATATTATTAAGGAAAACCGCTTCAAAATTTTGAATTTTAATAATAAAAAAAAGCACCCTATAACTTTTTTTACTAAAAAAAAAAAAAAAAAAAACAAACAAACCTTGCTACGCCCGTGCAATTATGCCAAATTGTTGTTAGTAAAGAATCATCATTGTCATTTGTTCGAGACAATACTTTTGAAATATTTTTAAGGAAAACCGCTTCAAAACTTTGAATTTTAATAATAATAAGAAAGCATCTTATAACTTTTTTTACTTAAAAAAAAAAAAAAAAAAAAAAAAAACCCTAACCACGCCCGTGCAATTGCACAGCGTTTTTTTTCCCAGATTTTGTTTGGTTTGGTGTGCTGGGGTTTTTTCCCAGCTTATGTATTTGCTTCAATGGAGTCTTATATCCATTTAAAATGTATGCCGCAACTTTAAAAAAAAAAAAATATATATATATATATATATATATATTTATGTGGAGTGATTGATGGCTGGAGAAAGGGGATTCATAAAAAAATAAAAATAAAAAAATAAAAAATTGCAGGAGAAGGGTTTTTTTTTTTTGGAAGAAAATAAAAGCATTCTTACTTTCTTAGAGATAACTTGTGGAGTTCATTAACATAACATATGGAACTCCCAAAAAAAACTTTGAGTTGTGAACCATATGAATTTTCAACTACCTCTGGTTCTAATTGGTTCTTTGTTTGATTAGAAAATATAAATAATTGAAAGAGTTCAATATAAAACACTGGACCAAGAAAGAGACACTATTTATGAAACTAGATTAAAAAAGAGACACTATTTATGAAACTGTATCAATTACTATGCACTATTTATGAAATTGGACCAAAAACTAGACACTATTTATGAAACATGACCAAGAACTAGGTATTATATATGAAAGTGAACCAAGAACTAGACACTATTTATAAAACTGGATAAAAAATGAGAAACTATTTATAAAATTGGATAAAAAATGAGACACTATTTATGAAAATGTACCAATTACTATACATTATTTATGAAACAAGACCCAATAACTAAACACTATTTACAAAAGTGAACCAAGAACTATGCACTATTTATAAATCTTGACAATAAATAGTGTAGTACCGTTTAGTTTTATAAATAGTATAGAACCACAGTTTCTTAAATAGTGTTCAGTTTCATAAATAGTATAGTACTGTTAAGTTTCATAAACAGTATAGTATTGTTTCATAAATAGTGTATGTGATGGATGCAGGTATCTAGGCGAGTCAGGTGTTTTTTTTTTTTTTTTAATATTAAAATTATGTCATTTTCATTAAAATTTAAGTTTTTTTGTCCTCATTATTAAAAGTTAAGGGTTTTTCATTACAGTTTAAGTTTTTTTCCATTAAATAAAATTATAACATGATTTTTTATTAAAATAAACTTAACCCAAGTTCTTTTTATGAAAACTCTCATATTATTATTCATTTTGGGTCTTTTACGTTTAGTGACAACAGTCCCTTGTGTTTTATTCACTTGTGACTATTCGTTTATTGTTAATGCGAGGGCTTCCAGACTCGCATGAGGAATTTTAGTTACCGTGACGGTACTCCGTAGAATGTTGTATGATTTTGAAATTATACTGCACAAAATTTCAAGGCAAACATTTCATTGAAGACGACCATTTTCTTACAAATTACTGATTGTATTTCATTGAAATACAAAGAAAAACAAAACAAAATGCCTAGGGTGCTTTCTATGTTCAAATTCAGTACAAATCTAAGGACTCTATCACACGACGAGCTTAGGATGTGATGATCAGTTAATCTCTGCTCCGGATCAAGAGTCGAACCAAACTGACTCGCTACCCATATCAAGGAAGCAGATTTCTCACCCAAAAGATGTCTTATGTCCTCATTCATGTATAGTTGCCAACGGTTGCCCATCCCTCCCATTTACATGACCAATTAGAGGCAGCAAGAACTCTCCACATTTCAACCTATTCAAAAGCAACAGTGTTTTTCTTCAGTGTGCATTATATTAGCAAAGAAAGGACCAAGCCTAGGCACACCAGTGTTCAGAATCCTCAAGTCTAATTAATTCCTAGCAGATGACCTCGTTACTCAATTGACAAACATGAAAATGAGCAATAGGACATAGCTTAACTAAAAGCCTAGAAAAAAAGGAAAGACGGGATTCTATTAAGAATCGTCGGATGAACAAACCTATTTTTGCCAAAACTTTAACATTTACCCCAAAATTTATCCAGATAGAGCTTTAAATCACAACTCATGACAACGAGAATCAAGCAAGCAAAGAGAAATAAATCAAAATCTGAGATTCTCATCAATTTGTTTGTCCCTTATGAGCCCTACAACTTCCTCAATACCATGAAAAGCCTCAAAATCCTACACATTACACAACAAAACAATCGAATCATAAAAAAAAAAACCCCATCACCGCTCCGAAACCAATCATAATAAGGGGTATATTCAATTGTGATTTTGTGGAATTTTAATTCTTTTAAAGAATCTAAGGGTATTCAATGATCATTCAGGATTCTAAGTTATCTTCTGAAATTCAAAATGTATTTAATCAAGATTCTGAGATAGTTTATTAAAATGCTTAGAAATCCAAGTGTATTTAATTAAAATTTTAAAGAAGTTTATAACATTCTAGGTGTATTCAATTAAAAATTGATTTTAAAGAATTTTAAAAAGTTGAGGAATTTGAGGGAATTGGAAAGATTTCGTAGTGTATTTTAAGCATTCACATATCTCACGTCTTCTATGAGATTTCGAGGGAATTGAATCAAACTTTATATAAAATCTCTACAAAAATTAAACTCCATAAATCTGACTCAAAACTGAAGTTTGAAGCTTTACCATTTGATTAGCTGATGAATCCAACATAAAAGCAATCAAAGCATCCAAACAAGCTCCTTGCTCAATCACGCCGCGAGTCGGTAATATATTCATCAAAACCTACAAAAACCCAATTACAAAAAACCGCATTCTCATCTCAGTAATCCAACCTCCATAGATTTTGGTTAAGCTATTTAGCAACATTGAGTACCTGAATGGCCTTGTGCTGATGAGCCAAAACCGCGCTGTCCGGACGAAGCAGGCAGCAACCCTCTAAAACCCTAAGCATAAGCGAAACCTCGAAATCGGTTGAAGGGCTCGTGATCTTCAGCGGCTCAACGCCAAATATGTGATCCAAATTCTGCACAATCTCATCGTCCGAATCTTTCAGTGAGTGCCGAAACAGAACCGGCATGATTGTATAACGATAATTAAATCAATTTCAACAATAAGAAAAATTAAACAAAAGATTAAGCATAAACTAGGAATTTTGTAATTTTCTGATTACCTTGAAGCTCGGAGAGCGATTGTGACAGCCTGTCCCGGATTTTTCGTACCGTAGGGGTGAAATGACGGTTTTGCCCCTAATGTTTTTGTTTCGTTGTGTGGTCGTTTTGGGGTTTTGGTTGGTTGATTTTGGACCACACACACACACCCACACTCATTCTCATCCTTTCCCTGTCTCGTATCCCTGTCTCTCTCTCCCTTTCCTTTCTTCCTTGTACGGACAAGGTCAAACCCTTCGAAAACGTGGTAGATCGAGGAAGAAAACTATACATTTGTGCTCGTGAGGTTCTTAGGAGTTCAACCATACCCATTTCAGGTAAGGATACCTTCGTTTTCACGTCAAACTCGAGATGTTCAAATCGGGGTACTGTTCATGCACACATAAATTCATGTGTTTTTGGGAATTTTAGGCTTGTAGAAAGCTTGGTGAGGTCCTTAGGAAGCTCGGGGTGGTTCGTTTGAAGGTTTTGGACGTCGGGATCGTGAGTTGCAGGTTTGGCCAGATTTGGTGGAGTTTTTCCGGCGAGATTCCATTGGTTTTAATGCTTGAAAGTGGTAAGGTTTTGTTCCTCTAGTTGTAAGCTTCATTTTGGTACCAATTTCATGAAATTTGGGTGAAAAATGAGTGAGAAATGAAGTTTGGAAAATTTCCTAGTTTTCCGGCGACGACGATGGTGCCGGAGGTTGGCCGGAGAAGACGACGAAATATTCCGTCAGTTTGGACGGAATATTCCTAACAGCGTTAGGTTAACTTTAACAGAATCTGTCAGAGTTAACGGAATATTCCTGACGGCATTAACTGACGCCGTTAGTGTGCCAGGCACATGCCTGTGCGTGGGCGGCGCATGTGGACGTGCCTTGGCACATGGGTGCGCGTGCGAAGTCGGAAAATTGTTTTTAAAATATGGGGATGTTCGTGAGGTTGAGTAGATCACGTTGGTGTATTCATACACCCCATTTGAGCATTGTATGAGAAATTTTTACCTAGTTTGGGTTATGTGCATTAAATTAACGTTTTTATAGTTGTTTCGCATATAGGTGAGACCTATCCCAAGGACGAGCGCAGTCACTCGAGGCAAGGGGGTTACGACCCTTCTACATACCAGTGAGTGGGCTTTTGGTTTTCCGTATATACCTATATACTTGTGATTTTCCCAGAAAATGAAATGAAACCTTTATATGTTTTAAATGACATGCTTTGCATTTGCCTAATTAATTATGCATTAGTAGTTGCATATATATATATATATATATATATATATTTGGTGCTGCGGACGCACAGGTAAGTGTCAAGTAAGTTGTGGTTTATGTTTATGTTTAGTAGTGAATTGAGATGCATAGAGAGCTTATAACCTGCACCCCCGGTGTTAGTGCTCCCGCCCAGAGTACGGCACAGCCCTTCACGTGATGTTCACCTCCCACACCACACGCTCATCTTGGATCCAAGTTAGGTGCACAGTCCTGTCGTACAAACCACTTTAGGTGGTTCCGACTTGTAGGTGACCCGCGATTATTCGCCCAGTCTTCACATGATCGTAGCACTTAAGTGTACTTATTTTACACCCAGTCCTGTCGTACATACCACTTTGGGTGGCTCCGACTCGTGTGCAGGTATAGTTAGTGAGTTGGGGATTTGAGCTCTAGATTCAACCATACAGGTCACGTTAGGTGACTCCGGCTGACAAATTATATGGCATTGATTGACATTACCTGAGTACTTACATTTTATTTAGAGGCATTCGACATGGCATATTTCTGAGCATGTTTTATATATATATATATATATATATGTATATTCTATTTTCTGAGAAACTATACAGGTTTTACGGCGATGGGTTAGAACTTTTGTTATTGAAATGATTTTGAAAAGCTTTGTTTTTGCCCACTCACGCTTTCTGTTTTGCACCCCTCCAAGTTATAGTGTGGATAGCTCTTTTGGTGGCTCTCGAGGAATTCTCGGCATATCTGACAGATTGTCACCAGAGTAGGACCATATCTGGGTGTGTTTATTTAGTGTTTGTCCCCCAGACTGCACTAGGTCTTCCGTGCTCTGAATATTGTTTTTCACACTTACGCTTGCACTTGTATGTTATCTACTTAGTGTATAGTTTGGTTTTTATTTATTCGTACTTTTATTATTATTCTTAGCTTCCGTACTGTGCACATGGTTATGTCACTTTCACATGACGGCCAGCGCGCTCTGATCTCGGTCGGGGTGTGTCAGCGATTGTGTCTGAGAGAAGAGGTTGATAGTGGAATCAAACTCGACGATCGATCGAAGGAACTTGAGGAGGCCGCGAACATGGAGGAAGGAGAACTCGGCGCAAACATCGCGAAGGCCGCTTCGAAGCCTGAGCTTGACCTCGCGGTACACTCTCTGCTGGGTCAATGAGTTGACCAGATAGCTTACGGCGGTGGGCGACGGCTCTGGTTCAGATTCTGACGAGGGCTTCGGCGTTATCCCCTCACTCCATAGCGACTTCTTCAAGTACATTGCCTCAGTCGTTTACTCTCACAACGATGACATTTTGGTACTCTAGCTAACAGAGGACGACGTTTCGGTATATTTTTACACATTTCATTTGGTTGTAATTTATTTGTATCTTACTGGATAAGTGAAAATTCATCAATTTAACCATTGCAGTTACACTGGAATGAAATGTAAATTAAATTTTGAGAGATCATTTAAAGATAGACAAGGATGGGCCGAATAATTCTTATTCCTAGTTCTTGTTTTAACAACGTCGTAAGTTGAAGAAACTTCATTGTTTATGAATTTTAAGTGAAGTTACATGGATGAAATGGAGTATAAACAAACCAAACAAACCAAACAAACAAACTACATTCATATCATTACTCATGTTTCATTATTTTCTCTTTTTTTTTCCTTATGTTTTTAAATGTCAAGTTATTTGAGAAATTGACCAAAATGATTATTTTTCAAATTTTAGTTACTAAAACGGCCAATTTTGTATATGTCGTCAATATATGATTGTATTGTTGTCAATCTTTGATCAACCCCTTTGGCCTTGGACTTACGTCATGTAGTCACATCTTCTAACTGGAGCGTCAGTAGGTCTAAAACAGTTAAATATTATACAAAAATCAAAATCTGACATTTTTCATGTCATGAACGTGTAACGTGTTAGAAGTTGTTACACATGATCTATTCGATATTTCGGACTATCAGATACTGAGTCTTTTAATAGTTAAATATTATACAAAAATCAAAACCCGACATTTTTCATGTCATGAATGTGTAATGTATTAGAAATTGTTATTCACATGATTTATTTAATATTTCGGAGTATCCCTTTGAGGCTTTTAACCGTTAAATATTATACAAAAGTCAAAATTCGACATTTTTCATGTAATGAATGTGTTAGAAGTTGTTATTCACAAGATTTCATAAATTTTTTGGTACTGTGTCAATTACCTCATTTTTTAAAGCAATTACCTATATATTTTACTTATAATTTTATTAAAACGCTATATGTATATATAGTTGTGGTGTACTACAAAAGTAACAATTGTACAAAGTATGTTATGATTATTTACTCCAATTTAATTGGAACAACAGCAGCCTTAATTATTTTCATTTTTTTTTCCTTGATTTCTAATTAGGTTTTTTTGAATAGACCACACATGGATCAATATTTTAGCTGGTTGATTGTTGCGATTGTTAGGGGTGAAATTTTTTACCAAATTACCGTACCAACTGTCCTACCAACCATACCATACCAAATTATTATAAAAAATTTGTACCAATTGGTAACAGTACTGTATTGGTACCGTACCATACTGTTTCGGTACGGTATACCATACCTACCAATATTATTAATATTATATTATGTATTTATTCATATAATTATTTAAGGACAAAATTAATAATAATTATTGTAGAAGTGTAAAAAGTGTAAAAAATGTAAAATATATATATATATATATATATATATATATAATCACACATAGTGATAAGCTTTACAACTTTCATGAAGATGTCAACTTCAAAATCCAACGCTATAATCCATAAACCTTAAATTTATATTTAACCATCGATTGTCATTTACGTTTTATTCTTCTTATTGAATTTCATTTTTTAAATTTTCTTTTTTGAAAACATGATCATCTGGCAGATGTAAGAAGATGAACGGTTCAAATCTTTGATATCACGTTTCGATATTTACGGTTAACTGAAATATGAGTCGATGTCATATAGTTTGTAGAAACTTTATAAACATCAAGCAATATTTTTACTAACCGTAAAACTTTGAACATAATATCAACGATCCAAATCGTTCATCTTCCTGCATCCTCTAATAGATCATGTTTTCAATTAAGAAAATCCGAAAAAAAAAACAAAATTTGATGAGAAAAATAAAGCGTAAATGTAAACAACAATCAACGGCTAAATTTTGATCTATGATTTATATGATTATAATGACGAATTTCAAAGTTAAGCTCTTCATGAAAGTTGTAAAGCTTGTCATTACGAGCTTTATATATTTTTTCTATATTTTTTATACTTCTACATTAATTAAAAAATATTAGATTTTAGGTAAATTAAGTAGCGTAAAACAAAGTGGCAATTACCATTGATATACCATACCAACCAAATTATTTGGTATACTGATATTCGATATACTGAAAGTTTAGCACGATAATGATAATAGATTTTGCCGTTCCAAATATTTAGTATAGTAATTGGTACAGAGGTTTTTGTACGGTAATGTACCAAAACCACCCTACTAAAGATTATGAGTCGCATGAAATTTTACTACAACAAAAGTATCAAATAATTAGATAAAATTGTGAAGTATCGAACCTTGCAAAGTGACATGTAGTCAGGATCGGAGCTCCGATCGCCGATCCCGAGATCCGGCGCTTCGTCGCCGAACTCCTTCAGAACCGCCAAACGCTTCAATTTCCCCACCAAAACCCCGGGCTTCTTCACAAACCCTGTCGCCTTCTTCGTCTTCGTATTCACTTCGATCTCCGTCCCCAGCACCATGTCCCCGCCCAGAAAATCCTTCGCGAACGGCTCCACCATCACTGTCGGATTCGCCATCACCACCACCTTCCTCTTGCACTTGTCAAACACCTCGAAGCTCTCCGCCCTCACATCCGCCGCATAGAACTTAACAATTATTTCATAAATTCAAAATTAACATTTTAAATTAAAATATTTAGATACACATATACGTGTGTGTGTGTGTATTTACGGTACCTGGGGAGGACGGCGCGAGAGGTGCGCTCGATGTCGCGGATTTTGAGGCCGGAGAAGGAAATGAAGATAAGAATCTGGATGCCGAGGGCTTCGGAGAAGAAGAAGTAGGAGACGATGACGAGGGGGAAGGATAGGAGGAGGACGAGGCCGCGGAGGCTGCAGGCTTCGATGGCCAGCAGCATGAAGGGAATGAGCTCCGGGAGATGAGCAGCGTCCCTTCCAGGTCCGCCGCGATCGACTTGTACGATGCTGTTTCGCTCGCGTTGCAAGCCGAGATCGACGGGAAGCTCCGCCGTTGCTTCTGCGGCGACATGGTTCGTTACTGAATCGCGCTCTCTTTCGGAACGAGTTTTTTTCTTTCTTTTTTTTAGGCTACTTTTTGGAGTGTGGACTGTGGAGTGGGGGAGTGAGAGGGAGAAATTAAGCGGGGGTTTCAAATGAGGGGGGTGGGGATGCAATTACTGTTGTACCCCTGCTGGGTCTAGTGAAATTAATTTACCATTTTTCATGTTTTTGGCTGCAAAATATGGTTGGGGTTGGACTTTGGTGTTAAATATTTGCATGAAATTTTGTCTTTTCTTATCATTTTTTTATAAAAATCAACAGGGAAGAGGAGAGTTGAATGCGTTAGATGTCAGAGTAGGAAAAAAGAAACGTTTAGAATGGTAACCAAACAAAGTGAAATGCAACTAGGTAATCGGCTACGTCTATTACTATAATTAGAATGTATTGGATTATTAGTTTCTAAACTAAAAATTTGCGAGTAATGGTCTCTAAACTTGTCACAGTGTGATCAATAATTTTTTGAGTAACTTCATTAGAACTTTGAGCACCTATTGGTCTATGAACTTGTAGCATTGCTTTAACGAAAATACTAATCGAGTTATCCAAGCTGACCATTATTTCACATAGTAACAAGTTTAGGGGACTCGATACTCACAGTTTCTTAGATCAAAGACCAAAGCTTCAACTCGACCAAAATTCAAGGATCAACGCTAATTTTCTCGCTTGGTTAATTTACAGTTGATATTTGTGCATTTGATTGATTCCTATTGATTTTTCACTAACTGATTAGTATCTTTTGTCACCAAAATAATTGTCCTACAGCTAGCTAGCTGTAGGGTCAAGTGAGCATTAAATAGGTGGCCACACCCAAAAATAGCTATGAGACAAGAGATGTTCATGCGTTTAGTTTCGATATTTGGGACCATCGTCGGCCTGGATTTTTATGTTTGAAAAGTAAAACTTGCAAATACAGCTTTCTTTATATAATTCAACATAACAATCCAATTTGTGATGATGTGCAACTTTGGTGACAGATATTTCTTTAAATTTTGAAATTTGAATCTATCCACTTCATATATCTTGAAATTTAAACTCATCTAACAGTGATAGATGAGTCGGTGAGCAAAAATATTTCCCTTTTCGACAATTCAATATTAAAAAATACTCTGATTTAATAAATGGTAGGTAATTTTAAACTTGGGTAGACGAGTATACTACTCTGACCAAGCAACTTAAATCGCATCTGCTAATAGATTGAAATCAAACTCAAATTTTTCGGCTTTGAATTGGAGTCAAACTCAATTTTTCGGCTATTTGTAAAAGGCCTAAATAATAGATTGACAAGACAATATCGTAAACTAATATAATTTACGAAGGAAAAAAAAAATTCGAATAAGTAAGCACATTGCCTTGTCAGCTCATGTAGACTTGCCATTTGACTTCGTAGTGAAGAAAACTGTCTCCCAAGAAATTAAATGTAGGAAGCATAGAGGGAGCTGAATACTGTTGGAAGTTAGATCATCAATCCGAGCAAATTTAATAATTTTATTTAGGGGGTTGGTTGGAATTGGTGAAGCCTTAAAGAGTTAACTGTTTACTACCATATCTAAATATGTTTCAACTTTTATGATTGCGTGCAAGGAATTAATTTTAGGACTTGTTTGGTTGCCTAGAAAATGTTTACTACCTTTTTTACGTGTGAGAATGTTGTTAAATTCGTTGTTTAGGAGGAAAACCACCCATTATGTGAACACCAATTGCCAATGCATACTGTTTTCAGCTCTACTGATACCTCTTTTGGTTTCCAATCAAACTACTCCCGATATTGCCAAATGAATTGTTATTACGAGTATATCATTTATCGCTCGGAGAAATGTTCCTTTGTTAGACAATCTAAAATGTTAGATTGGTAATCTGAACCGATAGAAGTTGATTGTAATTGAATGTGTCGTTTATCAGCTGCTAGTTTTTGGTGAGAGTTGATTAAGCAGATGGTGACAACATCGAACTACACTTTGACTTTAATATCATCACTGGTAAAAAAGCACTAGCTTCTGACGGTGAATCAGCTTATGAAATGATAAGACATGCTGATGCACAATCTTCACACATTAATGGAACGCATACAAAACACATTCAGTAGCTGGATTCTATCTGTCGTATCTATCCATTAACCATGAGAGTCGAACCAAGACGCCAAGGTGGTGGTGTATGTCAAGCCCATTACCCGACGTCATGTGTTTTAACTTGCTCAGATGACATAACGTGATTTAGTTGGAAAACAGTCACCTTGGCGTCCCAATTAGATGGTTCTTCTCCAATGATATGGTTCTTCTCCAAAATTATTATCAAAATACGGCACTTTAAGTTACCAGGAACCTCCTCCTGCTCTGAATCTCTCCTGCGCTTCAGCTGCCTTGTCCTCTTGCAATTGCCTTACAAGTTGAATAATTTTGGGATTGTAAAAACGGTCGCGAACATACTTCTTCTCCTCAGCTTGTATTTCCTTGATAGCGCTGGGATATGGGTTTGGAGGAGGCCTCTTCCCTTGAAGGCGTGCAATTTTCTTCAAGCGGGAATATGCCTTCTTCTTCTCTTTTCTCTCCATCCGGTATTCCATCTAGAAGACAACGTGAACCAACAGTCAGAAAACAACTTAGAAAACGCACACATTTAGGGACAGGAAATCCAAATACATACATCAGCTACTGCCATTGCTTCTTCCTCAGCAACACCTTGCTCTTTCAACTCAAGTACCCGCAAACCAAATATACGGGCTGGAGGAGGATCAAAAGAAGAAATCCTATTCAAACATGATGAATAAGTTAATAAGCCTTGCGTTTTCTGATAAGAAGTTAATAAGTCTTCGGATTCACGCAACATGTTCAATCCTGAATTACCAACCACATCTACTAGCCAAGGATAAACTCATGACAAGACCAAACAACAGTAACGAGACAACAACTCATATTATACCAAAAAACAAAGATAAACCATACTTGATGGCATCTTCATGTTTGGAATCTGGATGCTTCTGGAAAAACTTCTTTATGTAAACATCCTCTGGGAGAGTGATTTTCTGAATTGCATTTGCACGAGGAAACGTTACAGGCGGTGCCCTGAAAAATTCACAATACATGATGTTTTTAACAAACAAGTAAAACGAAAAGGCATTCCAAGAATTACAAAATGGTGAGAAAGAGAGGGGCAAACTTTTCCATGGCTTTGAGCCAAACAGGCTCGGCCTTGGCCAGGCCCTTCACCAGCTTTCTGGTTCTCGTAAGTAAATCTCCTTTTATGAACGACATAGTTGCCTCCCCTTAGGTTCTCCAACCAATGATTAATTTCTACCTAGAAACAAGAAAGCAGTAGATTAGCACAGCAGTGTACTAGCTGTTTGGTTGACTATAGTTTGTATTATCTGTTATTAACCACCAAGAGAAGAAGCTCAAAGTTTCATGGAGAGAATTTCCAACAAGATATACATTATAAATAAAAAAGCTTACTAGGATTATTAAATTATGCAAGGCAATCAAGTATTACAACAAATTAAAGATTTAAAATTTTACAAAACATAGAATCTGTAATCCAAAGAACAACGAAAGGAAGATTAACACCGGGAATTGATTTCAACACAGAACTGAATCATTAAAAGAAGAATTCATCTTTCGAACTTGGATGACTTACAAAAACTACATCACAAGGAGAATTTGACGAAAAACAAGTTCCATTGTCTACTAAAACCTTATTTAAACTGCCCTTGACATCAATTAAATTTTATTTTGGTACTAAAAGAAAAACTAGTTCACAGATAAACCAAAGATAAACTAAACACAAAAACCAGCAAAAGCCCATTCAATCCATCATTGCTCAAAACCCATCTAATTGATAACAAACTAATCAAAACCCACCAAATCCCATATCCAGAATCCTAACATCATCTAAAATTTCAAATCTTTCGGCAAAGTTGAGGGGAACAGGAACTACCCACTTTAGCAAATTGCTCTACCAAGCTACCAAATTGAAAGAAAACAATTCAAAGACTGGAACTCAAATCAAAATTGAAGCTTTATATTATATGGGTTTTATTAAGTTAGCAGAGATTGCTTCGCAGCACAAATCAAAGCAGAAAGGTTCATTTCGGAGAATTGGATATGCACTGATCGAAACCATATGAATAGAAAAAAAATACAAAAATTGAACTTATTCCGATAAAATAGCTAGAGACTGAAAACTCAGCAAGTGCAGTGGAGGATGAGTGGCGGTGTTACCTGGTAGAGGTGGCGTGAAGGCTGACAACGGGCAGAGAGAGATGGAGAAATGTCGAGGGAGAAGTGGGAGAAATGGTGATAGGAAAGTTTGGGTTACTCGAATTTGGGCTTTTGTATGGGGAAGAATTGAAGGGCGGGCTTTGTGTCTGTTTTTGGGTGCCCTCTGTTGCTACCCAATTTGTCTGCCTTCAAAACAAAACAAAAAAAACAACTTTTGATAGAACACGTGGATGTGGATGTGCCACTTAATACTACAGTTTAGTGGTATTCTCCGTCATCGATAAGTGATATGTTTTAGGTTCAATTCTCTCAAAAGTGAATTTGAACCACTTTCTTGCTAGCACATTATAAGGCTTAACCCACTTTCCCTCTCTGTTAGTGTAGATAATATCGTTTGTTCGAAGAAAAAAAAATTGCATTGCAGGGGATCTCAGTAAAAGTCGAACTAGGAAAAAGAGAGCACGACACATATGTTTAACAAGTCAAACAAAGGATCTTGTTTATGCCAAGGTATCTTCAAATAAAATGCCTCCAGTTAAATCAACAATAGAAAGGAAAAAAATGCCTTAATTAAATTCGTGTAAAGGGTGCTCTCAGAATCAACTAAAGATGCAGCCTAATCTGAATTACTTGAAAATCTTATAAGTGCACCACTCGACAGCATTAACTCCAACTACCAATTACCAAAGCTCGGCCATTGAAATCTACCGTATACTCTTAGAGCATCTTTAAAAAAAATGTTCAAATCAGTATTAACAATAAAAAAAACTAACAACAATGTTTTCTAACGAAAAGCCAAATCTAATGTGGCATGACATTTATCATAATGCCACTAAGTACTACGGTCTAGTGGTATTCATCTTCACTTGTAAGTGAGAGGTCTTAGGTTCGATTCTCGCCAAATGCGAATTTGAACCACTTTATTGTTAACTCATTGTAAGATTAAGCCCACTCTCCTCCTCTTCAATGTTAAATATAATTTGTTAAAGAAAAAAAAACATTTATTATAATAAAAATATAGTTTAATTTGACATATTAGGTGAAGAACAAAACTTTAAAAGATATCAAGGTGTTATATAAGCTGTTAAATTTAAATTTACGTTTGAAATTTGACATCTCCTTTGAAAATGCTCATAAGCTGTCACAATGTTTGGCATCGTTCGTTCTGATGTCCTTTGCTGAATCATAATTATGATATTCTATCATTCCCAGCCGAACGCTTTATTCAATCGTTGTCTGCTGAATAATATGGTGATATTCAATTGTCACATCCCGAACAGCTTTGTTGTGTTCCCTTTTTTATCATTTTATTCAAGACTATAATAGGAAGTATGAAATTCATCCATTGTGAATGAACTTCAAGAAAACTTAGGTGCCACAATAAAACTTAGGTGCCACAATAAACGAACAAACAAAACATATTTTAAGTATAAACACGGTCTAACAAGTTTTTTGACCTATTTACTTAAAATATAATATTTTTACCTCTCTTCTTTATCCCTCTCGAACAAAACGAATCATGAAACCCTAATGCCTAACGATCTAACCTCCCTTGTAAAAATAACGAAGAAATTAAGTAGAAACTTTTTTTGGAGAATCAATAACCTTCTCTATTGTTATTAACTCGGTTTAAGCATGATTTTGTTGATTAAACAATTTAAACCAATCATTAATTAAATCAACCTTTCGAGGGTCAGGGATCTGCTGTCCCGAATTTGATGTCTCTTTTTGTGTCTCGTTCTCAATTTTTTGACACTTGTCTATTAATTGAACACCAAACTTAGCACTGCTAATTTTTTATAAACTAATTGAAAATTTAAAAATTAAAGAAAATAAAAACCCACTCGATAGCTATCCACTGCAACTACAGAATCCCATCGCCAATGGCCACTACAACCACACAACCTATCGCCTCCGACCACTGCAACCACACCAGTGACACCACCCCATCCCCGCCGACGCTGCTCCTCACAGCGGAGAAGCTTTATTTCCTTTCATTTCTCTCCTTTCAAATTCCCATACTCTCGTCAATACGTGTGAAGTTTGAAGTTCGAAATTTGGGATATCTAATCGATCCATCTCGTCACAGCCGGCGAACAGTGTGTGAAGTTTGAAATTTGAGAATATCGTATCGATTGATTGGGGGAGGATGCTAAAGGGTTTGGGGGTGGTGGCTGCAGTGATAGATTGAGAATATCTAATCTAATCGATCCATCTCGTGGCCGAAATGCATGGTGGGGAGGTTGGGTTTCATCAGCTCTTGTGCCTTTAATTTTTCAGTTTTTTCTTTTTAATCAAATTCTATGTAAAGTAACTGTGTTAAATTTACAGTTAAGTAAAGGAACATGTGTCAATTAAAAGGGAAATATAGAGGAGACGCATTATCTCTCGTTATCAACTCGGTTCGAGAATGATTTTGTTGATTAGACAATTTAAATGTGGCTAACCAAGTCATTAATTAAATAAGCCTTCCAATGTAAAAACAAGGATTAACATAATAACAAAGTATAAATAAATTAAATAAAGTTTTCCACTAATGTAACAGGATAAATAACATATATGCACATTAGCACCTCAAATACTCCACTCTCGACATTAAAACACAACGAACGAAATAAACACAATCGCAGCATTTAGACAGAACAAGGCCCCGACGGGAAGACCCGAAAGGGATTACTATGTCAATCCCTGGTCTTGAATGGGATGGCTCTGATGACTATCTGATGGTAGAGTGCAGCAAGTGCAGCTCCGATGAATGGTCCGACCCAGAAGATCCACTGCAAACAAAACAAAATCATTGAAGATGTAAGACACGTATCCTCGCTCGCACATTTAGATCGATGCAACTTAATGATGTAAACAATTTAGTTTCACTCACATGATCATCCCATGCGTGGCCCTTGTTGTAGATGATGGCAGCCCCGAGACTCCTAGCAGGGTTGATGCCAGTTCCGGTGATGGGGATGGTTGCCAAATGCACCAAAAATACAGCAAACCCAATGGGGAGTGGAGCCAAGATCTGCATTTCCATTCGTATATAAGAACAAGTTTATAGACATAGCTGCAAAAGGGATACCAGTTGCTACTACATGGAAGAGTTTCGTGTGATGCTCGAGTATTGTAGATAAAGTGTTCCAACAAGCACTATGTACAACCTTGAAGAATTTCATCACGTTCTAAATCACAGAGAAGATTGACTAATCGGCATGGTAATTTTGGCACAAAGAAAAGTTTGTGATCATGTACCAGAGCCAAAAAACACTAACTTTCAACCAAAGACATTGCAATTAGCAATGACGATTGAGTGGCGGTTAGCTAACCGTCAATCACAATATACTCAAAACTCAATGAAATCTATGCCTTAGTAACCATGGCATTACAATGATACAAGTAGACATATGCATAAATACAACATTTACAGAAAATAGTTAAGAGCGCAGCGTGTAAACTAGTACTCAAGCAAAGGTGAGATATACTTACAGGGACATGAGAGTCTCTGGCATTTCTCTTGGCATCAGTGGCAGAGAAAACTGTGTACACAAGAACAAAAGTCCCAACAATCTCAAAGCCAAGGCCGTCACCCTTGGTATAGCCATGGTTCACCACATTAGCTCTACCGCCGAGCAACTCATACTGCTTCTTTTGGAACCCCTTCACCACCCCGGCACCAGCCATTGCGCCAAGGCTTTGCATGATGATGTAGAACACGGATTTGGTCAGGGAGAGCTTCCTTGCTAGGAAGAGACCAAATGTCACAGCTGGGTTTATGTGACCACCTGCCCAACATATCAAAGGTTAATATAATGTTACAACGAAATATGAAAATTGGTGAGGAAACATATGGTTTGAATTCATTTTTGGCTGTAATTATACACTGTCAACTTTTTACAGCAAAATAAAGATGCAGATTTTCATTTTTCCAGAAATTTGAATTTGTGAGGTAAAGTTATAAAAGACCAGTAAATCCAACAAGAAGATCAGGAACAAAGTTGATATCTTAAACCAATCCAAATTTTTTTACTCTACTATTCTTATTTTCAGCAGTAAAAATTGCTAACTATACAAGAATTTAAGAAAAATAACCCTTACAGTTAATCCCAATAATCTAAAGTTCTCACTTTTTTCTTCTCTTTTTGTTAAGTGGTTTATTTATTTTTCATCAATTTTCACACACCCAAGTAAAACAGTAAAGTCCTCCAAATTTCCCAGGCACACCAGTGTTCAGATTCCTCAAGTCTAATTCATTCCTAGCAGATGACCTCATTACTCAATTGACAAACATGAAAATACACAACAGGACATAGCTTAACTAAAAATATAGAAAATAAGGAAAGATGGGATTCTATTAAGAATAGTCCGATGAAAGAGCCGAAAAATGGCATTGCTCGTGATAATGATGATTTTGAAGAAGTAGTAGCTCACACAACAACTGTGTGGCTACCATAAACCTATTTTTGCCAAAACCTTAACATTCACCCCAGAATTTATCAAGAGGACTAATCATTCAAAAGACTGTACCCTTTGAAAACTATACTAAGCAGATAGAGCTTCAAATCACAACTCACGACAACGAGAATCAAGCAAGCAAAGAGAATTAAATCAAAACCAGAGATTCTCATCAACTTGCTTGTCCCTTACGAGCTCTGCAACTTCCTCAATACCATGAAAAGCCTCAAAATCCTACACATTACACACAAGAAAACAATCCAATCATAAAACCCAATCACCGCTCCGAAACCAATCACAATAAATTTGACGCGAAACTGAAGTTTGAAGCTTTACCATTTGATTAGCTGAGGAATCCAACATAATAGCAATCAAAGCATCCAAACAAGCTCCTTGCTCAATCACCCCGCGATTCGGTAATATATTCATCAAAACCTACAAAAACCCAATTACAGAAAACTGCATTCTCATCTCAGTAATCCAACCTCCATAGATTTTGGTTGAGCTATTTAGCTACATTGAGTACCTGAATGGCCTTGTGCTGATGAGCCAAAACCGCGCTGTCTGGATGAAGCAGGCAGCAACCCTCCAAAACCCCAAGCGCAAGCGAGACCCCGGAATCGGTTGAAGGGTTGGTGATCTTCAGCGGCTCGACGCCGAATATGTGATCCAAATTCTGCACGATCTCATCGTCCGAATCTGTCAGCGAGTGCCGAAACAGAGTGGGCACCACTGTAAAACAATAATTAAATCAATTTCAACAATCAGAAAATTAAGCAGAACTAGGAATTTTGTAATTTTCTGGTTACCTTGAAGCTCGGGGAGTGATTGCGTCTGAGAGAAGAGGCTGATGGAGGAACCGGACTCGGCGACCGACCGGAGGAACTTGAGGAGGCCGCAGACGCGGAGGAACGACAACTCGGCGGAAAGTCGCGGAGGCTGCTCCGGAGCGCGAGCGTATCTCGCTATAAACTCTCTGGTGGTCAACAAGTTGGCCGGATCGCCTACGGCGGTGGACGGCGGTCTCGTTCAGATTCCGACGAGGCCTTCGGTATTATTCCCTCGTCCCATAGCGGCTTCTTCTTGTACATCGCCCCAGTCTTTCACTCTCACTCTTTAGAATGTCAAATCTTTCTCCTCTGCCTTTTGCCCCGGAAATGTTCTGACAGACGACGACGTTTCGTTTAGCTTTGTAAGTAGGTTTAGCCATTGCATGCATATGAGATGCCCCACATCCTTGCTGCCTGCTGGTCACATGAGTACTATTTTTACTTAATTACTCACTTGGAACGAAACAAGTTTATATCTCAAAAGATGAGTAAAATTCACCAATCTAAGACACTCACACCTGTATGTCATAAGATTTGAAATGTGCAATCCAAATACATCGTAATTAAATTGCACATTTTAAATCATGTGACACACGAGTGTATTTAGAACCTTTTGTAAGATTAAAAACTGTTGTAGATTAGTGCATGTTATTTCTGTAAGCATGGTTGCTTAGGATGTATATCATAAGCAGTTTAAGATATTACCAAAAGGAAGATCTCATATTCAATTTTGTGCTACTAATCAAAGGGTTTCAAAAACAACAATACACACATCCTTACATTTTAGCGAATTCATAGAATAACAATCACATTTGGGAGTGAGTAATCATATTAAATCGCAAACTTTTAATATGTTTATCACATCCTAAGCATACAACAGACTGAAAGACAGAAATTTGCACACTATTTGTGAAAAAATATTTACAGATTAGTGTGTTACTTGACGTATAAATAGATTTCCATATGAACTTAAAGTTTAGTGTCGGCATAAAGAATACGGTTACTGTAAAAAGCCTAAAAAAACATGTTTTCTAAAACCATTTTAGAGCTCATGCATGTGTTTTTGGGTGAGTTTTTGGTGTTTTGTTAATTACGTTGAAATTTCATTGCTTTTCTTTTTCGTGTTTATACAACGAATTTTGTATTGAAATCAGTAACTTATATGTTCACAAGGTTACTAGTTGCTGTGTTCATAGGCTTCGCAACTGCACTTGAAGGCTGGGGATGGAGGCTGCTGCTGAAGCTGACCTACTTCAATTGGTGAAAAGGTGATTTTTTTAATCTCATGGTTCTCTTCCGATACCTTTGTTCTTTTATGTTAGGGCTTTTGATGAATCTGAAAAATTTTAATGGGGTCTTGGGTTTTTATTTTCATGTTGTTTTTATAAAGGCAATTGGATTCATGTAACGGTGAGGCATAAACAACATGGTTGGAATTGGAACCCACAAAGCTCAAAACACCATAGCTCTTTACAGTTTTATGAAAGTAATTTATGACGGCTCGTATATTTTCAGAGACACAAATGGGTTTTCACAAAAATGTCTCACCGAGGTGGGAAATGAGCAAAACTAGGCTGAAATTTCAAGGTTGGGTCACTTTTTAAAGATGTTCTGCTAAGTTGCTTTTAGAATTTTGGTATATTATATAGGAAAATTAGTCTTTGGCATAATCTGAATGTGGCATATCAAAGTGCATGGATTAAGTGATTACAACAATTATATGGAAAAATTTGAAGCATTTTTGTTTTGTTTGGGTTGGAGTTGCAGTTCGATAACTGTCATATTTGAATTATTTACACCCTTGATTTGAAGTTTAGCAAGGAAATTGATTAACAAAATTGATGGATCATGTTGGAAGAATAGCAAGTGGAGCTTGAAAATGGAGAGCAAAGCATTACACCAAATCACCACATTCGAGATATTCATCTGACCAAGCTGGATTGGCAATGCTGCATCAGTATTTAAGCCATTGAATAATGTAGTTAGCTCTTAGTATTACTCGGCATGCGCACCATATAGATTGTGTACTTTTTAGGACCAACAACACCACAGTGAAAGTATGAAATAGTTTCAGGCACCTACCGTCACCCTCCATCTTAATTCAACAAAATCAACGCAAAGACGATTGAGGAATGAAGAAGAAAAACTATATACCAACTTGAGCATCTCCAAAAGTGATGTCAAATACTAAACATTAAATTCAAATTTGATGGCTTATATGTCAATTTGACTTCTTCATTCATTTTAATTTCCGACCGATATGTTACTTTATTCACTGTTCTAAAAATTGGCAGTGTTTCAGCGATTTAGATCAAATTGTCCAACAAAATCACGTAAGAGTTAGGCGCCCACCTAAGTGCTCTCTTGGTAATGGGTTTTTTTTTTTATTTTTTTTTATTTTTTATTTTTATTTTTTACATACTGACTCTCACTTGTCTTCGGTCTGTCGCATCTCTCGCAGACAATGGAAGATCTAATGAGAAGAGGGAGAGTGGGTACATAAATTTAATTTACATCTTGAGAGAACAAATTTACATTTATTTTTCAATAAGTTGCAAACTGTCAGAATGCGTAATTCACATTATTTAGACCAGGCTAAAATACATGGAAAACACCTCAATTCTTGGGAGACAAATTCACATTTATTTTCTAAACAAGTTGCAAACAGTCAAAAGCCGTTTTGGAGAATAAGAGGAAAGATGAATGACTCCCACAACATAGATGATTCTTCTCCACTTTCATTTTTCATTTGTCTTAATCAAGTTTCAAAGTAAATTACAAGTTGAGAACAATAGAGACCTACAAACCAAAATATACACGATGTAAGTGGAAATGTACTGTCTTGACTTAGACCCCATGCAATACTTCAAGCAAGCTCTCAAGAGTTGCAGGTATTTCGAATAATTCCACTACGACTGGGGTCTTTACAAATTTAGTCTTAAGAGTTACTAGATTAGAAGACACACAATAATTGACCGACTTATATGTATTTGCACATATATTATGCTAAATTGTTGTTAGTGAAGAATCATCACTGTCATTTGACCAAGACACTACTTTTCATCTTTTAGCAACAGTTCCTTGCATTGTATTCACTTGAGACTGTTCGTTTATTGTGTGATTATTGTTAATGCGAGGGCCTCCGGACTCGCATGAGGAATTTTAGCTAACTTGGTTTTCGCATACAACCATATTACCGTGACGATAGTTATTTTGAAATTTACTGCACGAAATGTCAAGGCAAGCATTTCATTGAAGACGACCATTTTCTTACAAATTACTGATAGTGTAATTCAAGGTTGATAATCTCGAGTCTAGACATATGCCCAATGCTTTCAGGTACTGTTCCACTCAATTGATTGCCATAGAGAGATAATTCTTGCAATGATGAAAAGTTTGTGAGATTAGGAATTGATCCAGAAAGATGATTGGATGAGAGGTACAGAGTCTTTAATGCGTTCTGATCAGGGCATGCAGACATTAATATTTGAACCAACCAGGAAAGTTGTCCACTCAGAGTGTTGTTTATAAGGCCCAATTCTTGCAGATTACATAACCCGGAAAAAGATTGCGGAATCCCTCCTTTAATTGGGTTGTAAGAGAGGTCAAGAGAAACAAGGCTGGCATTGTATTTGGATAACCACACAAATATGGAAGAAGATGAAGAAAATGGGAGTTGGTTGTTCCTGAGAACAACATGAGCAAGAGATTTAGAAGAATTTATGTTAAAAAGAGTACTGGAATGAATTAGAGGAGATGGAAGACTACAAGAAGACAGAGACAAGTTTGTAAGTTTAGGGAGCTTATTAACTGCTTCCATCTAGTCTGGAACATTACTGAGATTGGTGTAACTCAGGTCCAAATATGTTAAAGCAGAAAGATGAGGCAGCCAAGAATTCAGATTTTCTACATTAGCAAAGTTATTGGATCTGAGATCAAGATATCCAAGGCTAGCATTGTATTTGGACAACCAAAGAAGTATGGAAGAAGTGAGTTGGTTGGAACTGAGGTCAACATGAGCAAGAGATCTAGAAGAATTTTTGTTAAAAGGAGTACTGGAATGAGTTAGAGGAAAAGGAAGACTGCAATCAGACAAAGACAAGTTTGTAAGTTTGGGGAGCTTATTAACTGCTTCCATCCAGTCACGAACATTACTGAGATTGCTTCCACTCAGGTCCAAATATGTTAAAGCAGAAAGATGAGGCATCCATGAATTCAGATCTTCTACATTAGCAAAGTGATTGAAGCTGAGATCAAGATGTTGCAAGTGGGTAAGGTTTCCAACTTGACTTGGAAATTGACCACCAAAAGAAGCATAAGAGAGATCGAGGTGCCTTAAGTTGGAAAGAGACCCAATGAAATCTGGAACTTGGCTTCCATTGAAGTTAATCTGTGAAAGGTCCAAATATTTCAAATGCTTCAACTTAATCAGTTTAGGACTCATCATCTTACCTTGCAAATAATAATAGGTATTCTGTGGGCGTCCTTTCTGTTGAAGTGCGTAAGCTTGATCCAAATAAGACCATCCAAGATGAAGTTGAGTAACATGGTTGGTTCGATTGCTGCAGTGGACGCCAAGCCATTGGCAACAATCTTGCTTGTGTTCTTCTCTTCCCCACGAGGAGAGGAGATCATAGTCATCCACCAGGCCTTGTTTGAAAGCAATGAGTGCTTCCCTTTCACTCTCTATGCACCTCGTCACCACCCGATGGCTAATTGCTCTGAAATCGGCAGAAACATTATAGAATCCAGAGGATAGGGAAGGGTTGAAACATTGTAGAAAAAGTAGCACCACAATGGAAGTATGAAAGAGTTTCTTCAAGCACATGATTCCGTCATTCTCCATCTTAATTTAACAAAATCAAGGCAAAGACGATTGAAGAATGAAGAAGAAGTGTACAATCAGAATTGATTTAGGAGCACAAGGAAAGCTACGAGTGTTTTATAAGGCTGGGTGAGTACGTAATAGTTCACAATACAATCCACACGCTGAGTTGTCTTGACTCAAATGGTCAAGTATGGAACACGTGTGAGTGGACCAGCTACTTTTCTGTAGGTAGGTGTAGTAATTAGAGGATGACTCGTCTCTCCAAAATAATGACAAAGCCTGCAACAATCAACACAATTACGCGTTGATTGTTTCGTTCTGTTTACGTTTTAGAAGTCTTTTGGTTTTTTGTGGAATTAGAAAACAACATATATGCGCGTAATTTAAGTTATTTGGACCAAGCTAAAAAATGCAGAAACCATCTCAACTCTTGAGAGAACAAATTTACATTTATTTTCCAAACAAGTTGCAAACCATCAGAATGCGTAATTCACATTATTTGGACCAGGCTAAAATACACGAAAAACGCCTCAACTCTTGAGAGACAAATTCACATTTATTTTCCAAACAAGTTGCAAACTGTCAAAAGTCGTTTTGGAGGATAAAAGGAAGGATGAATGACTCCCACAAAATAGATGATTCTTCTCCACTTTTGTTTGTCATTTATCTTAATCACACTTCAAAGTAAATTATAAGTTGAGAACAAAAATGGCCAACAAACCAAAATTTCCACGAAGCAAGTGGAAATCCATGCGATAGTTCAAGGTTATTGACTTAAATGGTCAAGTATGGAACATGTGTGAGTGGACCAACTACTTTTCTGTAGGTAGGTGTACTAATTAGAGGATGACTCGTCTCTCCAAAATAATGACAAAGCCTGCAACAATCAACACAATTACGCGTTGATTGTTTCGTTCTGTTTACGTTTTAGAAGTCTTTTGGTTTTTTGTGGAATTAGAAAACAACATATATGCGCGTAATTTAAGTTATTTGGACCAAGCTAAAAAATGCAGAAACCGTCTCAACTCTTGAGAAAACAAATTTACATTTATTTTCCAAACAAGTTGCAAACCATCAGAATGCGTAATTCACATTATTTGGACCAGGCTAAAATACACGGAAAACACCTCAACTCTTGAGAGACAAATTCACATTTATTTTCCAAACAAGTTGCAAACTGTCAAAAGTCGTTTTGGAGGATAAAAGGAAGGATGAATGACTCCCACAAAATAGATGATTATTCTCCACTTTTGTTTGTCATTTATCTTAATCACCCTTCAAAGTAAATTACAAATTGAGAACAAAAGGGGCCAACAAACCAAAATTTCCACGAAGCAAGTGGAAATCCATGCGATAGTTCAAGGTTATTGACTTAAATGGTCAAGTATGGAACATGTGTGAGTGGACCAGCTACTTTTTTGTAGGTAGGTGTAGTAATTAGAGGATGACTCGTCACTCCAAAACAATGACAAAGCCTGCAACAATCAACACAATTATGCGTTGGTTGTTTCGTTCTATTTACGTTTTAGAAGTATTTTTGTTTTTGTGGAATTAGAAAACAACATATATGCGCGTAATTCACGTTATTTGGACCAAGCTAAAAACGCAGAAACCGTCTTAACTTTTGAGAGAACAAATTTACATTTATTTTCCAAACAAGTTTGCAAATAGTTAGAATGCGTAATTCACATTATTTGGACCAGACTAAAATATACGGAAAACGCCTCAACTCTTGAGAGACAAATTCACATTTATTTTCCAAACAAGTTGCAAACCGTCAAAAGTCATTTTGGAGGATATGAGGAAGGATGAATGACTCCCACAAAATAGATGATTCTTTTCCACTTTCGTTTGTTATTTGTCTTAATCACACTCCAAAGTAAATTACAAGTTGAGAATAACAGGGACCAACAAATCAAAATTTCTACAATGCAAGTGGAAATGCACGCTCCATGCGATACTTCAAGGTTATTGATAGCAAGTTCTCAAGAGTTTTCGTATTTCGAATAATTCCACCGCCACTGGGGTCTTTACAAATTTAGTCTTGGAGTTATTAGATTTGAAGACACACAATAATTGACCAACTTAAATGCATATGCACATATATTATGCCAAATTGTTGTTAGTGAAGAATCATCACTGTCATTTGTTCGAGACAATACTTTTGGAATATTATTAAGGAAAACGGCTTCAAAACTTTGAATTTTAATAATAATAAAAAAAAAAAAAAAAAAAAAACCTATCTACGCCCGTGCAATTGCACAGCGTTTTTTCCCAGATTTTGTTTGGTTTGTTGTGCTGGTGTTTTTTCCAGCTTATGTATTTGCTTCAATGGAGTCTTTTATCCATTTCAAATGTATGCCGCAACTTTTAAAAAATAAAAATATTTATGTGGAGTGATTGATGGCAGGAGAAAGGGGGTTCATAAAAAAAATAAAAATAAAAAAACTTGCTGGAGAAGGGTTTTTTTTTTTTTGGAAGAAAATAAAAGCATTCTTACTTTCTTAGAGAGAACTTGTGGAGTTCATTAACATAACATAAGGAACTCCAAAAAAAAACTTTGAGTTGTGAACCATATGAATTTTCAATTACCTCCGGTTCTAATTGGTTCTTTGTATGATTAGAGAATATAAATAATTGAAAGTGTTCAATATAAAACACTGGACCAAGAAAGAGACACTATTTATGAAACTAGACTAAAAAAGAGACACTATTTATGAAACTGTATCAATTACTATACACTATTTATGAAATTGGACAAAAAACTAGACACTATTTATGAAACATGACCAAGAACTAGGCATTATATATGAAAGTGAACCAAGAACTATATACTATTTATAAAACTGGATAAAAAAATGAGAAACTATTTATAAAATTGGGTCAAGAATGAGACACTATTTATGAAAATGTACCAATTAGTATACACTATTTATGAAACAGGACCTAATAACTAAACACTATTTACAAAAGTGAACCAAGAACTAGGCACTATTTATAAATCTTGACAATAAATAGTGTAGTACCGTTTAGTTTTATAAATAGTATAGTGTTCAATTTCATAAATAGTATAGTACTGTTAAGTTTCATAAACAGTATAGTATTGTTTCATAAATAGTGTCTGTGATGGACGCAGGCATCTAGGCGAGTCAGGTTTTTATTTTTTTATTTTTTATTTTAATATTAAAATTATGTCATTTTCATTAAAATTTAAGTTTTTTTGTCCTCTTTATTAAAAGTTAAGGGTTTTTCATTACAGTTTAAGTTTTTTCATTAAATAAAGTTATAGCATGATTTTTTATTAAAATAAACTTAACCTAAGTTCTTTTGATGAAAACTCTCATATTATTATTTTCTGCATCGAAAGATTGCATGGATCTATTATCTTTTCCTATACATGTGAGTGCCCGTATGCTCAATTTTGGAGGAATCAATTCCGTACCTGATTGTAGTATGTAGGCATCCATGTCAATAGAATAAAGGTTCCCCAATTGTGGCAAAAGTGGCAGACTATAAGAGCCCAAACAGGTGTTTTTGATAATATTAGCTTCCAAGGAATGACCTTAACAGGCTCCTTAGATGTGTTTCCAGTTCCACCCATGATAAGTCCTTTTTCCTCTGCGCTAAGCTCTGGATCTTCTTTTGGTGTGCTATATGCCTAACGATACAACAATAAAGATGGTCTGGAGTTAACTTTAATGGATCAACATCAAAATGCAGCTCAAATCAGTTCATTCGTATATTTCATACATGTCATGTCTAATTCCGATTATATTTTCATGGTATAAGGAGAAGATCACCAGTTAAGTACGACGAATGGGCATGAGAAACAGTTAGTGTAAATCATTTCATATTTCAAAAGACAAGTGACCTTAATAACAATAATTCTGTACACTTACACTTTTAAAAATGAAGATTCAGTACCACAGTTCATTCACACAATCCCGAAAATGAAAGGAAAAAAGTTGTCGCCCCGAGAAATCAAAGCAAGTCTATCCAACAAATTTTCGTCAAATACCATTGTGAGTCAAAGAATACATTAAACACTACAATTGCATATCACATCAAACTTTCCTTTCTAAATGAAAGCATTACTGGATATTGCACAGCTCAAACAAGAACATATTAACGGTCCGGAGATAGGATAATATTTATTTTTCTTTTGAAATAGTCTATCTTAAATCAAGAGTAGACAAGGTAATTCAAGTATTTGAAATGTTGAAGGAAGCAAGAACATACTTTATTCAGCCATAATGCCAACCAGATACTACCAAGAGAGCCAAATGAGTAAAACACAGACGGCCATTTGAACTTCTCGATTAGAATCGGAGAAACGGCCAACCCAGTGACAGAACCAAGGTACATGCCAGTATATACTAGTGAAAGTGCTCTGCTTCTCTCAGACACTGGAATCCACTTAGAGAGTATATTATTCATAGCAGGCATAGCGACACCCTGTGAAACAAACAAGGAATATCTGTTCAGCAATGATAACCCTCACTTGAATTACCAAGAGAAAAATCCTATTTCAGAAAGGAAGCTGAGATACAATTAAATATCAAATGAGAAAAAATTTAAATAATTATACATAAAACCTGAAAGAAAACTTCTGCGTGCTAAACTACAAAAGTGAAATGGGACAATTGGTGTCCAAATTAACTTGTCATACAAATAAAAGTCCCTCATTCTTTTACAAGTTTTAAGGGGTAATCATTTTAGGTTATTTATTTTACTCCTGTTTTGTTTCTTAAGCTGAATGATTTGTTCAAAGCCAATTTCTAAAGGAAAAGTAAGTGTCAAGTGTCAACTAATACAATGCAGAATCGGGGTAAAATAGGATTAGAGATCCAAAGCAAAGCACTAGAAAGACGAACCTCACCAATCCCCATGAAAGCACGCATGATAAGCAAAAAAGGGAGGCTGATTTTTGCTGCAATAGGTGTCAAAATTGTCGCTACTGACCACCAGATCACTCCAAAACCCAATACACGCTTTCCACCAATTTTATCTGCCAAAATGCCTCCAAGAATCTATATACAAGAGCAATCATAAAATTAATACGATCATGCAGGAGAACTGAGAGTAGAAATTGTAGCTTCTAAGCACATCTGTATGGGAAAAAGAGATAGCATATATCATATATGTATCTTGAACAACAAATATATGCTGTTCTTAATAAAACAGTATCCTCTAGACCATAAAAGGACACAACCATGATTAGATGCCCACTAATGTGCTTAGGAGATTAAGAATGAAGGTGTGCTTAGGAGATTAAAGTTAGTTTATTTTTGAGTAATGCGCATACATTAGTATACTTAGTCAAACCTGAGTAAGCAGGTAACCCCAGAAAAAGGAGGACTGAATCAAGCCAACTGTTGCACTATTCCAGTTGAATTCCTGTGACATGGGAAGTATTGCAATGCTCATGTTTACCTACAATATAAAAATTTTACACTGTTAGCTGATTGAGAAGTATCACATTAAAAATCCAATACATTAAAAACATATTTTTGAGTTGTGCAATGCTTATGTTTAACGATGATGTAACATCAAGGTTACTATGATATAGGAAATACTTTTATCTTGAAGAGAATTGCCTTGGTAGCTTGAGACATCTTGTAACTAATTATACAAGAGTATCTGTTGTCAGGAAAGAGGCTATATATGTATGTATATATAAGTGTGTCTATATATCTTGAACCTTACAAACAACATATATGCACAATGATGCAAAACAGAAAAATACTCACACGATCCATGTTGCACAATAGGAATGCTGTAAAACAAAGGAGTACAATCACCCAGCGCTTGGGAATCTCCCACCAAGAAGGTACTTTACGAACATTTCTGGCTGCCAAAACAGCTTCACCTGACCCCTCTATTGATGTGAGTGAGTCCACCTCTGATTCTGTAATGTCATTCTCCTCCGACTTGTAATAAGCACAGGTCCTGTTAACCTTAGCATGTTCATACTTATGATATTTCCCGTAATCAAGCTTATCCAGCTTTCTTGATTGGATACAACTTCTAAAAGAGTGATTCGAAGAAAGATAGCTTTTACATCTTCCTCTAAGTATTTGTTTAGTAATGGTGCTCTGAGACCTTATACCAGATTGCAAGGACATTAGATAAGGGTTATTGCCTTCATCACGCACCCTACCTGTTGCCTTCAGAACGTTTGTATCTGAAGAATCAATTGCACGCTGATAAGGGCTGTATGAATATCCAGATATAGAACCACTAGCCCTGGGAGTACATAAAGTTGGGTAAACTGTTTTCCCCTGATAATACAGACGCTCTCCCTTCTGATGCACAATGGCGTGGTTTGTTTGACGTACCTTTCCTGCCAATATCAAAGAGTCATAAAGTAACAATGTAACCGCCTCTGAAACATCAAAATTTCAACAGTATCAGCAATCCTAAATTGTCTCATTATCTATTTGTAGTCTCCTGGTATATAATTTGTCCAAATTTTGTTGAGCCAAATTAAGCAAGTCCTTAATGAACTTAGCAAGACAAAATTATTCCCAAATTTGCTCAGTGGTTGAGTGAAAAAGGTAGTTTCTTGCTTAGTGCTTACGTGCACATATTCATACATACATGCACACATAAATGTACATATCCATGTCTGTGTGAAAACAAGAAACCCATCTAAATTTATTGGCGGAAAAATTTACATGCACCGAAAACCGCAAATTGTATTGAATTGTTGAATTCAATAGTAGAATTCAATTAAAGAATAATACTTGCGTTCCCTCATGGGGAATGCATTTCCCACCTTTTGCATATAATTATCATAATCAGAACCATTCAAATTCTTTATCTTCATTTGAAGATCATCCCTATAAAAAATTTATTCAAATCGGAGATTGTTTAGTTATCGATATATTTGGATGACTAGATGTTCTTCGATTCGAATGATTGTTTATAGGGATGATCCTCAAATAAAGCTTAAGAAGTTAAACGGTTTTGATTATAAAATTCATATGGTGAATATAGGTTATTCGAAAGAAGTGGGTTATGTGCATTCCCCCATTGGGGGAACACAAGTATTATCCTCAATTAAATTACTACATTCCCATCAAAATTCATCACAAAAATCAATAATTTGCTACTGAAAATCTATCAACATATCCAAATTATCCACATAGAATGTAAGGCGGAAGAAGCAACATGCAACTAGATTAAGTAGTTCACCTCACAAAATTGGAAAATTCAAAAAATAAAACAATCAAATTCAACCGCATGCATGCAATAATTCCACTGCAAACAAGCAAGAATTCACAAAATGCAACCAAAAATAAAAATACTGAAAAAAAAAATATATAGAACAAGTTAGAAAAGCCAAGCTACTATACCTGAACCGATAAAAGAACCGAAATTCCGGTTCGATATCAAACCTCCGATCGCCATTGAATTTATCTCCAACAAAAAAGAAGCTATAATCTCAGTGGATCGAACAAAATTCTTACTCCATTTCAGAACCCAGAGAGTCGAACAACCAGAAAGCTTAGAGGCAGTGACTGTGAGGGACGAATCGATGCGACGCCGTTTTGGAGCTCTCTCTGTGTGCCTCGTTGCTTTTCCGTCGTTTTCACTCTCTCCCAACGCTCGAGAGGATAACCAGAGGCTTTTTTCTCATACAAACATTTTATGCAAGATTTTTTCTGATTTTTATTTTTATTTTTTATTATTTAAACAAGCGGGAAAATTGGGTGGGCGTTGTACTCGAAGGAAGATCGGTCGACAGGCTGACACGTGTCGCATCATTCTCGTGAAGGGAAGAGGACAAAGTTATCCAAATACCCCTCCATGCAAGTTGGATATCCGGTGGATTTAGATGGGTGAAAGGATAATTAGAGGGAACGAGTATGGGTATTTTTGAGAATGGCGTTAAAAAATCTGGGTCCTTAAGAACAACGGAGCAATGGCTACTCACGATTATGCATAATTTATACTTTCGTTATTTATTTGTTGTGTTTATTTTTGTTTAAATTTTCTGGCCTAGTAATTTAGCCGACGTGGAATATTCGTATACGTACCCTAAGGAATACGTTGAAAGTGGGGATGGTAAACGTCAGTTTTATTAGGCCTAATGTCAAAGAGATCAAATTTTGTATATCAAATGTGTGGACGCTAATGATTTGATTACTATTTTAGTGTTAATTTTCTTTTGGTCCAACAATAGTTTTGTCAACACATTTTCATTACTGTGGTAAATAGCCTCTTGCTACTTAAGTGTTAATTAACGTGTTTATTTTTTATTGGTAACAGATCGTTTGGTTTACGAACTTAATTTAAAAATTGGGTAAAGTACAAAAAACTACCTCAACTATTGATGTCACGACATTTTCATACCTCATCTTTTGAAATTGACAATGTCACACTTCATCTTTAGAATTTGGTCCAATGTTATACCTTCCGTTACTTGGCCATTTACTTTTCAGTTAAATGCTGATGTGGCCGTTTACTTTTCAGTTAAATGCTGACGTGACTTGATTCGGAGTCCACTTTCTATTAAAAATCATTAAAATATTATTAAAAACTAAAAAAAATTATTTAATATTATTTAAATATTAAAATAATAATAAAAAGTAAAATTAAAAAATTAAAAAAAAAAAAAAAACCATCGGTTCGTCCCTCCCTCCCCCTCCCCCCTCTCTTCTCCCCATCTTCATTTTCTTCCCCCCACCTACAAACCCAAAAAAAAAAAGAAAATTTTGAAAACCCAACAACCCCCCCTGCGGAAGAACAAGAAGGAGAAGGAGGAGGAGGAGGAAGAAGAAGAAGAAGAAGAAGAGGGGGAAAAAAAAAATCCCCCCCCCCCCCGGGGCGGTCAGCGCGGAAGAAGAAAAAGGGAGAAAGAGAAGGAGGAAGAAAAAAAAAAAAATTTGAAAACCCATCAACACCCCCCTGCGGAAGAAGAAGGAGAAGAAGGAAGAAGAAGAAGAGGAAAAAAAGGAGGAAGGAAAAAAAAAAAAATTTTGAAAACCAACAACTCCTCTGCGGAGGAGGAAGAAGAAGAAGGAAGGAAAAAAAAATTGAAAACCCATCAAACCCCAAATCTAATACTCTTATCCATTCTCCACATCCTCTTCTGCACCCATCCTCCACCTTCTCTGCGCACCCATCTTCCCGCCGACAGGGTTTGGGGTTTTTTCTTTTTGGGTTGCAGGAGGGAGAAGAGTGTGAGTGTGGGTGTGGGGGAAATTGAGTGTAGGTGTGGGAGAAGACAAATTGGATTTTTTTTTTTTTTTTTGTTGGGATTTGCAGGTGAGGGAAGAAGATGAAGATGGGGAGAGGAGGGAGGAGGGAGGAGGGAGGAGGGAGGAGGGGAGGGATGAAATGAAGGTTTTTTTTTTTTTTTTTTCCCTCTACCTTTTATAATTATTATTTTAATATTTAAAAATATTAAATAATTGTTTTTAGTTTTTAATAATTATTTAATAGACAGTAGGTTCCGAATCAAGCCACGTTAGCACTTAACAGAAAAATTGACGGAAGTATGATATTGTCACAAATTCGTAAGATACGGTATGACATTGTCAATTTTAAAAATGAGGTATGAAACTGTCGTGATCCTAATAGTTGAGGTATTTTTTGTACTTTACCCTTAAAAATTTGGTTAGCTTTACCTGTCTTATTAATGCAATACCCCCGAATAAAAGATCTAGTTAGTTGAAAAGAGATGAGTCTTTCATGCTCTTGAAAAACCAAGGAGAAAAGAAGAGATTTATGCAACTTTGAATAATTTGATTATGTACACGAAAATAGAGTTTACAAGTAGTTTAAAATTACAGGATATAAATATTTTTTTTGCTCAAAAGCGAGTCAGAGTAGTCACGTAACTCAATGTAACAGTAAAATGGATAAAAATTAACTGCAGCTAGTGCATTTTTATTACAATCGATCCTACAATAAAATGTGCGTTGGCCACTATTGAAATGTATAAGTTCTTAAATTTTCATGTAAAAAAAGTCATGGGTTCAGTTTCGAAATAAGTTAAAATACAATTAAGTACAAATCGAACTTCAGTAATAGGTTAAAAAATATGTTTAATTTTCATGTATTGAAATAAGTTAAAATACTACATAGAAGGTGCTTGTTATATGTTCAGTTAATTTTTGAAAAAGATAATTAAAAAATTTAACAGTGTTAAGTCTTAGTTAAGTTGGAGGACACGTGTTGAAAAAGTATCAAGAAAACACATGAAGGAGACACATAGTTGGGGATAGCAGATTTGATTTGTCGACTTAGATTTAGTACGTTAATTTGATTTGATTCGTTGACTCTAATTTAGTTACCAATGTTAGTTATTTAGTTAAGTGGGTGAACACATGTCAAGTAATTAGAGAAGATGTACATAAAGGAGACACTAAAACGGTTAATGTTAGTTATTTAGTTAAGTGGGTAAACATATGACGAGTAATTAAAGAAGACATAAAGGAGGCACTAAAACGGCGGCTAGTACAAATCAAACTTCAATAATCTTTCCTTTTTTTCTTAGTACAATAGTCTCTCTCTTTTTTTTTTTTTTAAATACAAACAATACAATACAATACAATACAATACAAATACAAATACAAATACAATACAATACAACGCAAACAATAATAAAGACCTAGCTCCATACTCCAAAAGGCACCCCTATAGAATATTAGCGCACAAATGATGCATGCATGGCAACTTTGACTGATGACGGGGAGCAGTTGGTAATTTCCTCGATCAGAAGATATCAGGAGCTACCTAAGAGATAAAAGTAAACAAGCGGCGGTAGTTAAGTTTGATAACAAAATTACTACTCATATATGTGCGTGTGTACGTGTATCTGTGAGATGAAGATCGGTACGTACCTCGTAGTAAAATTACCGCGCGCTTGTCGTTTGAGATGTTTTGAGCATCCACCGTTGCCTGATCAAGGCAATCCTCACATAAAACCAGTCATCTAAAACATTTAAGAAGTTGATGTACGCGTATCTCCATGACCTGATGAATATCAAACTGCCACAAACTCCCCAAAATCCAGCAAAAAATCCAAGCCCCGCACATATGTAAAATCCCTTGCTTATAAGCTCATCCTTCTCTTCTTCTTTTCTCATCCCAATGTTCTGATCTGGATGATCTGTTTTTTCTGGAATACACGGCTTTTGAAGTGGAGGTCCACACAACTGAGGGTTTCCAGCATAAGTAGAGGGATCAAAGCTTTGGAGCGGAGTTCCAATGGGAATTTCGCCAAACAAGTTGTTGTATGACAAGTCCAAGACACCAAGGCGATCTATTCGAGAAAGGCTTGTCGGAATTCTTCCATCTAACTGGTTTCTTGACAAATCAAGGGCATCCAATGACTGCAACTTTCCAATGTCTGGAGTTATGTGACCTGTTAATCGGTTTCTCGATAGGTTTAAAGAAACCAATCCAACTAAATGACTGATTTCTTTTGGTATCTCCCCGATTAATCTGTTGCTTGAGAAATCAATTCTCTTCATAAGCCCCAAAGTGTTTCTGTATACTTGCATGCTTCCCTTCCATATGAAGGCCGCATCATCCTCATACTCATCTGAAATCTCGGGCGCCTCGTAATAATGTGTGATCTTCATATTTGGATTTCCTTTCTGAGCTAGAGTAGTCAAATTATTGAGGCACTTGGGTATACCTCCCGAGATGTTGTTCATAGAGAAATCCAAAATCTGAATGCGTGATAGACGACATAACTGTGATGGCATGCTTCCATTGAAATTATTAGATGAAAGCATTAGGATAACCAAATCCTTAAAACTGACTCCTAACCATTTTGGTATAGGTCCCGATAATGTATTATTTCCAAGATCAATGACTCTTAAACCTGTGCAGTTCTTCAAGGATGAAGGCAATTCTCCCAAAAACCTGTTGCTTCTTAACTTCAGCGTTTCCATCCGAAATAAGGAGCCTATTGTGGCAGGAATTTTCCCAGAAAGAGCATTGTAACTCAAATCGAGCATGACCAGATTGTCCAAATATGTCAAGAAATCTGGAAGTTGTCCATAGAGATTGTTACTTGAGAGATTAAGAAAGGTTAAACTTGTTGCGGTCGGTGCACGCAACCAAGTAATCGGCCCAGAAAAATTATTATTTGAGAGATCGAGGAATGACCCTTGTGATAGAAATGAGGGGATTGGACCTTCCAATTTGTTGGAACTCAAATGTAATTGAGGGGAATATGCAAACTCCAATGTCAAATTTGCAAGTATTGTTCCTCCAATTTGATTGTGTGAGAGATTCATGAAGGCCAAATTAGGAGACATTCCTCGCCAAAACCAACTTGGAAGGATATCGAAAATTCCAGCATTTGAAATATCAAGTCTAGAATAAAAGTTCTGAGTTTGAAGCCATTGTGGAAAATTTGGACCTACCTTGCAAGAACCTAGTATTATATAATCCAATTGGAAAGGAGGAATCCAATCCGAATGGAAGTTTAAAACTAGAGAGTTAAAGGACAAATCCAAATATTTCAATCTGGCAAGTCGTGAGAAATGGCTTTCGGAAATCACCCCTTCCAAATGATTCATACTAAGGTCGATACTCTCGAGCTTAGACATTTTCCCAATAGTTTCAGGAATTATTCCACTTATTTGATTGCCAGAGAGATTTAAATCTTTCAACGACAAAAACTTTATAAGATTAGGAAATGGCCCGACAAGATGATTGTAAGAGAGGTCCAGAAACTTTAATGAGTTTTGAGCGCATGCAGACATTAATATTTGAACCAACTGGGAAAATTGTCCACTCAGTCTGTTGTTCCTGAGGACCAACGATCGCAAACTGCATAATCTAGCAAAAGAATGCGGACTCCATCCTTCAATTTGGTTAAAAGAGAGATCAAGATAGGAAAGCGAGGTCATGTTTCCAACAACACCAGGAATTGGACCAGTTAAATTGTTGCCAATGAGGTCAAGATAAACAAGGCTTGTACTATAGGTTGAAAACCATATGAATATCGAAGAACATGTGAGACGGTTCAAACTGAAATCAGCATGAGCAAGATATTTAGAAGAATTTATGGTAAAGAGAGTGGAAGGCATTGGAGGAGAATGAAGAGAACAATCCCTTAATGAAAAGTCCCTTAGCTTAGGGAGCTTATTAATTGCTTCGAGCCAGTCATAAGTGTTATTGAGATTGTTGTAACTCAAATCCAAATGTGTTAATGAAGAAAGACGAGGGAGCCAAGAATTGAGATTTTGCACAACATTAGTAGCAAAGTGGTTGTAGGCAAGATTGAGTTGTAGCAAGTGTGAAAGGTTTCCAAGCTGACTTGGAATTCGACCACCAAAAGAAGCGTCAGAGAGATCGAGGTATCTTAAATTGGATAGGGAACCAATGAAATCTGGAATTTGGCTCCCATTGAAGTCAATTCCATAGAGGCTCAAATATTTCAAATGCTGCAACTCAATCAGTTTAGGGCTTATCGTCTTACCTTGCAAATCATATAGTAGAAGATCAAGCTTGATAACATGATCACCTTTGGTTTGGTTGCTGCAGAAAACTCCTTCCCATGTGCAACAATCAGGAGATCCCCAAGAAGTGAGTTGGTTGTATTGATCCACGAGGCCTTGTTTGAAAGCAAGGAGTGCTTCCCTTTCCCTCTCTATGCACCTCACCGCCACACCAGAAGCATCACCGTGGCCAAGTGCTACTCCTGAAGAAACTTTATTATCGAATCCAAGGGATAGTGAAGGGTTGAAATGTTGTAACGAAATTAGCACCGCAATCAAAGCATAAAAGTGCATCTTAATATTCAAATCAACGTAAAGGCGATTGAATAATCGAGAAGCAGCACAACTATTTGGGGTTTGTTAATGGAATGTAATATCGAAAAAGATGGGAGCACAATGAAGGTGCAAGTGTATATGGATGTCTGAGTACTTCACAAACAAGCTTGCATCGAATATATATATATATATATATATATATATATATGTTGAAAATCAATGTCAAAGTTAGGTATGGAAAATTAGGCAATGTTAGGCATGGTTGAATAAAAATAAATTAGGTGCAATTAATGTGTTTTGTGTGGTAATAAATAATCTTAGTTTATTCATTTGGTTTGCTATAAATACCCAAGTCCTCAAGCATTGTAAATCATCCAAGGAAAAACAAAGCCTAGAGCTAAATAAGAAAAGCTTTGCTAATTAGTTTGTTTTGTGAGCTTTCTTTAAGAGTGTGTTCTGTTTTCTTCTTCTTGGGATCATTAGAGTTATCTTGGATACTCTTCTTATTCAACAATTGGTATCAGAGCCAAGTCGGTCAGGGATCGGTCTTGGTAGAGCATTGGTTGTAAAGTCTCTTGGAATTCCGAGTATGCTCTGTGGTTGCAGTTTTGACTGATCTTCCACATCAGAAAAGGTTTCTTGAGATTATTGTTGGGGTTATCACAAACCTTGAGAGGGAGCTTCTTTGTGTCGAGAGTAGTGTATTACTCTGCACGGTAGTCACTCAAGCTTGCTCGGTGTAGTCAAAGTCTTGCCGATACGATGGGTGATCTTCAAGTTGTTGGAGGAATCAAGAAGCTCAACAACCAAAACTATAACATGTGGGCAACGTGTATAGAGTCTTACCTTCAAGGTCAAGACTTGTGGGAGGTTGTCGGTGGTAGTGAAGCTACACAACCGGCAGCGGAAGATGCTAAGGGTGTCTTGCAGAAGTGGAAAATTAAAGCAGGCAAATCAATGTTTGCTTTAAAGACCACAATAGAAGAAGAAATGTTGGAGCACATTCGGGATGCTAGAACGCCAAAGGAAGCATGGGACACTTTTGTTACACTCTTTTCGAAGAGGAACGATACAAAATTGCAACTTCTCGAGAATGAGTTGCTATCAATGGTACAACGCGACATGACGATTGCCCAGTACTTTCACAAGGTGAAGTCGATATGTCGCGAAATTTCAAAATTAGATCCAACAGCTCCTATTGGGGAAACCAGGATGAAGAGAATAATTATCCATGGTTTGAGACCCGAATATCGAGGGTTCATTGCCGCTATACAAGGATGGCCGACACAACCATCGCTTGTTGAGTTTGAAAATTTGCTTGCAAGTCAAGAAGCTATGGCCAAGCAAATGGGAGGAGTCTCACTGAAGAGTGAAGAGGAAGCGCTCTACACCAACAAAAGCAAAGGCAGCTTTAAGCAGCGTGCTGGTGGTGGATCTAAAAGAAATGGTGACAAGGAAAAAGGTCATCAAGGAGGAGGGAGTTCTCGGCCAGGGGGAGCTCCGAAGTATCACGGCAACCGTGGTCAGTCCCAGAATAATAAAAGATTTGAGGGCAAGTGTTACAATTGTGGAAAGAATGGCCACATGGCGAAAGATTGTTGGACCAAGAAAAAGCCTGTTGAAAGTAATACTGCTACTTCCAGTTCGAAGGAGAATAGTGAAGATGGCTGGGATGCTGAAGCATTATTCGCTACGGAGGAAGAATGGGACGCAGAAGCATCATCTTGTTGGTGCTCAGAAAATGAGGCGTCACCTGACCCAAAAGAGTTTGAAGATACGTTGCAAGGGAAACTGGGAGACCAAGCTGCCCAAATCCAATCAAGTCCAGATGAGCCTGAAGATTTGCTTACTGGAGACGATGTCGACCAAGAAGTACCTAAGAGTCTTTGGCAAACAGGTGTGTATCAACAACCAGACGAAGAAGGTGGGCCTAGTGTACCGGAAGAATCAACTCCGAAGGTCAACAAGAGCACGGAGACCAAATCCCAAATATGCCAATGCAGCCATAATTGAAGAAGCAACAGAACCTGAGACGTTCGAAGAAGCATCGCAGAGTTCTGAGTGGATGACAGCTATGAAAGAAGAGCTTGATGCACTTCAGCAAAATCAGACTTGGGATCTCGTGCCAAAGTCAAGAGATGTGAAACCCATATCTTGCAAGTGGGTTTACAAGATAAAGCGTCGTCCAGATGGGTCAATCGAGAGGTACAAGGCACGATTGGTAGCTCGTGGTTTCTCTCAACAGTACAGACTAGACTATGATGAAACGTTTAGTCCAGTGGCGAAGCTTACAACAGTCCGAGTCTTACTTGCACTTACAGCCAACAAAGACTGGAATCTGTGGCAGATGGATGTGAAGAATGCTTTTCTTCATGGAGAGCTGGATTGGGAGATCTACATGATCCAACCAATGGGATTTCAGAACCAAGATCATCCTGAATATGTGTGTAAACTGCAGAAAGCACTCTACGGATTGAAACAAGCACCCAGGGCGTGGTATGGTAAGATTGCTGAATTTCTAACACAAAGTGGTTATTCAGTAACACCTGCAGATTCCAGCTTGTTTGTCAAAGCCAATGAAGGAAAGCTAGCTATCGTGCTAGTGTATGTGGATGACTTGATCATAACCGGTGATGATGAGGCAGAAATTCTTCGGACGAAGGAGAATTTATCAGTCCGTTTCCAGATGCAGGAACTTGGTCAACTCAAGCACTTCCTTGGTCTAGAGGTTGATCGCACACAAGAAGGAATATTTCTCTGTCAACAGAAGTATTCCAAAGATTTATTGAAGATGTTCGGAATGCTCGAATGCAAGCTGATCTCTACGCCGATGGAGCCAAATGTCAAAATGAGTGCACATGAAGGAAAAGATTTGGAAGATGCGACGATGTATCGACAATTGGTAGGTAGTCTGATCTACTTAACCTTGAGGTGGGATTTGTGGAGGTATTTTTTTTTCCTTATTCTGGGTATTTTCTTTATATCATTAGATCAGCTGTCTGGGTCGATGATTTGTTTGTGTTTTTCGTTTCAAAACGTGTTGCTCTACGTTTTTTGGAATTTAGTTTTTGTAATTTTGGGTGTTTTGTTTATATCCTTAGATCTGTTGTTTGGTTGTATGATTTGCTTCTGTGTTTTGTTTCAGGTAACTGTGCTCTTCGTTTTTTGGGGCTTCTGTGCACAAGCTTGGAAGCCAATTATACTCAAGGTAAATAATTTCGGTTTTTTACACATTTTCTGCAACAAATTGTATTTTTTAATATTGTGAAAGTTATGTTTTCTATAGTGTGAAAGTCCAATCTGTGGGATTTATTTATTTTCTAATTTTGGTGTCGTTGCTGTGTTGTTTTATGGTTTTGGATGGTATTGGATGACTTGGTGTTTCCATTTATGTGTTGCAAAAGATTTTATCTTTGCTGCTGAGCCATATGAGTGGTACATTGACTTGCTGCGCTTCGGGGCTGTCAAACATTGTGGTTTTGGTTTAGGATTTGAACGGATGGTTATGTTTGCTACTGGTATTGACGACATTAGAGATGTTATTTCTTTCCCTAGATATCCAAGAAGAGCAGATCGTTGAATTAGTCTATAGATTGAAAGGGATATATTTGAATTAGTTGTTATAGGTTTGTGTCCGTTACCTTTATCTACATTAACAACAGTATTGCCCGATCATCATCGGAAGAACGTAGAACAAAGAATTGCTGCTGTCAATTTGATTTGTTATTAGACAAGCAGATCTGGGTTTGAATCTTTGTTTGGTGATCGAAGATTGATTTCTTTGTTTCTTCATTGTCGATTCAGGTGCTTGCCTCACATGGCTTCGGAGAAGTGATGGTTTTGCTTAAGTGTTTTAGATAATTTGAAAAAAAAATATGTAGATACTATGATTTGGGGTTGCTTCCTTAAACCTTGATAAAGCAGTCCATGTAATTTTAGCATGGTATCATTTTTTATCTAATGCATGAGTATAAGAAATGTTAAGACAATAGTATATTGGGAAACACCATGTGATGTAAAATGCAAAGAGAAACAATGAACCATGTTTTATATTTTGTTCATATTGGTTGATTTAAATTTGGGAACTTTTGACTTGGATTAATGTGTTCCGTTTAAGATATCATTTGTAGATTATGAATCGTTTGCCAACGCAAAAATTTACATCTTTTATGGTAGGATTCATGCCTTTTTTTTCTTAATCAGTTAATCTTTCAATCTTTTAGATTTTATCAATAAATTTGATTTGGGTTTCATTTATTTGTAAAACTAGACACTATTTTGTGAAGATTTTTCTTTATAATTCAGTAAATAATTGCTTCTTTGGCTGTAAATTTAACTTTTGTAAATTTCCAGGTTGTTCTAGACTTTGTCGATACTGCACAGTTCTCTTCGCGGCCCATTTCTATTTCGTATAGCAGAGCTTGATAACAGGTTTGGGTCAGTCTCAATTGCCAGTAGATATTACTTTGTTTTAATTTATTCATCTTTTTTTCAAATTTTTGTGCAAATATTTTTGAAACCCAAATAATTCAAAGTTCAAATTTATGTGTAAATTGATAGGTGTGGGTGTGGACACCCAATATGACTTTTACATGGTGTTGCTATCTGGTTTTTCACATAATTATACTGGGAACCATTGAAATTTAGGTTTAGCTGCAGATAAAACAAAATCAAAACATTACAAAGTAGAGGTATAATTTAATTTTTATATTATCATTGGATTAAATGAATATAGTAAGAACATTGACTTGACGTATGTGCTTTTGTTTCATATCTAGAATGGATGTTTTCCTGAAATTTGCTATTAATTGGTTTTGATTTTCCTCACCGAGCATGTGAAGGGTGTAATCTACTTAAAGTAAATAACCCAAATAGTTGAAAATGCACTCACCTATTTTATTGATAACTATACAGAGATTTGAATCATTCAATTTGTGTTAAAATGTTGTATTTTTTTAACTTCAATGGTTTCTTCGTTAATTTGTATCAGCTTTTTAGCTTATTAGTTGCTTATATAATTATTCCTGTGTTTTTTGTAAATTTACGAAGAAGGATTGCAAAAGATCACTTAATGCTTTGGAAAATTGCTTGGTGATTCTATTTGGTAAGCTTTGAAAAGCCTCATCTTTTTATTCTTGGTTATTTTCCCCTTAATTTGTATTTGTCTGCTTATGCTTGGCTTGGACTTTGTTTCACTTTTTTTATTGATTGCATTTGTTTTTGCTACAGTGCAGCACAGTTTTGTCAAGCCCACGTGTTGATCGTCACGTGGTGCTTTGTTTGTGTTTTATTTTCTTCCATTTTGTTTCCTCTCAGTTCCAACTTTGCTTCGCCGTTGCTCTCACCCGTTTTGTTTCCTCTCATTTTGTATTGATATTGTTATTCCTTTCAGGGTTGAGAGATCAACACAGAAAGCGTAAGAAATAGATGAACAAAGCAGATTGAGCTGAATAATCTCGGTCAAACAACAATCATAATTGTAAGCTCAAGAGTAACTGTTTTTGTGTTAGTTGCATGTCTTAGTAGTTAGCAATCCTTTCCTTTACATTTGATGAAATCATTTATGCATTACTGAAGCTTTGTTATGCACCTAGCTCTTTGCTTCTCTTGCCTACTATCGTTTTCTACTATTGAAATACAACTTTATACATGTTTTATAAACTTTTAAAACCCGCAGCAACGCGCGGGCATTGATTTCTAGTTGTAACTAAAACAGTGACATAGAAAAAGCAAGTTAAGATGGCCAACCAACCCACAATATGTGCTTGACTTGGCTCAATGGAAGTGGCCAGGCCATTAACTAGACTTTACTAGTTGAATTGTTGACGCAAAATTAAATGATTTTTTGCCTTGATTTGGTTGAGTTTTGATTTTAATTGTATTTAATCTTGCAAATGCTGCAATCCACAAGGAGGCATATGCCCAATTGCCCATCCAACAAGACTATGCATACTGGTTTTATGTAAGTAGGAAAAAGGAAAAGAAAGTTCATGTTTTTTAGTTTTTTGTTCTTTTGATATATTTTCAGAATTTGAATCAGAATGAACTAACATTATCATAGACTAAAGAAAAGACAGTGAATGGTGTTAGGCATTATTGCATGTATTTCAAACTATAGAGTGTCTTATACTTTATATTGCTTGGAAAAACTAGAGTAATAACTTTACAAAGACCAAAGATCAACACGCTACAAAGACTATATATATCTAGCAATCATGACTTTGTATGGGGCATAGAAAATGAACAATTTATTGGGGGAGTCAACCACTGAGTTCTCTATCATGACTTCATATGAGGGGCGTAGAAAATTAACAATTTATTCGGGGAGTAAACCACTGAGTTCTCTTAGTCTACCACCCGAGCTCAATCCAAAGATTACGATCCAAATTATGAGTTTGAAGCTATGAGAATTGCTTGCAAGACTCGCTAGGCATTTGGTATTTTTATCCCATCATCAACGATTTTTCCCTCCATTATCTCATCGGACATTTCTTTCCTATTCTACCCCTTTAACTTCAATGCCCATCAGTCATGTTCTTATCGTCGATCACTTAACCAAAATTACAACTCTTTCTGGGACTGAAAAGAGAAAATTGCAGTGAAGCAGAAGCTTGGTCAATCTCATCTGGGAACTGTTGTGGGACAAATTTCATTATTTGTTTTAAGTCAAGTACAGTTCTAGTGAAACTATACTTGATGTTGTGATCGTAATGCTTTACTTTGAGATAAATGTATGATGATAGTCCATTGTGAGATTTGATAAGCCTTAGCGATCTACAGCCTCACTTGTAATTATATATATTTTATTTAGACTCAATGAATGAGGAAATAACTTCTTCAACAAATACAATTTTCACATTATATCATGATGCTTGTTTGTTGTACAGATTTCTAGAGTGCTAATATCTAACTTAATTGATTTACAATTCTAATTTTTTTTTTCTTTTTTTCGTTTAATAAAGGTATAAGTATAAGTATGGGCTTCAGTATTGATTTAAAATCAAATGTTGAAGATTGTGACGAGGAAGTTGATGTATGTGTCGATGAAGATCTAATGCTCTAATACATAGAATGGATTCATTGCCACCATGACGTCTCGTTTCAGCAAAAGAATGATAAGTAATTTTTTTCAACACATGTCATTCGTTTATGGATCAAGACATTGCGTGACATTTAACCCATTTCATATAAGTTGCGACTTTGTAAGTGATGTTTTACCTCAATGCTTAGACTTTGGTATCAACATCCACTATAGCTAGTTTCAAGATTCTGCCACCCTATTCTGTCATTCTGATATAGTTAAAAAAAATAAAAAATAAAAAAAATAAAAACACTATTTGAAAGGAACTAGTCAAATACTAAATACATTATACATCAACTACAAGAAGTAGATGAGGAGCTCAATTGGAAAATAAAAGTGAAACTTGACATGAGGGATAAAATGGGAAAGAAAAGTCTAATGAGATAATGGAGGGAAGAGTCATTTGTGGTTTGAGTTCTCCATGTTGGTTTAATCAACAATTTCAAATTTTTCTTAAAGAGCGAGAACGTCAGGTACCTTGCGAGTCTTGCTAGGACCTCAATCGTACGTATTTCAATTGAAAAGGAGAATTCTAGTTGGAAGTAAAAAAACTATTCAGTTAAAAAGATATTTGGTTGTACTTTCGACTTGCGAATGACGAGTTTAATTTTAATTTTTTTATAACAGAATTTGTAATGAATTGGGTGTCATTTTCTCTACTTCTTTTGATGTTTTTTATAAAAACTTTCTTCATTCAGAATTAAGTAATTTAAACTCGGTTCATTTCCTTTCATTCAAGTGGCTGATGTAATATTTGTCACAGGATGAGCTCCCACTTGAATACATTTGATCCTCTTGGATATATAGATTTTGTCGTTGAAAAGCACTTTTCCTATAAAAAAAAACTCCACTGAGTAATCCTTTTTGAGTAATGCTATTTATACCATATTTTTACACCACCTTAGGTGGCATATGATGTGGACAGCCACATCATTCAAAAAAATTGCAAAAGCCAAGGAAATGAATGAGAAAGACTCCTCGTATACCACAATCATTATTTAATTAACTTATTTTTCTTAGTTATTAGTTTATTAAATAATAAACTAAATTTTAAAATATGATTAATTCAAATGATGTGGTTGTCCATATCAAATACCACGTAAAGTGGTATGAAAATGTGGTACAAAAATATAATATGAATATCATTACTCATCCTTTTTAGTCTTGCTGCCCATTTATGCCGCGTCAAAAGTGTTTATCAATCTTTGGGCAGTTTCCTGTTTGTTTCTGTTAAAATAAATACCCAACAACAAAATCATGAGTTAAGTGAGACGTTGGGCTTGAACAGGTACAACTGTTTAATTTGGATCAAAACAGTGATTATTGAAAGTCCATAAGTTTTTAAGGAAAATTCATGGATCAATCATCAATGCTCATGAGTACTCCTTTTATTTTTTTTATTTTTTTTTATTTTTTATTTTTTATTTTTTTGACCAATTATGATGAAGAGTTAATCATTTTAGTTTGCGAATGGCTATCTTTTGATGCTTGTAAATTCTAATGGATCCCTGCTTGGTGGTGGAATACTGGAAGTATTACTTTGGAGGCAGCTCTGTTGAAGAATGGGGAGGAATGTGAATATTGTTTACAGTTTTCAGGTTGGTGAATTGTTTCTCTTTTATTATTTTATTATTATTATTTTTTATTTTTGGAAAGCAAGTTTTTTATTAAACACCGAAAAGCAACACAAACAAAGAAAACCCACAGGCCCAAAACTAACTTATAAACAAGCAAAAGGGGCCAAACACAAACAGAAAAACAAAAGGGCCAAACAAACAGAGTCGGCCCAAAAGGCAAAACACAACAGATAGCAACTAGAAAGTTCCACTGCTTCCGCCACCACAGAGAATTCCGACCTACTCCAATCCTCACCCACAACCAAGCAACACCTCATCAAATGCACTAGCGAATTTCGATCTGCTCCGCGAGCACAGCCATAGAGTAAGGATAGCAACAACAAAGACAAAGAAGCCAACTATCAAGATGAAGTCCGTGAAGTCACTGCCAAAAAAGGCAAATAGAAACGAGAAAGTGGTGGTGTTGGAAACACACGAGCCATTAGAGCTCTACACACAATCTCAATATGAAACATGGCTGAAAATCGAACCAAGGATGAACAAGAACAAGGCATACCAGCGGGGTAAGATACAGAAAACAAATTGAGAAACAAAACAGGAGGAGGAAGTCATAGAAGAAAAAAAAAGAGAAGAGAAGAACACAGCAGAGAAGTGGAGAAGAGAAGAAAATAGAAGAAGAAAAGGAAAAGTGGCAACCGACTCTAGCCAAAGCTGGAGTTGGCCCTAGAGAAGGTGGGCAAGATGAAGACCCTCACCAAAGGGGGAAAGAAAACTCTCATAGAGGAGAGAAGGTCTCTCACAGAAGGATAGAAAAATGCCCTTTTTCTTCAAGGTTAAATATTTTTTGAACTTTTGTGAGGAAGAAAATGTGGCATTTTCTTTCTCTTTTGGTGTTTTTTACTTAGGTCCACTTATGAAACCTCCATTGATGTAATAATTTACAATTTTCAGCATGATCTAAACTTACTCTTTTACTCAACAACTGTGAAAGAACAAATTGAAGTGGTTCATATAAGTATATTTCTTTAAATTTCCAAGCTTTTATGTTATTGTCATTGTGATTTCTCTCCTTCTCTCTCTCTAAATTGTTAATATATATGTGGAATATACAATTTACTTCTCTTTTTTGGTTGGCTTTGGAAGGTGAACTGGTTTTGCAATCATGTCTTTACATGTTGAGATGGGTGCCCTGCATTATATTTTTAATTTTATTTTGGTTTTGGGTTTATTTTCTTCCTATTTTGCCTAAAAATATTTTGGATTGATCAGTGGTAAGAAAGCAAATTCTGTTAGATGCCATCTGCACAAACCTTTTATTAATTACAATTGCTTCCAAGTTTTTCTATTTCCAATCTTTCCAATCAGACAAACATATTTGAATATTTGGTTAAATTGTTACATATTAATAGCTATTAACACTTAATAATATAGTCTAGCGGTATTCCTCTTCACTTGTAAGTAAGATGTTTTAGATACGAGATTTGCTAAAGGCGAATTTGAACAATATTATTGTTTTCCCTTGTAAAGCTAAGTCCACCCGTTCTTCCTTAGTGTAGAAAATATCGTTTGTTTTTTTAAGGAAAAAAAAAGGGAAGTGTTATTGACACTTCAAAAATCTCATTTTACACTCCTCACTAGTGTATTTTTCTTTTCAAATATAGAAAGTTTAGAGTTTAGAATAAGATTTTTGAAGTGCGAATAACAATTCCCAAAAAAAAAAAAAAAATAGTTATTAATGCACTGGTGATTGTGAAGTGAACTTGAGTTATAGTAACGGCACTTAGGATATAGGGGCACTTAGTGTCTATGATAACAAAAATGTCCCTTGTATGCGCATCAATACATTTTAAAAAAAAGTGATTGAAAAAAAGTCTCATGTGCTTTCAGAGAGGCTAGTTGATTTATAAACTATATAATCAAAACTGATTTAGGAGCAAAAGGAAAGCTACCAATGGACCATCTACTTTTCTGTAGGTAGGTGTAGTAATGAAAGGATGACTCGTCACTCCAAAATAATGATAAAGCCTGCAACAATCAACACAATTCCGCGTTGATTGTTTCGTTTTGTTTACGTTTTATAAGTTTTTTTTGTTTTTTTGTTTTTTTGTGTGTTTTTTTTTTTTGTTTTTGGTGGAATTAGCAAACAACATATATGCACATAATTCATGTTCTTTGGACCAAGCTAAAAAACGCAGAAAACAACATATATTTTCAACAAATTTACATTTATTTTTCGGAATGATTGTATCGGTACATAAATGTAATTTACATCTTGAGAGAACAAATTTACATTTATTTTTCAACAAGTTGCAAACTGTCAGAATGCTTAATTCACGTTATTTAGACCAGGCTAAAATACATGGAAAACACCTCAATTCTTGAGAGACAAATTCACATTTATTTTCTAAACAAGTTGCAAACAGTCAAAAGCCATTTTGGAGAATAAGAGGAAAGATGAATGACTCCCACAACATAGATGATTCTTCTCCACTTTCGTTTGTCATTTGTCTTAATCAAGTTTCAAAGTAAATTACAAATTGAGAACAATAGAGACCTACAAACCAAAATTTACACGATATAAGTGGAAATGTATTGTCTTGACTTAGACCCCGTGCGATACTTCAAGCAAGCTCTCAAGAGTTTTAGCTATTTCAAATAATTCCACTACGACTGGGGTCTTTACAAATTTAGTCTTAAGAGTTACTAGATTAGAAGACACACAATAATTGACCGACTTATATGTATTTGCACATATATTATGGTAAATTGTTGTTAGTGAAGAATCATCACTGTCATTTGACCAAGACACTACTTTTCGTCTTTTAGCAACAGTTCCTTGCATTGTATTCACTTGAGACTGTTCGTTTATTGTGCGATTATTGTTAATGCAAGGGCTTCCGGACTCGCATGAGGAATTTTAGCTAACTTGGTTTTAGCATACAACCATATTACCGTGACGACAGTTATTTTGAAATTTACTGCACGAAATGTCAAGGCAAACATTTCATTGAAGACGACCATTTTCTTACAAATTACTGATAGTGTATTTCATTGAAATACAAAGAAAAACAAAACAAAATGCCTAGGGTGCTTTCTATGTTCAGATTCAGTACAGATCTAAGGACTCTAACACGAGGAGAGCTTGGATGTGAAGTGCAGTTAGTCTTTGCTCCGGATCAAGAGTCGAACCAAACTGACTGGCTGCCCATAACAAGGAAGCAGATTTCTCACCCAAAAGACGTCTTATGTCCTCATGTACAGTTGCCAATGAGCAGCAGCAAGAACTCTCCACATTTCAACCTAATCAAAAGCAACATGTGTTTTCTTGAGTGTGTATTATATTAGCAAAGAAAGGATCCAACCTAGGCACGAAATTTGGAAAAATAACCAAAATTTGATACCAGATAGAATTAGGCCACATTTTTAAGTTTATGATAATTATTAACCAAAAATTAGTATGAAAGTACTAATATACCCTAAAAAAGCCTAAGCGCAAGCGAGACCCCGGAATCGGTTGACGGGCTCGTGATCTTCAGAGGCTCCACGCCGAATATGCGATCCAAATTACACACGATCTCATCGTCCGAATCTTTTAGCGAGTGCCGAAACTGAATGGGCACCGCTATAAAACAATAATTAAATCAATTTCAACAATTAGAAAATTATGCAAAAAATTAAGCAGAAACTAGGAATTTTGTAATTTTCTGGTTACCTTGAAGCTCGAGGAGCGATTGCGTCTGAGAGAAGAGGTTGATGGTGGAATCGGACTCGGCGACCGATCGGAGGAAGTTGAGAAGGCCGCGGATGCTGAGGAACGAGAACTCGGAGGAACGTCGCGGAGGCCGCTCCGGAGCGCGAGCGTGACCTCGCTATAGACTCTTCGCTAGTCAACAAGTTGGCCGGATCGCCTACGGCGGTGGACGGTGGTCTGGTTCAGATTCCGACGAGGCCTTCGGTGTTATTCCCTCGCCCCATAGCGGCTTCTTCTTGTACAACGGCCCAGTCTTTTACTCTCACTCTTTAGAATTTCAATCGCTGTCCTCTGCTTTTTGCCCCGGAAATGTTCTGATCAAAACGACCACGCTTTTGGTCCTAACACAGCTAACAGACGACGACGACGTTTCGGTTGAGTTTTGTAAGTTTAGCCATTGCATGCATATAGGATGTCTCACATCCTTGTTGCCTGCTGGTCACATGAGTACCATTTTTACTTAATTACTCACTTGGAACGAAACAAGTTTATATCTCGTTAGATGAGTAAAAGTCATCAATCTAAAACATTCACACTTGTGTGTCACAAGATTTGAAATGTGCAATCCAAATACATCGTAATTAAATTGCACATTTCAAATTATGTGATACACAAGCGTATTTGGGGCCTTGAGTAAGATTAAAAATCGTTGTGGATTAATGCATGTTGTTTCTAAGGATGCTTAAGTTTGTAAGCATGGTTGCTTATGACGTATATCGTAAGCAGTTTAAGATATTACCAAAAGGATGATCTCATATTCAATTTTGTATTACTAATCAAAAGGTATTAAAAACAATAGTACACACAACCTTAAATTTTAGCGAATTCATAGAATAACAATTACATTTGGGAGTGAGTAATCATATTAAATCGTAAACTTTTAATATGTTTATCACGTCATGAGCATACAACAGATTGAAAGAAAGAAATTTGCACACTATCTGTAAAAAATATTTACAGATTAGTGTGTTACTCGACATATAAATAGATTTCCATATGAACTTAAAGTTTGGTGTCGGTATAAAGAATACGGTCACTGTAAATAGCCTCAAAAACATGTTTTCTAAAAGCTTTTTAGAGCTCATGCTTGTGTTTTTTGGTCAATTTTTGGTGTTTTGTTAATTACGTTGAAATTTCATTGCTTTTCTTTTCGTGTTTATACAACAAATTTTGTATTGAAATTAGTAACTTATAAGTTCGCAAGGTCACTAGTTGCTGTGTTCAGAGGCTTCGCAACTGCACTTGAAGTTATACAAGCATGGACATTAATAAATGATTTTTTACTAAACCCTTTTGTTCAATTTGAATATTTGCATGCTTGAACCGTAAAGAATTAACATTGATGATGTGAGATACATTGATTGAATTATCTGTCAATGTAATGTATGATGTTCTCAATGTTAACGTATCCAATCTTTTATTGAATTATCTGTCTGCTTGTTCTCTCTGTAACTTGATTAATAAGTTCTTGCAAGTTTCTCAAAGAAATTTATTGAAAATGATCAACTGGTACACTTAGTAAAAGAGGATGAAAAGAACCTAATTAACCCCTCAAAGATAATCTAAGTAACGTCATTGCAAAAACAAAAAGGCCACTAAATTAAACACAACACTTTCACTAAATTATAACTTCAAATTGCACTCCTCGATCTCCTTCTTCTCCAGTTTAAGGGGAGCATTGCTTACCAACGGTAGATGCACGAGCTAAAAAGATTAAAAAAACCACAACATATATTAGTCATAATTTAAAGACAATTGTAGAGACCAAAATGATATTAACCATGATGGCAATGATGCCATATCGTTATAGTCAGTTTTCTATGTAAAAGTGCACTTAGCCAATAGTATTAATAGACTCAAAACTGCAAAAATATTATTCATTATGTGGAAGAGTACTTACAGTTTGCCCATCAATCTTCGTCGCCTGATCAACGCCACCCTCACATAAAGCCAATCGTACACACAGTTCAAGAACTTGTAGTATGTGTATCGCCATGACTTGATGAATATCAAACTCCCACAAACTCCCCAAAATCCAACAACAAAACCAAGCGCCAAACTCAAGTAAAATCCTGTTGTTATAAGCCCATCATTCTCTTTAACTTGATCCCCAAACATTGGTTGCTCCTCTGGACTTGTTTCCTCAGGAGAGCACAACTGTTGAAGTGGAATTCCACAAAGCAGAGGATTTCCAGCAAAATCAGATGAATCATAGGTTTGGAGCTGAGTCCCCATTGGAATTTTTCCAGACAGGTTGTTGTTTGACAAGTCCAAATCACCAAGACCATATATTTGAAAAAGACTTGTTGGTATTCCGCCATATATGTGGTTTCTTGACAGATCAAGGGACTGTAAGGACTCCAACTTCCCGATCATTGGAGTTATTGGACCTGTTAAATTGTTTCTTGACAGGTTTAAGGACACCAACCCCACAAGATCAGTGATTTCCGTAGGAATCTCCCCCATTAATTGGTTACTTGACAGATGAATACACTTTAACAGCCCCAAAGTACTTTTGTATTTGGACATTATGCCTTTCCATATCAAGGATGCTTCCTCCAAATAACTTAGTCCGCCATATGAGAACAGATAGGAATGAAGGATAGTTATACTTGAACTTCCTTTTTGAGCCAAATTAGTCAAATTGTTGATGCATTTGGGTATATTTCCAGAGATGTTATTCATTGAAAAATCTAGAATTTGAATGTCTCTCATATTACACAATTGTAGTGGAATGCTTCCATAGAAATGATTAGAACGAAGGATAAGGATAACAAAATTTGGAAGTCCAACCCCTAACCATTCAGGTATCAAACCTGATAAGTTATTTTCTCCAACATCAAAAACGCTTAGTGTCGTCAAGTTCTTCAAAGATGAAGGCAATTCCCCCACAAACCCATTCTTGTTTAACTTCAGCGTTTGAATAGAAGGTAAAGAACCCATTGTGGTAGGAATTTTCCCAAAAAGAGCATTATCACTCAAATCAAGAAAGACAAGATTTTCAAAACGTGTCCAACAATTAGGAAGTTGTTCCTGCAAATTGTTGCTTGAGAGATCAAGAAAGGATAAATGACTAACCTTGTTCGGAGTCTTTGGACACATGAAAGAAATTAACCCTGAAAGCTTATTATTGTTGGAGAGATCTAGAGATATCACTGTGGAAAGGAATGAAGGGACTGGACCTTCCAATCGATTCCAACTCAAATTCACTTGACTAAAGGAAGATGAGGGAAACTCAAATCTTGAATTTGGAATTGTTCCTCTAATTTGGTTGTTGGAAAGATCTATAAAAATATATCCAGAATCCTGATGAGACAGAAGGCTCCAAAACCAACTTGGAAGGATATCAGAAATTCTTGCATTAGAAATATCAAGTACCGTATAACTTTTCTGAGTTTGAAGCCATTTTGGAAAGTGCGGACCCACCATGCAAGAGCTCAAAGATATAGAATACAATTGGAAAGGAGGAGTCCAATTAGAACTGAAGCTCAAAGATAGTGAGGTCGAGGATAGATACAAATACCTTAGTTTGGAGAGATTGGAGAAGTGGCCTTCCGAAACCACACCTTCCAAAGCATTCATACCAAGGTTGATACTCTCGAGTCTAGACATATGCCCAATGCTTTCAGGTACTGTTCCACTCAATTGATTGTCATCGAGATATAATTCTTGCAATGATGAAAAGTTTGTGAGATTAGGAATTGATCCAGAAAGATGATTGGATGAGAGGTACAGAGTCTTTAATGAGTTCTGATCAGGGCATGCAGACATTAATATTTGAACCAACCAGGAAAGTTGTCCACTCAGATTGTTGTTGGAAAGGTCCAATTCTTGCAGATTACATAACCCGGAAAAAGATTGTGGAATCCCTCCTTCAATTTGGTTAGAAGAGAGGTCAAGATGAACAAGGCTGACATTGTATTTGGATAACCACACAAATATGGAAGAAGATGAAGAAAATGGGAGTTGGTTGTCACTGAGATCAACATGAGCAAGAGATTTAGAAGAATTTATGTTAAAAAGAGTACTGGAATGAATTAGAGGAGATGGAAGACTACAAGAAGACAGAGACAAGTTTGTAAGTTTAGGGAGCTTATTAACTGCTTCCATCCAGTCTGGAACATTACTGAGATTGGTGTAACTCAGGTCCAAATATGTTAAAGCAGAAAGATGAGGCAGCCATGAATTCAGATTTTCTACATTAGCAAAGTTATTGTATCTAAGATCAAGATGACCAAGGCTAGCATTGTATTTGGACAACCAAAGAAGTATGGAAGAAGTGAGTTGGTTGTAACTGAGGTCAACATGAGCAAGAGATTTAGAAGAATTTATGTTAAAAAGAGTACTGGTATGACTTAGAGGAGAAGGAAGACTGCAATCAAACAAAGACAAGTTTGTAAGTTTGGGGAGCTTATTAACTGCTTCCATCCAGTCAGGAACATTACTGAGATTGCTTCCACTCAGGTCCAAATATGTTAAAGCAGAAAGATGAGGCAGCCATGAATTCAGATCTTCTACATTAGCAAAGTTTTTGAATCTGAGATCAAGATATTGCAAGTGGGTAAGGTTTCCGATCTGAGTTGGAAATCGACCACCAAAAGAAGCATCAGAGAGATCGAGGTGCCTTAAGTTGGAAAGAGACCCAATGAAATCTGGAACTTGGCTTCCATTGAAGTTAATCTGTGAAAGGTCCAAATATTTCAAATGCTTCAACTTAATCAGCTTGGGACTCATCATCTTACCTTGCAAATAATATAGATATGCTGTGGGCGTCCTTTCTGTTGAACTGCGTAAGCTTGATCCAAATAAGACCATCCAAGATGAAGCTGAGTAACATGGTTGGTTCGATTGCTGCAGTGGACGCCAAGCCATTGGCAACAATCTTGCTTGTGTTCTTCTCTTCCCCACGAGGAGAGGAGATCATAGTCATCCACCAGGCCTTGTTTGAAAGCAAGGAGTGCTTCCCTTTCACTCTCTATGCACCTCGTCACCACCCGATGGCTAATTGCTCTGAAATCGGCAGAAACATTATAGAATCCAGAGGATAGGGAAGGGTTGAAACATTGTAGAAAAAGTAGCACCACAATGGAAGTATGAAAGAGTTTCTTCAAGCACATGATTCCGTCATTCTCCATCTTAATTTAACAAAATCAAGGCAAAGACGATTGAAGAATGAAGAAGAAGTGTACAATCAGAATTGATTTAGGAGCACAAGGAAAGCTACGAGTGTTTTATAATACAATCCACACGCTGAGTTGTCTTGACTCAAATGGTCAAGTATGGAACACGTGTGAGTGGACCAGCTACTTTTCTGTAGGTAGGTGTAGTAATTAGAGGATGACTCGTCTCTCCAAAATAATGACAGAGCCTGCAACAATCAACACAATTACGCGTTGATTGTTTCGTTCTATTTACGTTTTAGAAGTCTTTTGGTTTTTTGTGGAATTAGAAAACAACATATATGCGCATAATTTAAGTTATTTGGACCAAGCTAAAAAATGCAGAAACCGTCTCAACTCTTGAGAAAACAAATTTACATTTATTTTCCAAACAAGTTGCAAACCATTAGAATGCGTAATTCACATTATTTGGACCAGGCTAAAATACACGGAAAACGCCTCAACTCTTGAGAGACAAATTCACATTTATTTTCCAAACAAGTTGCAAACTGTCAAAAGTCGTTTTGGAGGATAAAAGGAAGGATGAATGACTCCCACAAAATAGATGATTCTTCTCCACTTTTGTTTGTCATTTATCTTAATCACACTTCAAAGTAAATTACAAGTTGAGAACAAAAATGGCCAACAAACCAAAATTTCCACGAAGCAAGTGGAAATCCATGCGATAGTTCAAGGTTATTGACTTAAATGGTCAAGTATGGAACATGTGTGAGTGGACCAACTACTTTTCTGTAGGTAGGTGTACTAATTAGAGGATGACTCGTCTCTCCAAAATAATGACAAAGCCTGCAACAATCAACACAATTACGCGTTGATTGTTTCGTTCTGTTTACGTTTTAGAAGTCTTTTGGTTTTTTGTGGAATTAGCAAACAACATATATGCGCGTAATTTAAGTTATTTGGACCAAGCTAAAAAATGCAGAAACCGTCTCAACTCTTGAGAAAACAAATTTACATTTCTTTTCCAAACAAGTTGCAAACCATCAGAATCCGTAATTCACATTATTTGGACCAGGCTAAAATACACGGAAAACACCTCAACTCTTGAGAGACAAATTCACATTTATTTTCCAAACAAGTTGCAAACTGTCAAATGTCGTTTTGGAGGATAAAAGGAAGGATGAATGACTCCCACAAAATAGATGATTCTTCTCCACTTTTGTTTGTCATTTATCTTAATCACACTTCAAAGTAAATTACAAGTTGAGAACAAAAATGGCCAACAAACCAAAATTTCCACGAAGCAAGTGGAAATCCATGCGATAGTTCAAGGTTATTGACTTAAATGGTCAAGTATGGAACATGTGTGAGTGGACCAACTACTTTTCTGTAGGTAGGTGTACTAATTAGAGGATGACTCGTCTCTCCAAATTAATGACAAAGCCTGCAACAATCAACACAATTACGCGTTGATTGTTTCGTTCTGTTTACGTTTTAGAAGTCTTTTGGTTTTTTGTGGAATTAGAAAACAACATATATGCCTGTAATTTAAGTTATTTGGACCAAGCTAAAAAATGCAGAAACCGTCTCAACTCTTGAGAGAACAAATTTACATTTATTTTCCAAACAAGTTGCAAACCATCAGAATGCGTAATTCACATTATTTGGACCAGGCTAAAATACACGGAGAACGCCTCAAATCTTGAGAGACAAATTCACATTTATTTTCCAAACAAGTTGCAAACTGTCAAAAGTCATTTTGGAGGATATGAGGAAGGATGAATGACTCCCACAAAATAGATGATTCTTCTCCACTTTTGTTTGTCATTTATCTTAATCACGCTTCAAAGTAAATTACAAATTGAGAACAAAAGGGGCCAACAAACCAAAATTTCCACGAAGCAAGTGGAAATCCATGCGATAGTTCAAGGTTATTGACTTAAATGGTCAAGTATGGAACATGTGTGAGTGGACCAGCTACTTTTTTGTAGGTAGGTGTAGTAATTAGAGGATGACTCGTCACTCCAAAACAATGACAAAGCCTGCAACAATCAACACAATTCTGCGTTGGTTGTTTCGTCTGTTTACGTTTTATAAGTATTTTTGTTTTTGTGGAATTAGAAAACAACATATATGCGCGTAGTTCACGTTATTTGGACCAAACTAAAAACACGAATACCGTCTTAACTCTTGAGAGAACAAATTTACATTTATTTTCCAAACAAGTTGCAAACAGTTAGAATGCGTAATTCACATTATTTGGACCAGGCTAAAATACACAGAAAACGCCTCAACTCTTGAGAGACAAATTCACATTTATTTTCCAAACAAGTTGCAAACCGTCAAAAGTCATTTTGGAGGATATGAGGAAGGATGAATGACTCCCACAAAATAGATGATTCTTCTCCACTTTCGTTTGTCATTTGTCTTAATTACGCTTCAAAGTAAATTACAAGTTAAGAACAACAGGGACCAACAAACCAAAATTTCCACGATACAAGTGAAAATCCATGCGATAGTTCAAGGATATTGACTTAAATGGTCAAGTATGGAACATGTGTGAGTGGACCAGCTACTTTTCTATAGGTAGGTGTAGTAATTAGAGGATGACTTGTCTCTCCAAAATAACGACAAAGCCTGCAACAATCAACACAAAAATCGTTTTGAAGGATAAGAGGAAGGATGAATGACTCCCACAAAATAGATGATTCTTCTCCACTTTCGTTTGTTATTTGTCTTAATCACACTTCAAAGTAAATTACAAGTTGAGAACAACAGGGACCAACAAATCAAAATTTCTACAATGCAAGTGGAAATGCACGCTCCATGCGATACTTCAAGGTTATTGATAGCAAGTTCTCAAGAGTTTTCGTATTTCGAATAATTCCACCGCCACTGGGGTCTTTACAAATTTAGTCTTGGAGTTATTAGATGTGAAGACACACAATAATTGACCAACTTAAATGTATATGCACATATATTATGCCAAATTGTTGTTAGTGAAGAATCATCACTGTCATTTGTTCGAGACAATACTTTTGGAATATTTTTAAGGAAAACGGCTTCAAAATTTTGAATTTTAATAATAATAAAAAAAACATCCTATAACTTTTTTTACAAAAAAAAAAAAAAAAAAAAAAAAAAAAAAACCCTAACTACGCCCGTGCAATTGCTCAGCGTTTTTTCCCCAGATTTTGACCTGGTTTGGTACTGAGGTGATTCTGAAAAAAGCTGCTATCAAAAAAAGCTGGGAACTGTTTTTGTGTTTGGTAAACACTTAGCTTCAGCTTTTTTCACAGTTTTGGATGAAAAAAAGCCAAAAACAAGAAGCTGCAAAACCTAGCTTTGAAAAACTGGCTTTTTTTCACATCTGTTTTACATAAAAGTTTACCAAACACTCTAATACTGCTTTTTTTTTTCCTTTCAAAAGCACTTTTACAAAAAAGTTTACCAAACACTCTGCTGCTTTATTTCACAGCTGCTTATTCTCACAGCACAGCAGAAGCAGTTTTTCTTCAAAGCACAGCAATACCAAACCAGCCCACGGTTTCAAAATTTTGAATTTTAATAATAAAAAAAAATAAAAAATAAACATCCTATAATTTTATTAACAAAAAAAAAAAAAAAAAAAAAAAAACTTAACTACGCGCGTGCAATTGCACAGCGTTTTTTCCCAGATTTTGTTTGGTTTGGTGTGCTGGTGTTTTTTCCCAGCTTATGTATTTGCTTCAATGGAGTCTTTTATCCATTTAAAATGTATGCCGCAACTTAAAAAAAAAAGAAATATATATATTTATGTGGAGTGATTGATGGCAGGAGTAAGGGGGTTCATAAAAAAAAATAAAAAAACTTGCAGGAGAAGGGTTTTTTTTTTTTTTGGAAGAAAATAAAAGCATTCTTACTTTCCTAGAGAGAACTTGTGGAGTTCATTAACATAACATAAGGAACTCCAAAAAAAAACTTTGAGTTGTGAACCATATGAATTTTCAATTGCCTCCGGTTCTAATTGGTTCTTTGTTTGATTAGAAAATATAAATAATTGAAAGAGTTCAATATAAAACACTGGACCAAGAAAAAGACACTATTTATGAAACTAGACTAAGAAAGAGACTATTTATGAAACTGTATCAATTACTATACATTATTTATGAAATTGGACCAAAAACTAGACACTATTTATGAAACATGACCAAGAACTAGGCATTATATATGAAAGTGAACCAAGAACTAGACACTATTTATAAAAACTGGATAAAAAATGAGAAACTATTGATAAAATTGGATCAAGAATGAAACACTATTTATGAAAATGTACCAATTAGTATACACTATTTATGAAACAGGACCCAATAACTAAATACTATTTACAAAAGTGAACCAAGAACTAGGCACTATTTATAAATCTTGACAATAAATAGTGTAGTACCGTTTAGTTTTATAAATAATAGTATAGCACCGCAGTTTCATAAATAGTGTTCAATTTCATAAACAGTATAGTATTGTTAAGTTTCATAACAGTATAGTATTGTTTCATAAATAGTGTCTGTGATGGACGCGGGCATCTAGGCGAGTCAGGTTTTTTTTTTTTTTTTTAAATATTAAAATTATGTCATTTTCATTAAAATTTAAGTTTTTTTGTCCTCTTTATTAAAAGTTAAGGGTTTTTCATTACAGTTTAAGTTTTTTCATTGAATAAAGCTATAACATGATTTTTTATTAAAATAAACTTAACCTAAGTTCTTTTCATGAAAACTCTCATATTATTATTCATTTTGGGTCTTTTACTTTTAGCAACAACAGTTCCTTGTGTTTTATTCACTTGTGACTATTCGTTTATTGTTAATGCGAGGGCTTCCAGACTCACATGAGGAATTTTAGTTACCGTGACGGTACTCCGTAGAATGTTGTATGATTTTGAAATTATACTGCACAAAATTTCAAGGCAAACATTTCATTGAAGACGACCATTTTCTTACAAATTACTGATTGTATTTCATTGAAATACAAAGAAAAACAAAACAAAATGCCTAAGGGTGCTTTCTATGTTCAAATTCAGTACAAATCTAAGGACTCTATCACATGACGAGCTTAGGATGTGATGATCAGTTAATCTCTGCTCCGGATCAAGAGTCGAACCAAACTGACTCGCTACCCATATCAAGGAAGCAGATTTCTCACCCAAAAGATGTCTTATGTCCTCATTCATGTATAGTTGCCAACGGTTGCCCATCCCTCCCATTTACATGACCAATTAGAGGCAGCAAGAACTCTCCAAATTTCAACCTATTCAAAAGCAACAGTGTTTTTCTTCAGTGTGCATTATATTAGCAAAGAAAGGACCAAGCCTAGGCACACCAGTGTTCAGAATCCTCAAGTCTAATTAATTCCTAGCAGATGACCTCGTTACTCAATTGACAAACATGAAAATGAGCAATAGGACATAGCTTAACTAAAGCCTAGAAAAAAAAAAAATAGGAACGATGGGATTCTATTAAGAATCGTCCGATGAACAAACCTATTTTTGTCAAAACTTAACATTTACCCCAAAATTTATCCAGATAGAGCTTTAAATCACAACTCATGACAACGAGAATCAAGCAAGCAAAGAGAAATAAATCAAGACCTGAGATTCTCATCAACTTGTTTGTCCCTTATGAGCCCTACAACTTCCTCAATACCATGAAAAGCCTCAAAATCCTACACATTACACACAAGAAAACAATCGAATAATAAAAAAAACCCATCACCGCTCCGAAACCAATCATAATAAGGGGTATATTCAATTGTGATTTTGTGGGATTTTAATTCTTTTAAAGAATCTATAGGTATTCAATGATCATTCAGGATTCTAAGTTATCTTCTGAAATTCAAAGTGTATTTAATCAAGATTCTGAGATAGTTTATTAAAATGCTTAGAAATTCGAGTGTATTAAAATGCTTAGGAATTGGAAAGATTTCGTAGTGTATTTTAAGTATCCACATATTTCACGTCCTTCCATGAGATTTCGAGAGAATTGAATCAAACTTTATATAAAATCTCTACAAAAATTAAACTCCATAAATCTGACTCAAAACTGAAGTTTGAAGCTTTACCATTTGATTAGCTGATGCATCCAACATAAAAATCAAAGCATCCAAACAAGCTCCTTGCTCAATCACGCCGCGAGTCGGTAATATATTCATCAAAACCTACAAAAACCAAATTACAAAAAACCGCATTCTCATCTCAGTAATCCAACCCCCATAGATTTTGGTTAAGCTATTTAGCAACATTGAGTACCTGAATGGCCTTGTGCTGATGAACCAAAACCGCGCTGTCCGGATGAAGCAGGCAGCAACCCTCTAAAACCCTAAGCGTAAGCGAAACCTCGAAATCGGTGGAAGGGCTCGTGATCTTCAGCGGCTCAACGCCGAATATGTGATCCCAATTCTGCACGACCTCATCGTCCGAATCTTTCAGCGAGTGCCGAAACAGAACCGGCATGATTGTAAAACGATAATTAAATCAATTTCAACAATCAAAAAAATTAAACAAAAGATTAAATTTTGAGAGATCATTTAAAGATAGACAAGGATGGGCCGAATAATTCTTATTCCTAGTTCTTGTTTTAACAACGTCGTAAGTTGAAGAAAGTACATTGTTTATGAATTTTAAGTGAAGTTACATGGATGAAATGGAGTATAAACAAACCAAACAAACAAACTACATTCATATCATTACTCATGTTTCATTATTTTCTCTTTTTTTTTTCCTTATGTTTTTAAATGTCAAGTTATTTGAGAAATTGACCAAAATGATTATTTTTCAAATTTTAGTTACTGAAACGGCCAATGTTGTATATGTCGTCAATATATGATTGTATTGTTGTCAATCTTTGATCATTATGTAGTCAATATCAATATTTAATTTTGATTAATTCAGCAATTTAGATTTTAATTTATGATTAATTTCGCACAGACACTTAGTACTACGATGTAGTTGTGTTTTATCTTCACTTATAAATGAATGCCTTACATTTAAAGCTGGTGAATGGTGAATTCAATATCAATTTATTAAGAAAATTTTATTTGAACCCATATAACTTATCTTTACACCCAACTTACTCTCTACACCCATATCATTTTTATTTAAACTATCAATATCTCTTTGAACCTAAATTTACTACCTAAACTACCCTCCACAACTATCAATACCAATTTATTTGGTTTTTGAGACGGTTCTTTGAAATTGGACGGGCTGATTTGCTAGGCGGCACCATGTAGCCTTCTGCTCAATATTAATTACCACAAACATATAGTGAGCAAAAATGTACCGACATAACTCCATAGTAAACGAGAATTTGAAGTTTACCAGAAGATATAAAATAATAATGATACTCGTATGTATAGCATATGAAATATCAACAATGTCGTTCACTTTATGAATTTTTTCATGTCATGAACATATAATATGTTAGAAGTTTTTCACAGGATTTATTCAATATTCCAGAGTATTGGATACTTTGAGTCTTTTAACCGTTAAATATTTTACAAAAATCAAAATCCGACATTTTTCATGTTATGAATGCGTAACGTGTTAGAAGTTGTTACACATGATCTATTCGATATTTCAGAGTATTGGATACTTTGAGTCTTTTAATAGTTACATATTATACAAAAATCAAAATCCGACATTTTTCATGTTATGAATGCGTAACGTGTTAGAAGTTGTTACACATGATCTATTTGATATTTCAGAGTATTAGATACTTTGAGTCTTTTAACAGTTAAATACAACAACAACAACAACAAAGCCTGTTTCCCAATAAGTGAGGTCGGCTATATGAATCCTAGAAAGTCATTGCACTCGGTCCTGTGTCATGTCCTTTGTTAGATCCAAGTACTCTAAGTCTCTTCCAAAGTTTTCCTAGGTCTTCCTTTACCCCTTCGGCCCTGGACCTCTGTCCTGTAGTCGCATCTTCTAACCGGAGCGTCAGTATGCCTAAAACAGTTAAATATTATACAAAAATCAAAATCCGACATTTTTCATGTCATGAATGTGTAGCGTGTTAGAAGTTGTTACACATGATCTATTCGATATTTCGGACTATTAGATACTGGGTCTTTTAATAGTTAAATATTATACAAAAATCAAAATCCAACATTTTTCATGTCATGAATGTGTAATGTGTTAGAAATTGTTATTCACATGATTTATTTAATATTTCGGAGTATCCCTTTGAGGCTTTTAACCGTTAAATATTATACAAAAGTCAAAATTCGACATTTTTCATGTAATGAATGTGTTAGAAGTTGTTATTCACAAGATTTCATAAATTTTTTGGTACTGTGTCAATTACCTCATTTTTTAAAAACAATTACCTATATATTTTACTTATAATTTTATTAAAACGCTATATGTATATATAGTTGTGGTGTACTAGAAAAGTAACAATTGTACAAAGTATGTTATGATTATTTACTCCAATTTAATTGGAACAACAGCAGCCTTAATTATTTTCATTTTTTTTCCTTGATTTCTAAATGGGTTTTCTTGAATAGACCACACATGGATCAATATTTTAGCTGGCTGATTGTTGCAATTGTTAGGGGTGAATTTTTTTACCATATTACCGTACCAACCGCCTTACCAACCATACCATATCAAATTATTACCAAAAATTTGTACCAATTGGTAATGGTACTGTATTTGTACCGTATCATACTATTTTGGTACGGTACTGGTATCCAAAACCAGTACCGGTGGTATACCATACCTACCAATATTATTAATATTATATTATGTATTTATTCATATAATTATTTGAGGGCAAAATTAATAATAATTATTGTAGAAGTGTAAAAAGTGTAAAATATATATATATATATATATATATATATATAATCACACATAGTGACAAGCTTTACAACTTTCATGAAGATGTCCGCTTCAAAATCCAACGCTATAATCCATAAACCTTAAATTTATATTTAACCGTCGATTGTCATTTACGCTTTATTCTTCTTATTGAATTTCATTTTTTAAATTTTCTTTTTTGAAAACATGATCATCTGGCGGATGTAATGTCAGATCCCGGCCCGGGTGGGACCACTTCCCTGGCCCGCTCCACCACCGTAACACGATATTGTCCGCTTTGGACTTACCATTCCCTCACGGTTTTGTTTTTGGGAACTCACGAGCAACTTCCCAGAGGGTCACCCATCATGGGATTGCTCTAGCCCTCTTCTCGTTTAACTTCGGAGTTCCTACGGAACCCGAAGCCAGTGAGCTCCCAAAAGGCCTCGTGCTAGGTAGAGATGGAATATACATATAAGAATCAGTCCCCTAGGCGATGTGGGATGTCACAATCCACTGATGCGAATTTATACGCACACAAATTAAACCCTCTTTTTGTGAATTGTAGTATAAGTATAAGTAGGGATCGTTCTGGACCGGGGATTAGGAGGGATTGTTAATCTCTTGGAAACTGACTCAAAAACGTAAAAACAAGATAAAACATTAAACTAGACTCAAAGAATGTGAAACTAAACGTTAAAACACTAAGACAAACCAAAAGACTCAAAATGCTTTAAAAACACAAACTAAATTGATTTCTAACTAAATTGAACAATAAAGTAAAGGGAGATTGGATTTGGACGACTTTAAACTAAAAATGGAAACTTGGAAACAAAACAAATTGTAAATATGGATTTGACGGAAATGAATGGATGGGAAGCTAGCTAAGGGGTTCATCGCCACACATGTTATACTTGCATACAAAACGATGTCTAATTGCTTTTCAATAAACCATGAATTCTCAACGCCCCGGGTTAATTAGGTCCGCTTAAATTAACCGTCAAGTTTTCCTTAAGTTAATGAATTGGATGATTGCATACGACAATCCAAAGCATTCCTCACAAGTTCCCTACATGAATTGCATAATAGAGATACAAGCAAGAATCATTAAGCAACATGAAAACTATAAGTGTTGACGAGGCATTCGTTACTATGATTGCATGAAACTTATGCCAAGAATATGTTTAACACGATTGTTTATAAGCAACCTCCACTACTTGTGAATATAAGTTCATAACTATTACGTGAAACTCACTTATATTCTAGCGTCAAATTCATGCATGAAAATTAAGCGTTCATTCTTAATAAACATACATAAATAGGTTATCAATTAAACAGTTAAACAAATTGAATTCACAACTTATGAAACGTAATTAAAAGTAATCAAATCATATTACAAACATAAACATAGTTTCGAATCACCCCCTAGCTAAAGGGGGTTTAGTTCCTCATAACTTTGAAATCAAAGAAACACCTAAACATTCCAACAACTCAAAACTTGAATTGTATGAACGTTTAAGCACTCTTTTCTTCCATTTCTCATACGTACAAAACAAAGAGAATTAAAATGAAACTTTGAAATCAAAGAAACACCTAAACATTCCAACAACTCAAAACTTGAATTGTATGAACGTTTAGGCACTCTTCTCTTCCTCGTTGTTGTAGCACAAGGTTTAAGGATAGGTTGGTTGGGGGGATGGAAGTGTTGGGGAATTATGGAAATGGATGAGGATTGGTGGAAATGGAAGATGGTTTTGGATTCTAAGGGAGAGAAACTCACGGCTAGGGAAGTGTTTGTGGTGTGTTGTGTTGTGAATGAGATGAGATTTGAATGAATGAATGCAAGGGTATTTATAGGAGGAGTGGAGATGTATATGGCTATTTGTTTAAGGTGTTTGTGGTTGCAATGATGAAGAATTGCATGTGGAAATAAAAGGGAAAATGTGGTGAAATGATGAAGTAGGAAGGTGGAAATGCATGTGAGATGTTGGAAAGGAAATGGGAATATGAGTAGGCCATGGCATGGGAGTTGTTTTGTTGGTGTAAATGTGCCATGGTTGCAATGATGAAGAATAAAGGGTGCATGTGGGGTGGAATTCAATGAATGCAAAGTGAATGAATAATGAAATGACTTAAAGAGGGAGAATGTGGTGAAATGATGAAGTAGGAAGGTGGAAATGCATGTGACTTGTTTTTGTGGAATAAAGAATGAATGGTGGAATGATGAAGAGTTGCATAAAGAATGCATGTAGGGTTAGCTAGGTTGGCTTTGTTTGGGTGCATGTGTGTTAATGGTGGTTTTGCATGTGAATTGATGGATTGTTTTTTATGGAATGGATGGTTCTTTGCATGGCTTTTGAAGTGATTGTGGGCTTTGGAATTGGAAGGAAATGCATGGCCTTGGGGTTGGTTTAAGAGAGAATGGGCTAGGCCCTTTGTTTTATGTCCAAAATGAATACAAGGCCTTCAAATTCGTCCAACACTTTGGCTCCAATCATATGCTATCCATTCCAAGCCCAATTTTGCTCCAAAATGCTCCAAAATGCATCTTTTTGCTTCCTTAGCCATATGAACCTAAAAACACACGAAAATGACTTAAACTACTAAAACAACTATGAATTAACAACATACATGCACGAAAACAAGCTAAGTAAGTCGCCTAAATATGCTCCTATCATCCACCCCCCTTAGGGGCCCGACGTCCTCGTCGGCACATTTCCGGCCAGGGATAGGCTCTGATACCAATGTAAGATCCCGGCCCGGGTGGGACCACTTCCCGGGCCCGCTCCACCACCGTAGCACGATATTGTCCGCTTTGGGCTTACCATTCCCTCACGGTTTTGTTTTTGGGAGCTCACGAGCAACTTCCCAGAGGGTCACCCATCATGGGATTGCTCTAGCCCTCTTCTCGCTTAACTTCGGAGTTCCTACGGAACCCGAAGCCAGTGAGCTCCCAAAAAGCCTCGTGCTAGGTAGAGATGGAATATACATATAAGGATCAGTCCCTTGGGCGATGTGGGATGTCACATGTAAGAAGACAAACGATTCAGATCTTTGATATTACGTTTCGATATTTACGGTTAACTGAAATATGAGTCGATGTCATATAGTTTGTAGAAACTTTATAAACATCAAGCAATATTTTTACTAATCGTAAAACTCTGCACATAATATCAACAATCCAAACCGTTCATCTTTCTGCATCCTCTAATAGATCATGTTTTCGAAAAAGAAAAGCCGAAAAAAAACAAAATTTGATGAGAAAAATGAAGCGTAAATGTAAACAACAATCAACGGTTAAATTTTGATCTATGATTTATATGATTATAATGACGAATTTTAAAGTTAAGCTCTTCACAAAAGTTGTAAAGCTTGTCATTACAAACACTTATATATATTTTTTTATATTTTTTATACTTCTACATTAATTATAAAATATTAGATTTTGGGCAAAGTAAGTAGCGTAAAACAAAGTGGCAATTATCATTAACATATCATAACAACCAAATTATTTGTTATACCGATATTTGGTATACCAAAAGTTTGGTATGATAATAGTAATAGATTTTACCGTTCCAAATATTTAGTATAGTAATTGGTATAGAGGTTTTGGTACCGTAATGTACCAAAACCACCCCTAGTTAAGATTATGGGTCGCATGAAATTTTACTACAACAAAAGTATCAAATAATTAGATAAAATTGTGAAGTATCGAACCTTGCAAAGTGACATGTAGTCATGATCGGAGCTCCGATCGCCGATCCCGAGATCCGGCGCTTCGTCGCCGAACTCCTTCAGAACCACCAAACGCTTCAATTTCCCCACCAAAACTTCACAAACCCGGTCGCCTTCTTCGTCTTCGTATTCACTTCGATCTCCGTCCCCAGCACCATGTCCCCGCCCAGAAAATTCTTCGCGAACGGCTCCACCATCACTGTCGGATTCGCCATCACCACCACCTTCCTCTTGCACTTGTCAAACACCTCGAAGCTCTCCGCCCTCACATCCGCCGCATAGAACCTAACAATTATTTCATAAATTCAAAATTAACATTTTAAACTAAAATATTTAGATACACATATACGTGTGTGTGTGTATTTACGGTACCTGGGGAGGACGGCGCGAGAGGTGAGCTCGATGTCGCGGATTTTGAGGCCGGAGAAGGAAATGAAGATAAGAATCTTGATGCCGAGGGCTTCGGAGAAGAAGAAGTAGGAGACGATGACGAGGGGGAAGGATAGGAGGAGGACGAGGCCGCGGAGGAGACTGCAGGCTTCGATGGCCACCAGCATGAAGGGAATGAGCTCCGGGAGATGAGCAGCGTCCCTTCCAGGTCCGCCGCGATCAACTTGTACGATGCTGTTTCGCTCGCGTTGCAAGCCGAGATCGACGGGAAGCTCCGCCGTTGCTTCTGCGGCGACATGGTTCGTAACTGAATCGCGCTCTCTTTCGGAACGAGTTTTTTTCTTTCTTTTTTTTAGGCTACTTTTTGGAGTGTGGAGTGGGGGAGTGAGAGGGAGAAATTAAGCGGGGCTTTCAAATGACGGGGGGTGGGGATGCAATTACTGTTGTACCCCTGCTGGGTCTAGTGAAATTAATTTACCATTTTTCATGTTTTTGGCTGGAAATATGGTTGGGGTTGGACTTTGGTGTTAAATATTTGCATGAAATTTTGTCTTTTCTTATCATTTTTTTTATAAAAATCAACAGGTAGAAAAAAAGAAACGTTTAGAATGGTAACCAAACAAAGTGAAATGCAACTAGGCAATCGGCTACATCTAGTACTATAATTAGAATTTATTGGATTATTGGTTTCTAAACTAAAAATTTGCGAGTAATGGTCTCTGAACTTGTCACGGTGTAATCAATAATTTTTTGAGTAACTTCATTAGAACTTTGAGCTCCTATTGGTCTATGAACTTGTAGCATTGCTTTAACGAAAATACTAATAGAGTTATCCAAGCTGACCATTATTTCACATAGCAACAAGTTTAGGGGACTCGATACTCACAGTTTCTTAGATCAAAGACCAAAACTTCAACTCGACCAAAATTCAAGGATCAACGCTAATTTTCTCGCTTGGTTAATTTACAGTTGATATTTGTGCATTTGATTGATTCCTATTGATTTTTCACTAACTGATTAGTATCTTTTGTCACCAAAATAATTGTCCTACAGCTAGCTAGCTATAGGGTCAAGTGAGCATTAAATAGGTGGCCACACCCAAAAATAGCTATGAGACCAGAGATGTTGATGCGTTTAGATGCGATATTTGGGACCATCGTCGGCCTGGATTTTTATGTTTGAAAAGTAAAACTTGCAAATACAGCTTTCTTTATATAATTCAATTCCTCACAAGCAAGCTTGTACATAAGATTTTTATCATTTTTGCTAGAAACTCTCTCCTCAAAATCACACAACATAGTTCAAAAATATACAAACGATAGCGAATACTGAATGAATTGAATTGAACAACGACAAACATTGTTGTGTGACAAAATTTTCCAACATAACAATCCAATGTGTGATGATGTGCAACTTTGGTGACGGATATTTCTTTAAATTTTGAAATTTGAATCTATCCACTGCATATATCTTGAAATTTAAACTCATCTAACGGTGATAGATGAGTCGGTGAGCAAAAATATTCCCCTTTTCGACAATTCAATATTGAAAAATACTCTGATTTAATAAATGGTAGGTAATTTTAAACTTGGGTAGACGAGTATACTACTCTAACCAACCAACTTAAATCGCATCTGCTAATAGATTGAAATCACACTCAAATTTTTCGAACTTTAAATTGGAGTCAAACTCAATTTTTTGGCTCGTTGTAAAAGGCCTAAATAATAGATTGACAAGACAATATCGTAAACTAATATAATTTACGAAGGAAAAAAAAATTCGAATAAGTAAGCACATTGCCTTGTCAGCTCATGTAGACTTGCCATTTGACTTCGTAGTGAAGAAAACTGTCTCCCAAGAAATTAAATGTAGGAAGCATAGAGGGAGCTGAATACTGTTGGAAGTTAGATCATCAATCCGAGCAAATTTAATAATTTTATTTAGGGGGTTGGTTGGAGTTGGTGAAGCCTTAAAGAGTAAACTGTTTACTACCATATCTAAATATGTTTCAACTTTTATGATTGCGTGCAAGGAATTAATTTTAGGACTTGTTTGGTTGCCTAGAAAATGTTTACTACCTTTTTTACGTGTGAGAATGTTGTTAAATTCGTTGTTTAGGAGGAAAACCACCCATTATGTGAACACCAATTGCCAATGCATACTGTTTTCAGCTCTAATGATACCTCTTTTGGTTTCCAATCAAACTACTCCCGATATTGCCAAATGAATTGTTATTACGAGTATATCATTTATCGCTCGGAGAAATGTTCTTTTGTAAGACAATCTAAAATGTTAGATTGGTAATCTGAACTGATAGAAGTTGATTGTAATTGAATGTGTCGTTTATCAGCTGCTATTTTTTGGTGAGAGTTGATTAAGCAGATGGTGACAACATCGAACTACACTTTGACTTTAATATCATCACTGGTAAAAAAGCACTAGTTTCTGACGGTGAATCAGCTTATGAAATGATAAGACATGCTGATGCACAATCTTCACACATTAATGGAACGCATACAAAACACATTCAGTAGCTGGATTCTTTCTGTCGTATCTATCCATTAACCATGAGAGTCGAACCAAGACGCCAAGGTGGTGGTATGTCAAGCCCATTACCCGACGTCATGTGTTTTAACTTGCTCACATGACATAACGTGATTTAGTTGGAAAACAGTCACCTTGGCGTCCCAATTAGATGGTTCTTCTCCAATGATATGGTTCTTCTCCAAAATTATTATCAAAATACGGCACTTTAAGTTACCAGGAACCTCCTCCTGCTCTGAATCTCTCCTGCGCTTCAGCTGCCTTGTCCTCTTGCAATTGCCTTACAAGTTGAATAATTTTGGGATTGTAAAAACGGTCGCGAACATACTTCTTCTCCTCAGCTTGTATTTCCTTGATAGCGCTGGGATATGGGTTTGGAGGAGGCCTCTTCCCTTGAAGGCGTGCAATTTTCTTCAAGCGGGAATATGCCTTCTTCTTCTCTTTTCTCTCCATCCGGTATTCCATCTAGAAGACAACGTGAAACAACAGTCAGAAAACAACTTAGAAAACGCACACATTTAGGGACAGGAAATCCAAATACATACATCAGCTACTGCCATTGCTTCTTCCTCAGCAACACCTTGCTCTTTCAACTCAAGTACCCGCAAACCAAATATACGGGCTGGAGGAGGATCAAAAGAAGAAATCCTATTCAAACATGATGGATAAGTTAATAAGCCTTGCGTTTTCTGATAAGAAGTTAATAAGTCTTCGGATTCACGCAACATGTTCAATCCTGAATTACCAACCACATCTACTAGCCAAGGATAAACTCATGACAAGACCAAACAACAGTAACAAGACAACAACTCATATTATACCAAAAAACAAAGATAAACCATACTTGATGGCATCTTCATGTTTGGAATCTGGATGCTTCTGGAAAAACTTCTTTATGTAAACATCCTCTGGGAGAGTGATTTTCTGAATTGCATTTGCACGAGGAAACGTTACAGGCGGTGCCCTGAAAAATTCACAATACATGATGTTTTTAACAAATAAGTAAAACGAAAAGGCATTCCAAGAATTACAAAATGGTGAGAAAGGGAGGGGCAAACTTTTCCATGGCTTTGAGCCAAACAGGCTCGGCCTTGGCCAGGCCCTTCACCAGCTTTCTGGTTCTCGTAAGTAAATCTCCTTTTATGAACGACATAGTTGCCTCCCCTTAGGTTCTCCAACCAATGATTAATTTCTACCTAGAAACAAGAAAGCAGTAGATTAGCACAGCAGTGTACTAGCTGTTTGGTTGACTATAGTTTGTATTATCTGTTATTAACCACCAAGAGAAGAAGCTCAAAGTTTCATGGAGAGAATTTCCAACAAGATATACATTATAAATAAAAAAGCTTACTAGGATTATTAAATTATGCAAGGCAATCAAGTATTACAACAAATTAAAGATTTAAAATTTTACAAAACATAGAATCTGTAATCCAAAGAACAACGAAAGGAAGATTAACACCGGGAATTGATTTCAACACAGAACTGAATCATTAAAAGAAGAATTCATCTTTCGAACTTGGATGACTTACAAAAACTACATCACAAGGAGAATTTGACGAAAAACAAGTTCCATTGTCTACTAAAACCTTATTTAAACTGCCCTTGACATCAATTAAATTTTATTTTGGTACTAAAAGAAAAACTAGTTCACAGATAAACCAAAGATAAACTAAACACAAAAACCAGCAAAAGCCCATTCAATCCATCATTGCTCAAAACCCATCTAATTGATAACAAACTAATCAAAACCCACCAAATCCCATATCCAGAATCCTAACATCATCTAAAATTTCAAATCTTTCGGCAAAGTTGAGGGGAACAAGAACTACCCACTTTAGCAAATTGCTCTACCAAGCTACCAAATTGAAAGAAAACAATTCAAAGACTGGAACTCAAATCAAAATTGAAGCTTTATATTATATGGGTTTTATTAACTTAGCAGAGATTGCTTCGCAGCACAAATCAAAGCAGAAAGGTTCATTTCGGAGAATTGGATATGCACTGATCGAAACCATATGAATAGAAAAAAAATAAAAAAATTGAACTTATTCCGATAAAATAGCTAGAGACTGAAAACTCAGCAAGTGCAGTGGAGGATGAGTGGCGGTGTTACCTGGTAGAGGTGGCGTGAAGGCTGACAACGGGCAGAGAGAGATGGAGAAATGTCGAGGGAGAAGTGGGAGAAATGGTGATAGGAGAGTTTGGGTTACTCGAATTTGGGCTTTTGTATGGGGAAGAATTGAAGGGCGGGCTTTGTGTCTGTTTTTGGGTGCCCTCTATTGCTACCCAATTTATCTGCCTTCAAAACAAAACAAAAAAACAACTTTTGATAGAACACGTGGATGTGGATGTGTCACTTAATACTACAGTTTAGTGGTATTCCCCATCATCGATAAGTGATATGTTTTAGGTTCAATTCTCTCAAAAGTGAATTTGAACCACTTTCGTGCTAGCACATTATAAAGCTTAACCCAATTTCCCTCTCTGTTAATGTAGATAATATCGTTTGTTCGCAAGAAAAAAATTGCATTGCAGTGGATCTCAGTAAAAGTCGAACTAGGAAAAAGAGAGCACGACACATATGTTTAACAAGTGAAACAAAGGATCTTGTTTATGCCAAGGTATCTTCAAATAAAATGCCTCCAGTTAAATCAACAATAGAAAGGAAAAAAATGCCTTAATTAAATTCGTGTAAAGGGTGCTCTCAGAATCAACTAAAGATGCAGCCTAATCTGAATTACCTGAAAATCTTATAAGTGCACCACTCGACAGCAATTACCAAAGCTCGGCCATTGAAGTCTACCGTATACTCTTAGAGCATCTCTTAAAGAAATGTTCAAATCAGTAT